CGGCTTGGTTGATGGTGGTTATCGCTGTGGGTAGGCTGGTGGATATCCGTCTTAGTTGGCAGCGCAAGCTAGGTAGGCAGACTATCCTCGCAGTCGCAGCGGTGCGTTCGATCCGACACGGGACCCGGCGAAGGGCAACCTGAACTTGTTAGGTGGATGCGTGGAGGGCAGCGGGCAGGGCGATGGTTGCAGGTCCCCAACAAGCAGGCAGGGCAGTTGGGGGGCTACGATCTGGGAGCCCAAGGCGGATGGTGGCTTGTGTCGGTTGATCGATGCCCGTTAGTAGCGCACGATGAGGTGGGCAACCGAAATCAGTCAACGGCAACGACTCGGAATGCGCTCGGCTTAGCGATGTGATGCGATGAAAATATCAAGAAGAGGTGAGACAATTTACTGCAGAGGTACAATCGAGAAGTCGTCACAGCAAAAAGACAACGGCGGTGTTGCAAAGCTGGAACGAAGATGGACGATCAAGGGTCAACGAGGAAGAGGTGATGTAGGACTAGAGGTAGGTCAGACGGGGGTGAAGTAAGACAAGATGAGTGATGGTCGCCGGCCAACGCTAGGTCAGAGGGGAGTGCCCGGCGTCCAGCGAAGTGCCCACTGCAATGAAGCGTGCTTTTCTTGGTCCCTGAAGGCCAGCATGCCCTGCAGATACTTACTCGGCCTCACGTTGAATGCGGGTTTGGACACTAACTGAGTTTACCGCATTCTAGTATGTATGAAAGTTAAAGAAATAGCAGGTGGCGGGAGATACCTTTTTCTTGTCGGAGTGGCTTGCCAGAATCTCGAGTGACGGGAGAACAGGAAGATGACGCCCACGACAGCAACGAACTGAACGTTCCCGTCGTTTGCTGGAAACCCCTCGACCCTCCAGCACGGTGTTCCAACAAGGAATTCTTGCATTCAGCCAGGCTTCGACTTTCCTTTACAACGCTCTTATCGGCCAAAGGAAGCATCGAGAACGTTTACTAAACGACCTGCATCTTGATCTCGATCGGTAAACGTCAACTATGAGCGTTTGGCATCGCCCACTCCGGTCCTTCAAAAAGCGTCCATGAGCACTCACACTGCCTCCTAAAACACAGCGCATAAACAACAACACGCTATTCTAGGAACACTGTTCCATGGGCCGTGTTGGAGTACCAGGGTCCCGCTGGCCGCAGCACCGTTTCATATGGCGCAGTTTGACGACGGTCCGAGATCTCGATGATCATGCCAGAAAATCAAACATGGGATACATAGACTGCCGGTCAAGTATTTTGCAGTCAGCCAATTCGAAGAAGTCATGGACGGTTCTCGAGTCTCCTAATCAATGCCTTCCACGGCTGTCATGATATAACATAAAATCGACACCGGCAAGGCAGGGTCCAGAATCACACTTTGTCAATTCACCACCGTGATATAGAGATCGGCGGCGTCCGTAAGCACAGCGGATTCACAAGCCAGTGTCGTCATCCCTACGTTGCCCTGGGCTCGAGGGAACCATTCAGTTACTGTTTCTTACATGCAAGTTGACGGGATTCAGTGAACGGCACAAGTCGAGTGAACTTGGTTCCCATGGCGCATGACGGACAAAACCCGCGACCTCGAACAACATGGAGTCCGACACCCGGCGCATCCGGAGCATATTCGAGACTCCGTGTGACCCGGATGTCAACTCATGCAACAAAATTGGCCGTTCAACATGCGGTGCGCATGTAACAATACAGAAGGGTGTTGAATACACTACTTGCAAATACCATTTACATCAGCTACTTAGCTACCTTTGAACCCTATCAAACAGTTATTTGCTTCGACTGTAAAACTACATACGACAAACGAACGCCCGCCTGCTTGTGTCTGAGTCAGGTATCAAGCTATTGAAGGAAAAGGAAGAGTAAAAAAAAAAAAGAGCAAAGGGGTTGCTGTGCGTGTGAAAGCTCGTTCATGCATACATTATTTCATCTTTCGCTCACCATCTCCGACCCCGTTACGAGTGTGACACATTGCTTTCCACCCATCGCTCTCGCTTCTCATTTCCAATCGTCATGATCATCATAACATCTCGTCAGTCAGCCAGCCGATGTTCATCATATCTTCTCTTAGTAACCGCCAACGCTGCTATCCCCATCACCATCCCTCCGGTGATGCCTTCTGTACCCAGCACCGTTTCTCTTCTTCCTCCTCTCCTCCGCATACGACACATCGCTTCCCACCGAGCTCTCCGCGCCGCTAACGGGAATGTGAACCGGGTGCTTATAGACCTTGTGGCCGCTGACCTCGCTCTCCATCATCTCGCTCTCCGTCCCTGTGTAGCTGGACGGAACCAAGGCGCGTGACGTACGCAGCGGTGGGACTTGGTCGACTTCGTCATAGTCATGGTTATTCACTCGTGCGTATTGCCCATTGCTGCCCGTGGCGATAACCCCCTCCTCGTGCTCGTGAACGTCATCCAGGACGCTCTCGCCCCGTTCGTCGATACGGCGCAGAGCGATGGACGATTCGTCGCCTACTCCGTGTTGCCAACTGAAGTCCCGTTTTGACGACCGCTGCTCGCGCTCACGCTGCCCGGCTGCTGCAGACGCACGATCCCGCTCTCGCAGACGACGCGCCTCGGCCCGCAGCCGCTCGGCTTCGCGGCTGGCGTTCTTGTCGGCTGTCGAGTACACCTTGCGAATGCCGCCTGTCTTCTTCTCCTTCTCGCGCTCTCTCTCAGGATTACGGTCACGGCCAAGCTCCCGATCACGCTCACGCTCCCGCTCGCGCTGCTCGCGCCTCTCCCTACGCTCTGCCTCCTTCCTGGCAGCGCGCTCCTCGTCCCGTTCCTTCTTGCTAGGGCTCCGCTCGCGCTTCTCCTGGTGTTTGATCAACTCCGACGTGACGGTGCTGCCGCTGTCAACAGTCGAAGTACCCACACCACTCCAGCTGGGGTTCGTTGAGCCGTCCCACTCGCTCGCCTCGCTAGCGACGTTGATGCCGCCAACGCGGGCAGGCTTCTCGGACCGGTAGTTGCGCAGCTGCTCCTCAGCCAGAGCCTCGGCCTCCTCGTCAATCATGATGCCGTCGGTGCCGACCTTGCGCTTGCTCCGCTTCTTCTCCTCCTTCTCGCGCGCCTTCTCCTCGCGCCGGCGTTCCTTGTCGCGCTCCTTTTGCTCGCGCTTCTTGCGCCGCTTCTCGCGGCCGTAGATGTCGGACACGCCACCCGTGATGCCCGTGATGCCCGTAATGCCTGTGGTGCCGCTGATAACCGTGGTATTGTCCATCTCCGTCATGCCGTCGTCATCTGCTACGTCCTTGTACACGCTGCCGCCGCCAAGGATGGTGCTGGGCGTTGCGCCGGAGTAGATGGTGCCGTTGGGACCCTTGCGGCGCATTACCGTTGACTTGTAATCGTCCCAGTCGTCCTCCTTGAAGTAGAAGCCACCGTTCTTGGCCCAAAAGAAGAACCAAACGGCGCCGATGACGATTGCGGCACCCAGGAGGCCGAAGAAAGCGAACATGGCCTTGTTGTTGATATCCTGCGGGTGCACGAGACCCTTCTCCGGGTCGGGACGGTCCTTGTTGTCATTGTCATCGCGGGCTAGAAGAATTCCGCGCGCTGCCAGAGGGCCGAGAGCTGCGATGTCTTTGCCGCTGACAACAAGGCGACGCGCCATGAGGGCGCGAAGCACAGGTGCCATAGTTGCGGTTTGGCGTCCGCCGGTTTGGCAGAGACGGAGGCCCAAACTGAGCTGATAAAGAGCTGGTCAACCTCCCAAGCTGAAGAGAATGTAAGCTTCGTCGATCGCTAGCTTCTGAAGAAATACAGCTGCTGGAATGGAAGGGTTCAATGGAAGAACGTCCAGATACTTGCAAAACTGCAAGTCGATGAGGGTTGCTTGGGTGAAGAATGCAGGTCGACGTGCTGCAAGCGTTGGCGTAGCCGTAAGCGTCAAGTCTGCCCTGTCTTTCTGGGCAGTGTTGAGGTTTGGCGCTTGGGGGAGGGGGGAACCTGAGAATGTTGTTCGCCCAGAAACTGGGGGGCTGGGGAAGGACCGGGGCTGGGCAAATAAGCCAGGGCACTGCAGGGGTGGCTAAGTTAGTTGTGTGCGTTGGTCCTGTTGTTCTTGCCTGGTTGGCTGGCGATCGTCAACTTCCGTTGGATTCGGTTGGCTGGGAACCACGCAAGAGCCAGGCAGGCACATCTGGCAGGTTCAGTTTGGCAGAACGGCCATCGATCCCCTCTTCACCACTGGAACCTTCCAATTCTTTCCCGTTCCTCTCTTCGCGACGCAATTTATCCTCTTCGTTTTACAGACACGAATCGCACTTCTTTATCGGTGTTCCGGCTCATAATCTCCTGCTGTCATTGTGGTCGCAGCTTGCAAGCTTGTAGTTCTATGATAACCCATGACGTCGTTATGTGGTACCTAGGTACCTCCATAAGCGGCCATTGACCAGCCAAAGGCTTGGCACTCTCAGGGCAACAGCGTGTTTCACCTTGCCACTGAACTGTAAAAATGGAGAATCAGGGTTGTGGAGTCAGTGCAGTGCAGTGCAGTGCTACTGCCGTACAGTAGGACGAAACACTTCTGGCACTGGGCTTTTCTCGCGACGGGCCACTTACACGGACCGAGACGGTGCTGTTGATGTCCGCCTTCGGAATAGAGGTAATATTACACTTCAAAGAAAAACGAGTTCACAAATGCTTTCCTTTTCATGGGGGTTAATAATTCTAGCTGCTCAAGGAAAAGCCCGCGAAGTCACTACGTGATCAAAGTGATAAGAAAGACTTTTGCCAGCTGAAGAGCTGAAGCGACTCCTGATGTTGAGAATAGGAGACTTGACTACAGTAAGAAGTTGCTTACTATGCTATGTCCGATAAGATTCATGTTCTCATCAGCTTAGGAACGAGGTTATGTATGCATTAAACAAAATTCGTCCTTTAGGTAGCAGTAGCCTGTATGTCTTGGCATGATAGCAAATCTTAACAAATCACAAGTGCTTGATCAAGTGACGATGGAACTGTTGCAAGATGTGAGGAATGTATTTATTTATAGGGCATGTTCCTTGGCTTATGTTCGACAGTTGCGACCATAGGAACGCTTCGTCGCGGTGCCATAGCTCGCTCGGTCGACAGAGAAGGGCCCTAGTACATCGATACGATTCAAGATGAAGCAAGTGTCATTGCTAACAGAATGTGAAAGACAATGTAGATAGGTATTTCTAGCCGACCACCTACTGTCCGGGTTTCATGCCAACTGTTCATCTGCTTCGGGTTTGTAATGTATATTGAACTCTGTCACCACCACCACCACTTTTCCTTTACGAACCAGAAGTAATGAAGATCTTGATCAACAAGTAGAGAGCAGGAATCACGAAATGTGGAATCGATCATGTCGTGCTTGAATGATTTTTTTTGTGCCATGCCAGATATGGGGTATCGTCTCTCCAAAACTTTTCCCGGGTCCATCAGACAGTGACTTGCAGCAAGACTAACAGTGCCAACCAAGAAGAAAATTGTACAAAATCCAAGTGAGGAGTAGGTAAAGAAGATATTATGAAGAATCGAAGAAAAGGAAGAAGACATCATCAACGCTAAACATAAGGGCCATAAAGAACATGATACAAACTCGGTTCTTGCTCGTTCTTCTGTGTCTTTATCATTGTCATTTCGTCGTCTCATGATCTCGTAATTATCAGAACCAAAACATGGAGAAAAAAAAAAAAAAAAAAAAAAAAAAATCAGTCGTAAATCTTCGTTCATGACCCAGTGACCGCTCAGTAGCGATACGTCGGAGGATCCGATGGGTATTCGGGATAGGCCGGGATATAGTCGTAATCGGTACCGTCAATATCGCGACCAGCATAATGCATTGATCTTGGGCGTGACCTCGCCCGCGAGGCCGCGCGAGCTCTGGTCTGAGATCGCTCAGCCCGAGAATGACGTTCTTCATAGTGCTGCTGGCGTCCATCTTCGATATACCGAGGCTGGCGCTCATCATATTCCTCCTCGTAATCGTAGTACGCCTTCTCATTTCCGTTTCGCCCGGAGGTGATGGCGTTCCTTGAAATGTTGATTTCGGCACCGCCAGCGCATTTCAGCTTTGCACCATTGACTTCAAGCACGGCACCCTTGCCCTTCATCACCCGAATGGTGACATCTTCATGTGGATTGGCGCTTGACCGCGTGGTTCGTGTTGTTGCCGAGTGCCTGTAATCGCTCTCATCACGGCTTTCTTCCGAGCTCTTGGTGGAACGACTGCTACCGCCGTTCCTTTGGGCTCTGCGGAGAGTTTCGGCCGTGAGCGGCATCGGATCACCACCAAGTGTCTCGGTCTGGTACTTGGCAGCTTGACGGATCTTTTCTTCGTAACCGCTTCCAGAAGCAGTAACTGGTTGTAGTGCTGCTCCATAATACGAGTGTCGCCGGTTATGCCGGCTGGCTATTTCCATCCTGGACTCCTGGTCTTCGTATGTCCCTGCACCGACACTAGGTCGCCGCTGGTGCCTCGGTCTTGACTTGGACCGCGCTCGGCTTGCAGCGGGAGCAGGGGTTTGATACTCGTAAGGAGTTGGCGAAAGGGCAAATAACGCATCGCCCGACTGGTCTTCGTCGGCATATCGTGAAGCTCGTCTGCCTGGTGTTGAGGGTACTGGCGGTGGCCTATGTGGGTTGCCTGACGGGTGAGCAGTAGAAGACCTGACTGTTCTTCGCGCATCTTCGTCCCTCGACAGCTTTCTGTGGGAAAGAGAAGGCCGCGGCATCGATCTCTCGTTCTCTTCGTCGAAATCTGCCTCCCCGTATTCAAGAGCGCGGGAGGTACGATAAGCCAGGGCGGTTCGGGGGCGATTCGGGCTAGTTCCGAGGCTAAGAGCAGCGAGTTGGGCATCTAAGCGTGCATCAACGGGTTGAGCAGAGAAGTAGTCTGTAGCCTGTCGGCTCAACGAGCCCGGCGTCGGAATCGGGAATGGCTGCATGGGTCCCGGTCCAGCCCATGTTGGCGGAGTAGCTGGATAGGATGGAGGCATGAATTGCGGAGGAGGCGGAGGCCCAGAGGCAATATAGCGAGCAGAAGGTGGAGGTGGTCGTGTTGGACCTGTCCCGTAATAACTAACGGGCCGGGGAGTGGAGGTCTGAGGACGAGGCGGTCGAGAGGAGGAGGTTGTCATGGTAGGGCTCACACCGTAATATGAGGCCTCGATCTCCCTTCCGTTCCTGTCGTATTCTCCCCGCCGGTGAAGATTGCCGGTGGTATTAGCATGTCGTGGAACGGGGCGTGAAGACGACATGCTGGATCTTTTGGTCCCAGATGTCGACTTTTCGCGCTCTCTTCGTGCCGTCTTTGAGGATTCACTTCTGCGGGGGTTTTGTGTCGAGTCGGAGTCGGGCTGGCCGTTTGTCACTATGGGTGAAGAGTCTGACTTCTTGTGCTCTTTTCGTGCGCGACCGGAGCTCGAGTTTTCTTTGGAGCCAACAGAGGCAGCGTAGCGGGAGGTTCCTTGGATAATGTTTCCGTCGTCGTCGGCGTCTTCCACAGACGCGATTTTTGAACGGGTCGAACTCATTGGAAACGAGCAACAGCTCGCGAGACGGTATTTAGGGCCACTTGAGAATACGGACCAAGGCAACTGAGCCGCAAGGCGGAGGCGGGCCGCAGTGAGGATATTCAGTCGCTAATGTAAGGACAACGAGGTTAGCTCATGCTTGCGCAGTGGATGCCGACGCCAACGACAACAACAAATGACACACAGTCAGTTGGGACGAAACATACGAACCTAAGAGCGGGGGTGATCCTAGAGCGATAACCAATGGTGCAGGACAGAACAGCAAGGGTGAAGTGGAGACTGAAGCGTCGGGAATATGGGATGGAGTCAGGGCCGTCTCGTCTGATGTTCCAGCAAGCGCTTGTTGTCAGTGTCTACTTGAAGCCGACGGGACTGTGGTGTTTCGTCGCGACCGGTGATGCCCAGCAGAAGCCCAAGGGGGAAAGTAGCAAGGCTACAGAAAATATGAAAAAAAAAAAAAAAAATATGTAATGGAGGAATGTGGCTGAGCGGGCGACAACGAGTTTTATTGACTGCGGGGGTGTAGCCTCTGCCTCTGACACTTGGTCCAACTAGAGGTAGGTAGAGGTAGGGACAGACGGGACTGGAGGGGTGCGACGCGTGCTGGGTAGCTGGATGCTTGCAAGCTTTCTCTATCCAAGCGCAGTATTCTCTTCTTACACTAGGCTGCCATCCAGGTCTGTCTGAGCTGGGGCGGGAGACCCAGAGCCGACAAAACAGAAACGGGGCGACGGGAATGGGGAGACACCTCAGCGAGACACCTCAGAAGGAAAGAAGGGAGGGGGTTGGAGGGGAGTGAGCGAGTGAGTGTGTGTGACGCAGAAACACCACCCACACTTGTATCGATAATGCAGCAACGGCGTCAGCAACGGTGCCCCGGGAAAAAACAGCTTGACGGAACGCTAAGTGACCGGAGAGCGAGCTGGCACTACCAGAGCGTTTCGTTTCTCTCGATCATTCCGGGCATTACTTGAGTTGAACAAATTCCTCTTATCGCTTTTTCTCTTCGCGGTGACCGCAGCATCTGAACGTCCCGTCTACTGAGATGCCCGAGTCGATGCTGAAAGATTCAACGGCGTTGTTCGGGAATTCGTACCGTATGATACGCTGCTGTATGACAGGGTGTGCCTCGTGGACTTGGGGATTGGGTGCTGGAGCACGGTGGATCCGTTCTGTTGCTGATCCCGTTGTGGGGGAAACTGGGGGGGATGGCTCCAGATAGTGAATCGCCGTCAACCACAAACCCTTGCTCCGAGGTAATCGATCCTCCCACGACATGAAAGAATCACCTCACTCGAGTGTCTATGGTTAAACCTCCAGGAAATGAGGCGATCAAAAGGCAGAGACAGATGGGCGGAAAAGCAGAAACGCGAAATGATGTTCTCAAGTCTCGCAAGGCAGTGGTGATCTTCACGCGCATGAGCAATTGCTGCTATAAAATATTTGGAGTAAGACTGCAGGTTGGGCTGTCTCTTGCAGCTCTTAATGTTGGGAATTAACGGATGGGCGGTTGATTGTTACACGAGGCTTCAACTCTCCGAAGGGTGTGGTGGGGTAGACGAGTTTGAAGTTGTTGCTACTCGCCTGAAGGAGGGTACAGTTTGGGCATTGGCCCGAGTGACAGGAGTGAAGAAAGGGGGCTGGTGTGTGGTTGCTCTGCGCAGATGAGGACAAAAAAAAAAAAAAAAAAACCAAGCGCAAAGAAAATGAAGGTAATGGGAAATGATGTCGACGACATCCCGGGATGATGGAATGGGTAGGCTGTATGAAAACCTGGAAACATATCCATTTGCTTCGCCGTCTTTACTGCCCGACCTCTTCTCTTTGGGTATCAACGGTAATTTGCAGGATTGCTTCAGTGTATGCCGTACAGGCACAGTCGACACTCGCTTCGTTTGGACCCCCAAAGCCGAAAACGATATCGTGAAATGAATGGAAACTGGTTAATGCCTCGTAAGGATGTGCATGGAATCACATTGAATCTTAGGGTTTTCAAGGGAGCAGGTAATTGGAGTCTGGGTATAGTCGGTGCAGCAAATGTATATGAGAATAGCCACCGCCCGCTTTCTAGGCAGAAGGGTCAACACAGCCATTCGCGTCCTCCATCTGATTTAGTTGTTCGCTCTTCCTGAAGTTGTATGGTAGGTTCTGAAATGCGGCTTCTGCCCGTCACAGTGTCAAAGTCATCCAGCTTGGTGTAGGCATGTAGGTTAGTTCTCATCGGTGGGTGTCCCAACCTGCTCATGTCTATGATAGTAGTGACCATGAACAATCATAAGCATTGAACCTTTAGCATTCACCGTGAGCGGGTCAAGTGAGACATGATGGCGCCCTCAAGGAACCCTGAGATGAAATCCTCGATTGTCAGCATTGTCTAAAGGCAAGAACAAGGGAACCCGTCTTTGTCACCAGCAATCTTTCGCTTCGCAGTACAATGCCATGTGGAAAATATCTTTATTCTGCCAAGCCCTCGAGAGTTTCGAGTTTGGGCGTGAGTGTGATGCCAACAGTCGTTCTTACCTGTCCAACCCAAATGCATAAAGACTAGTATTAACCCCTCAAACTTCAAGTCACCCGCCCAGAAGACGCAACGTGCGGCGCAGGGAGGGTGGGATAACTGGGAGGGTGCAATAGATGTGCCAGCTCCGCGCATTGTCGCAATTGCGCGGGAGACGAGCTACGTCTCATGCTGTATCGCCATCAAAAGCGGCTTGTCACAGGAAAAAAATAAGGGAAAAAAATGCGAATCGTCCGTGAAATCTGCACTGAAGAGCAAGTGACTCAACATCTTTGTCGCACAGCCAAAGCCATCTTGGGCGGTCATCGACCTGTAACAAATTGGACAGATTTCCAAGACGCTCTCCTTTATACTCGGCACAGGTACAAGGCATTGACTCAAGTGTAAGGGTGCAGCCAACCTTTCGTGCAGACTATGCGAATCTCTGTAAGGACGATGCGGTCGATGATGCACATAATTGTTGGCGTACCAGTACCATGGTGTTCTAGTGACATCACCCCAAGTGAAATAGCAGCGTCTTGGTTCCCGCCAATCTGGTATCTCCATACTCGGCGCAGATCACTCGAAGCCTTTTGGAAGGAGTCTGAGAGTCCAGACGTGGCTGAAACATCCAACGAGGAGAAGGAGGCTCAAACTGCAAGCTGTGGGCCAAAGAAGGCACCTCAGATCACCAGTCATCCAGGTCCGGTCGAGTTGTAACGCGTATCATCCTTCCGGGGGCACCTGAAGATCATGGTTTCGTCCCTGATCGACAGAAATTTGACAAATGAGCACCGTGTATCCCTTTGTTGCTTGGAGCTTGGAGCTTCGGTCCAGACAGAAGGTCCGTAGCGAAGTGCTTCGTTTACGAAGAACCAAGCACGGGCTGATAAATAGCCTGGTCGTGGTATTCCCTCCGATGTAGTCTGCAGTGTCAAGAAAATTTCTTGCTCTGATCAAACAACGACTTCCGTGTTCTTCGTCTTCAAACAAACCCGAAGACTAAGCAGGTCTAGCACAAACAACCGTGCTGTTCTCGATAGTTAGCCGCATTGTTTGTAATAGGATGGGGGAACATGAATAGATAGGTAGCTGGCTCACCAAAGCATCGATGCCCAGCCACTGGCCAGCTAGTCGTCTGATACAATGCTGCTATTCAGGCCGCCTTAGAGCAACCGAACAAAAAAATGAATAAAAACGAAATCACGGAACTATTGGACAAGAAGCGCGCAAGACGAAAAAAAAAATATAAAAAAAAAATAGGGGAGCCGAAGAGTGAAGACACATTTCCTGGATCACACCTCCATATCCACAAAAATAGGTCGGTGGTCAGACAGGAAGATACCATCGTCAAATTTATTTGGCAGAATTCCAAACAGCCTTAGTATGAGGGTTGGTGGTCTCTGGACAAAGAGAAAATCGATGGTCTTTGGCTCCTCGTCTGGCTCGCCAAAAGACGTGTATGTAATGTCGCGGTTGCCGTACTTTAGTTCATCTGGAAAAACCGCAGATGTGTCTTGCAGTCCTGAGTCCGGTGAGGTCAACGTCTTGTATGCCTGGTCTATAGGGGTACTGTTGAGGTCGCCGCCCAGAACCAATGGAGGATAAGAGTCACGATGCGCTCGTCTTCATTCGGAGGCCAGCATGAGAATGAGCTTAGAGCTTTCTTCCCTCGCAATTTGCCCTCGGTGGTCAAAATGGGTACTCATAACAATGACCGCTTTGCTTGTCGTCTTGTGGCGGAATGATCCGACGGTCACGATTCTCTCAAGGACAGCATCCCAACCGATTGACGGCCTTTCTGGAGTCTCGGAAAGCCAATACGTCTTCCAGTCTTGACAGTCCCATTCGTCCACTCGGAAAAAGATGGGTGAGAACTCGCCAGCCAGTTTGCCGTCTTCTCGGCCCCGGCCAACATGGCTCCACGACGGGCCGAGAGAATCCTGGATATCAAGAAGCTGTGAGTAAAGGACTTCTTGGAGGCAGAGAAATGTTGAGTCATGGCCAGAGGTAAGAAAGTTGAGTTGAGCACAAAGCCTTGGCCGACGGTCAGTCCATGGTTGCTCTCCAGGAACAGGATTATCGGTAGCGAAGCGGATGTTGAACGACACAAATCGGACATGGAGTTGAGCAGAACCCGGGGCCGGCGATTCTCGGAGCGTCATTGCTTCAGTTGAAAGCCCAAGCCAAATCCTTGCCGGGGATCGAAGCTAACGATGATAGATGCCGGTAGGGCTCGAGATGGTGACAGGGATCAGGGAGAATTGAATATCAAACAGAAACACTTGGAAGAGGAAAAGTAAAGAGAGTCGGACCGAGTCTCACTGTCGAGTCTGATCAGGTTTTTTTTTTTCTCCCCTCTCAACAAAGCACTTAAGTGAGTTGAAGGAAAGCTCTGTTCATGTTTGCAGTTCAAAGGTCAGAAAAGTTGAAGGTGAAGTTGACGGTTGAAGTTGCAGCCGAGTCAGGTCATGCCTGCCACTGCGCGCCATGCCTGCCGTGAGCCCTCGGCATCCAACTCTTATCGGTGCTTATCTTGCACATCACTGCGACGAGTGCATTCACAAGCCCGCACGTGCGCACACCTTAGTGGTGACTGATGACTGCAACTTGATGTTGGACTCAATCGTCAACTTCACCAATGCTTTCCTTTTCGTCCTCATGTCACGGCCTGGTTGGGCTGCTAGCGGTGCCGGGTTGCCGCAATCAGCAGTGCAGCTTAAATAAATAGTTGCACCCTCTTATTGCTCATGCACGATCGTGTTCCTGCTTCATGACGAAGCATGATCAATCGGCGCATCTTGTTCCTCGATGTCTCGTCAATCGCTCGATTTCCGCCCCAGATCATTCCAGGGGTTTTGGCCTCCGGCTTGATTTCTTCCGGCCATGATCCACGCGCCACGGCTGCACATCATGCGGGTACCTCAGATCAGACCTGGAAATCTCTCACCTCTAGGCGCGAACAGCGGCTACACAGATATCGTGGGGTCTTCTGCTGGCAGCTGGCGTGACCTTGTGGGTTTTCCAAGAGCTCGCACTTACACCGTAGCCGGGTAGGTAGCCATCATTCGGCAGCCATCCAGTGACTCGGTGATGCGGCTCCGTGCCATGTCTCCGTCCATGTCTCCAATTCAACACCGAGCGAAAATCCGGCTTATTCACCAGCCTTTACACATTCACAGCCATCATGCTTGCGCGTTGCGCAGTCATCTGGCGGCCCGAGTGGGTGCTGCCTCCTTGATTTTCTCATATTTTGTTGACTGTGTCTGAGCTCAGCAACCCAGTCTGTTGCTGCGCGTGATGCCGAAAAGCCGTGGGAGCCGCGTTTCCACTTCTCCATCACAATCCTTTTCCTGCTTTTCGATATCGAGCCATGTTGAAGTTTTTTTTCCCTCTACCCATTTCGTTCCAAGCTAACCAAGCGTTCCCACAAAACCCCTCCTTATCCCGCCCCGTGATGCCAGGAATGGCACGCTTTATGGGAGCTTTTGGAGTCCTGTCGGGGATAGGCGATCAGAGATCGGGGCCTGATTGGCCAAGGATCCAAGGAGGAGGTGCATTCGCCCCGCCAAATGAGACACATCGTTGGATGGTGACACACCATGTTCACCTCACAAGGCAACGCCTCATCATGGTTGGCACTACACCGATGACTGTGTCTGACATTGTGAGAGTGGCATGCGAGACATGCCAACCATTTCCGGTGAGAGGGTGTAGTCATCACCGGCTTGGTATATAGCCAAGGCATGCTCGTTCGTATTCAACTCGTCAGTCTACCCAGTCGTCTCTTCAGGTTCTATACATACAGCAGCAGGAGAAACGTCGGTTTCTGGTTTGTGTCTGACACCCCATTTTCTGACAGATTTGTTATCTTGAGCCGGCCAAGCCGGCATCGGGTTTCCTCTCTTGTCATCGCATATTTTTTGGTGGCATTTCCTTTGGCGTGTGGTGCAAAGGTTCATATATCACAGCAGTCTCGTCTCTACTCCTGTCAAGGTTCATCCTCTTCACCACGACGAACACAATGCCTTCTTCTCAACCCATTCGCCGTGGAGCTCTTCGTGACTCCTGGCCGCCTACTCAACTAAGAATCGACTATGGCGACTTTCACGATGTCGACCTATCCAACATCGACCAAGACCCTCTCACGTACTTCCTCACGCCCACACCTGCCGCCAATGCGGTTGACGACGACGACATGGATTTCGACATGGACTTTGACGCCGGAATCGAGGACACCAAACGCCCAGCGCCCATCGTGAGAAGTGTTAGCCCATCCAGCCTCGACGGCCTCAGCCTCCCGCCCCCTCGGCCACCAACACCACCCAAGTCGTCGACTCCCGAGCTCGAGTTTGATGGGTACCCTACGCCCGAGGACAAGGAGGATTACATGCACCTTGCAGCCGCTGCATTCGATTTTCCTGTTCTTCGCCTGAAGGACCTGACCAAGAAGCCCAAGATGAGGCCTTCATCGAGCTACAGCAATAGCAACAGCCGCCCAAGCAGCAGACTGGACAACTACAGGGGTACCTCTACGGCTGACTATGATTTGCCCCTGACGCCTCCCTCTCCATCTTATAGCCACTTCGCCAACCGGGGTCGGCCATTGACCCGGCCTGGTCCACGAACGATGTTCAGACCATTCCGTCGGTCACCGCACTCTTGGCGTGAGCCTAGCCCGGATGTTTGGGCTATCGAGGAGGAAACGGATGAGGAGCTTCACGATAGCGAGATGAGTGAGGGCCACCACGCGGAGCAGAAGTATGCTGGAGCCAGGAACATTGAGTCACCGTCAACGGCTTCAAAGGGAAAGAAGAGGGTTCGGTTTGCGCTGCCCTTTGAGCAGTGATTCACAGCTTGTGTTTAGAGTGCATCATCTCACTATCTCTACTTTGTACATTTTCTTCACATGGTCTAGGGTGGGAGGGTATCATCATTTGCATTTGGAGGGCACATTAGCATTTTCTCATGGTTGGATATCGGCGTTGGTGGATTAGGTCCTGTTCCTATACCCTTCTGCACATTCTTTTCTGGAACTTTGCATCAGGGAAATCATTGGGCGCCATCATGTACGGAGTACTGCATTACCTAGGTATCACAACAGGGTGGAATAACAAGGAAGAGACGGGAGATGGCCATGGACTTTTCTGACATGCCAGCGGTATATCATAGTTGGCTAGTTATGTGGGTGTGAGTGACTGGCCAGGGTCTGGTTTGTTTTCATAGGAGATGGGGCGGAGGACATACGTTTTAGATACTTACTTGAGGTTCACACCTCACGGCTTTCTGTTCTACTCAAATTCAATAAATCAAGTACGCCGTGCTGACGCATTTCTAACCTCCAAGTGTCGATATTTACTGCATCGCTAGGACGCTCTTTCAATATCCCCGAACCTCTCTATAACTGAATTTGGAAATTCGAGTGCACACCACTATCTAAAAAGGTGTCACCAGCTTGGAGATGAGCAGTGAGGACTTGCATAAAACGGCTCGCTCATGCAAAGCTAAAATGGGTTACATCCGCCTCAACATAACGCCGCAGCTGCTTGTTTTCTCGCAGTCGCAGTTGCAATGAGTAATATCCACCATAAAGTATACATTGCACTGCCGTGCCGAGCGGACTATTACAGTCCTGCTTGGAACCCCAAATCTTGAATTTCTTATGGCTTTAGTTTGTCGGACCTTGTTTTTTTCGCTATACTCGGGTCGGCTTAACAATATCTCCCATCCATGGCGGTCGTTATCCCACCTGAGCTCAGGATGATAGGTAAGATTGGAAGAGGACGGAAGGACTGTTGTGCTAAGTAAAGAAATATAATACAGTATCGTCGTGGTGGTTGCAGTTAGGTAGTTGCTGATGATGTCAGGTGCCAGAACCACAACCCACCCCCACCCTCAACATCTGCTGACAAGGGAAGGGACAAGGATGACCCACCATTGCGATTGTTAAGACTGCAGGGTGATTGACCATAGAAAACACCGAATACCTTATCCATCAAATACTGTACAGGACACTGGACCATTGATGTTTCAATTGCCACATACAAAACATCAAGACTCGAATACATAGGCTGGTTCAGTGCGGGTTGCTGGGCGTGTTTGGTATATTTGGTCACCCAGGCACTCACCGGGCATAGAAGCTTGGGCCACTGCACAGGTTCAACCTACATAGAACGAAGAAGGGACGAACGAATCGTCGGAACTGAACTGTGTGTGCAGCAAACACCGCCGCGCAGTGCCAGTGCGATTCACATTAATCCGGATGGAATGATACTACGTCCAATTCCCTCCCGTCCATCAACTTCGATTGGGTTGCACAAGGGACTCAAGGGATTGTTGTTGACATGTTTGACTTTTTTCATGGCTGCTGCCCTTGCGTTACTTGAATCTTGAATGGTCTCTTGGACAGCAGCGAGGGCGGAGATCAAGATGGAAGAACTACATAGGTGAAGCAATGTCAACTTTCCACGGACCGAAGCCGAACAAGGGAAAGTGGAAGAAGCGCGCGATTGTAACGAAACTAATGCAGTGGATGATAGCAGCCCCCACCAAGGCAGCCTACTCTTCGGAACCGCTCTAGTGCAAGTAATTGATTACCACTCAGCCAAGCTGCAGGAGAACGTGGTTTCCAACTTCCATGGAACCCGGTGGGACTGGCAGAAGCAAGAAGTCGGAGGGAGAAATCGGTCGACACTGATAACATGCCCGGTGGATGCGCCAAAGTGAGCAAAGGGTGTGATGAAGGGTGGAACTGCCTGCACTTTTTCACTCTTCTTTGGAGATCTGATGGGTTTCAATTGCTGATGTCCGCAGCAACCACTGCCATCAATTGATTGTTATTGGCGGCCACGGGAAAAAACGATAACCTCATTCTCAGCCACGCAGGGTGGATTGGTTACGGATTACGGATGTCTGAACGACCTCAGCAAAACAGAACAGAAGCTCAGCTGCTCCTCAAGCCCCTTCACCTACGCTCGCTCTTTTCCCGCAACACGCGCGCCAGCCAGCCTATGATTCCCTTGTCTGACAATACCTGGAGGTACCATTCATCAACATTTGCACCACAGCGGGCAGCTTTGCCCGTCGGCTACCTGCTCGCACAACCGAACCGCGTGGGCGACAGCTGACTCCCTCTCTACCTGAACAGCATACATACCCTTACCCTCGTTACGTCTGTCCCGCGGTTACCTTGACTCTTGTCTCTCTCTGCTCTATGGGATCTACATAGCGTGTTGCGTGTGTCTTTGATTTCCAGAGAATAAGCTCTTACAGGGGCCAACCCAGAGCTCGAGCACCTGCAAAGGGAAGCCAGCCAGGGCTGAAGGTTCGAGTTTTGCTACCACGCCGGGCTTTCTCTCCACCGCCTTTCTCGCTTGTTCCTGGCGAGCCTGGATCCTGGAGACATCGACGGACTACTTCAAACTCCACGCAGGGTGGGCGGCGGAGTTGGAAGCGCCTAGATCGGTGCAGCAGAAAACGCAAGAAATAGGAGCTAGACCTACTGTGGTCCATCACCGTTAGCCAGTGGGGCCCCTGTGGGCTCTTTCGATCCAACCCAAACCGGACGTCATCCCATTCACCAAGTGTGTGATTTATCCCTTCATCTCTTCTCAACAAAGCACGGCAGCCGCGGCAACGCGCCTTCAGAGAACCTGACTGCGCGTCTCGTCAACTTCTCCATGAAACTCCGGTAGCGCCCGTCAAGGCTCAAGGTTGTGTCTGGATCCTCAAAGCGGACCAGCATGCGGGCTCCCTAAGGTGAGCGAGCACCACTTGATGTGCCAATAAAGTCAACAGATGACATCTAGCGCAATGGACATCCACAATCCGCTGACACTCCGCCCATGACAAGTAGAAGAAATGTCACCCCCAAAACCAAAACCCGACAAATCTCCATCACCACGGCCAAAGACCCCCAAGATCACGCCCACAAACTCCAAGAATGGCGCCCCGACAATTTCACCGACCAGATCGGCCACGGCGCTGGGAGCCACCACTCCCAAGAGTGTGCCGACACCTACCAATAGCGGCCTGTCACACCACAAGAAGAAGCCCGAGCTGAAGAAGCCCGAGCCGAGTCTTCTGGGTGATTTCCTACTCGGCCGACCATCCCCGCAGCGCGTAGCCGCACAGCGCTCAGCCTCGAAGCGACGAAAGACCATGTCCATGGATGCCCAAAATGTTCGAGAGGAGCTACGCCAAGAGATGCGCGCCGCAGCTGTACGGAAGCTACAACAACCTGGTGGCGTTCGCGATCGTGTCAAGGCATGGCAAAAGGCGTCGCAGGCGGCAGTCAAGGCAGAGGGCCTTCCTATTCCGGTCGCAGAAGATGCGCGAAGCGAACCGACCGAATTCGCTGTCAACTTGAGCGGCGATGACGTGGACGAGGAGGACCGAATGAGGATCAAGTGGCGGCAGAAGCCCCCCAAGAAGAAGAAGCCAAAATTCGAGACGGTGGAACCCAAGGGTACGAGTGGGAGCGATAGCACTGCCAAGGAAAAGATAAAAGTGCTAAGGAAATTGGCCGACGACAGGCCCGATGTTATTATCAAGGAAGCGCGACCAAGGCCCGAGTTGCCCAAGAAGAGGATTATAAGCGACGACCACTGGATGAAGAAGCAGCAAAAGGGAAAAGGGCAAGCAAAAAGTCCGGTACCCGAAGCAGGCCAACCCATACCAAAAGACTTTCTCAAACGAACGGCGCAAAATCCCTCGGTACAAAAGAAGATCAGAGATTGGGCTCAGAGGGTAGAGCTCCCGCCGCCCCCGCCACCTGTTGCCCGGCGCCCGACGGTCAAGACATATCGCCATGCCAAAACCGGTGAGACGGTCACGGTTGAGGTAGACGAGGACGACGATCATCACCGCGGGGCACTGTCGGAACCAGATATGCCGCGTAGGAAGCGTTCATCGTCTGGTGAAAGTAGGAGGTCAAGCTCAAACCCAAGGACGCAACAGTGTCCACCCAATGATGGAATTAGGGTGCGTTCCTTACAGAAACGGGGCTCCAAAGATGATGGAATAAGGATCTGCCCAGCAAAGCCCGCCCGGTCACTGCCAGACGATGGCATTAGAGTTCGCCCGGGTCCTCCTGTCTCTGCCGACAGCAGCAGCAGGTCCACTTCTACAGTTAGTCCCTCCTCTTCGTCCGGGCGGACACCGAGCGATCGGTCCGGTAGCAGAACACCCCCCAGAGGAGCTTCACCTCCTCCAAGAAGAACCTCAACTCCGCCGCGAAGAGCTTCGACCCCGCTTAGAAAAGCATCGACTCCCAAGCCAAGAGCGCGTAGTGATCACTCGGCTGCTTCTGACGATGTGATAGAAGTCATCGTTGAACCTGAAAGCGAAGTGTCATCAAGGAGGAGCCCGAGTCCTCCGCCGAAGAGAAGGTTAAGAAGCCCTCCACCTCCGAAGAGGAAGCTGCCAAGAAGAAGGGGTTCCCGTGGCGGTGCGCGAAGAAAACCGAAGCGAAGAAGTCCTAGCCCACCAAACACAGCCACGCAAACAGAAACTACAACGGATGACAGGCGACCGGGCGCTGACAAACCAATGCCAACTCCTAGGAATGGTGGATCATCCGCAGAGGATTCTGACCGGCGCCCACCAACTGCCGCTGGCGTTGATGATTTAGCAGAGATTCCATTCGGCTTTTCGGCGTTTAGCGAACTGGAACTCCCGTTGAGGGGTAATACCCAGAGAACACATGCCCGCCAAAATGCGAAACCTAAGCCGAAACCTCAGAGAAATGAAAGCCTCAAACTAGTACCGAATGTCCTCAAAAAGGTTATGACCGGCGCCATGGAGAAAATGCAGGAGATGGCGGAACCGCCGAGGCCTCCCCCTACAGGGACCAAGCCCGCTAGAATCGAATCTTGGTTGAACAACACGGTTGACCCCTTCGTAGAGGGTATGCCGAACTTACCACCAGTTGTTGCCCCCGAACCCCTACGAGTCTCGACCCCTGAGCGCAATTCCAAGGAGAAGTTGGTCGACAGAGATCTACCAGCTCATAGGGAACGGGCCCCCGAGCGCAACTCGAAGGAGAAGCTGGTCGATAGAGATGTGTCGACGCACAAGGCACGGACTCACGAGATTTCCAAGCGCGCTTCGGCAGAGCTGCCGCGCAGGAAAGAGAGACCTCAGACTCCGGTAACCCATGAAGAGCTACGGAAGACTTCAACACGATCGGATGATAGCGAAGTAACTCCCAAGAGGAGAAAGAGTCCTACAACTACCCCTGATTCGGCGGCGGGGCTGAAACGACGCTCGACTCCTAGGAGCCCAACATTACCGCGAAGGAGCAGTGGTTCCGCAAAGAAGCCCTTTCGGGATGTGTTGAAGGAGGCCTTCAAGGGCGAATCCAGTGCGCACAAAATAGCACCTATGGTATATCCCAGCTGCGAGACGGACGTTGAATCTGAACCAGAAACCGAGGATGACTTGGAGTCCAGGAGAAGCCCACCGCAGCAGCGCTCTCCTGACTCATACAAGAGAAGATCAGCATCTCCTGATCGCCCTTCCAGAGCCGATTCCTATTCCTCGTCAGAACCTAGCACACGGGGGCCCTCGCGCAGAAGACGACCAACGAGTGACTTGCATGATCTATCCACCATACTATCTGAGGACTCCCGCGAATATCAGGAACCATATGGCAAGAAGGATACGGATAGCGTCTCCACTGTTTCCCAATCCACCGTAACACAGGCTCCCGAAGAGGCGTTCGGCCAGCCGACACCCCTCACCAGAGAAGCGAGTCAACAGTCACAAACCTCTCAAATATCCCGCAAGTCTGGCAGCTTGAAGCGCCGACTTACTACTAAGCACTCTGATTTGGTATCAGTGCTCTCACTTCCTGACGATGGCCAGCTGGTCCCACCCAGCCGCTCAAGGAGCATCAAGGCCTCGCGCAGTCTTCACAGAAAGCCTAGCAAGGCTAACGACAGTAGGGTCAATGATCTGCTAGAGGAGTTTGCCGATGATGAGCACTTCTATCATCGAGAACTGAAGACCTTGGTCGACGGTGTCGTCCCCGTGCTCTTGAACGAGTTTGTCCATAGAGACAATGTGGACGATGCCGATCGCAAAACAGACAGCATGGCCAAGGCTGTGGTGAATATGGGTGTCGCTCTCGAGAAGTTGTGGACTTACCACAAGCGCGCGCCCCTGCATGATATTCGGAGGCTCCTTGAATGGCTCGAAGCCGTCTCGCCGGTTTATAACAACTACCTTGACGTATGGCGATTGGGATTCCAGGATCTCATTGTCAACCTCGCACCGCCGAGCGGGAAGATCGACGAGAATGACTCCCTCCTGAATGCGCTACCTCGCAATGAGGATGGTGATGTGCTCAGCTACAACGGTGAGCGGGTGGATGTTGCGTACTTGTTGAAGCGGCCCCTGATCCGAATAAAGTGGATGTACAAGTTTCTCCGGGTGAGTTCCACTTGCACTACCATTGTCACCGCTAGCTTGGCGTGAACTGTCACTAACATGAGCGGTGTGTATGTAGGCGGCTGTTATGGTGATCAAGACTCCGGAAACTGAGGACCTACTCAAATTGTACGGCAACCTCCAGGAGAAGGCTCGAACACGGCATCGTGAGGAGTTCGCTCGCATGACCGATGAGGACGCCAACAACACCGACACAACACGCGCCAGAGACCTTCGCAACCTGCGACCACTGGACAACGTTCGGATCGATCCGAGCAGGCAAGTGGCAGCTAAAGACTCGTTTGAGATGGACCTTGAACACTCGAGCGGCCAACGACTTGAGTGCCAAATCGAACTTATGCACCGAGACAGGGTCAACGTGCCTTCTGACATGGGGGATATCCTCATCCGTGACATCAGCAACAAGGCTAAGCCATGGCTGCTTTTCCCGCCTGTTCCAAGGCAGTACATCTCGGCAAGAAAAGGCGAGAGTCCCAGGAGCATGATTGTCATGATCCGCGGTAGACATAACGGCGACGAGTGGTATGAGCTGATCAAGCTGTCCACTGCCGAAGAGGTCCAGATTACGGACTGGCTGGGGATTTTGGGTAGCGACCCCATGCCTCCCCTCTCACGACCTAAGCCGCCGATAAGCATGAGCCTTATTCACGTCAGCTCACCAAAAGCGGACGACCTCGACGTCCCGATTGGTGAACCTAGCGTTATTGGCTCGTATGATGATGAATTCAGGACGCCTAGCCGATACCACAAGCGACAAGCCAGCGCTCCGGTCACCTCCTACCCGGCTCCCAACAAACACATTCCGTACAGCGAATCTGTGGATATCTTCAGATCTCAGCCAATTACCCCAGCCTACGGAATCGAATCTGTGCCTATTCCTCGGCCCCTCAACATCAAGGGTTCAGCTGCCGTTCAACCTCCGGTGGAGCTTGGTCCTACGACCCGGGTGAAGAGGCGCACATCCTCTCCTCTCAAGCACGAATATCACCCATCCGACATCGACTCTGAGACTGAAGAATCCGCCCGCAGTGACTCGGAGTCGTCATCATCCTCCAGCGACGAGTTGGACGAAGATGATGTTCCGGATACGATCCCGGGTTATAGCCTCAAGCAACCCTTGCCCCAGATCGTTGAAGAATCCGTTGTTTCAGAAAACACTATAGCGCCATCACAATCAGCTTCTCAGGCTGGAGCACCTCAGCCAGGGCAGCAAACCCCGCAAGAGAGGACTGTGCAGAGGTTTGTTGCATCAGTCTCGTACTGGTCCAACAGAAAGGGTATCTGGAGGGAGATCAACACTGAACCCTCGCGCATCCTGGTCTTCCCCGGAAGTATGGAGGTACACATGCTCCAGGAAACCCCAGGGAACAAACAGGCGTACCCTCTGCAGACCTCTGGCACGTCCGAGGTCGATATGGCGAACAGAGAGGCTGGAGGCATTGTCCCTCTTATCTGCCTCATCCTCACCCCAGTGGTCATGATTCGCCGTAGTACGGCGCTTGACCTCGAGGTCCGCAGCCGCGTATCTCCCGAGTCTCGCCTGAGCAGCATCGATAGCGGCATGTTCCGCTTCCGCGCCGCGAGCCAGGATGAAGCGAAGGCCCTTTACGAGGCGGTGCACCAAAGCCGGCTGAACAATGCTAGGTACATTCAGCTTGCCGAGGAGGCACGTGTCCGTTCTTTTGGGCAACAAATACAGAACGATTCTGGCGCCGGTAGCGCCGACGGCACTGAAACCTCCAGCCGTCGGAAGAGCATCTTTGGCCGCAAGAACAGTTATCGCGCATCCACTCGCGCGCCCAGCCAGCACAGCAGCGCGACAACCAGCGTTTCGGCTAAAAGCTTCTTGCGCCGCTTACTCGGCGGCGAGAACACGTCGTTCAACATCGGCAAGTCCACCGTCGACAAGCAATCCCGCCCTGGCTCCATCGCCGGAAGCGGTGGTGCCCACGGCGGCGGCAGCGGCAGCCTGTACTCAAGCGGCTACTCCTCTGGTACCGGCGGCAATGACTCCTCAACTCCGCCGCGGAGCGCATCCGGCTCCGGCAGCCAATCCCCCAGCCGCTGGAGCATTGGTCTGGCCAAGCCGTTCACTCCAGGCCAACCGCTCGAAATCCGCTGCCACTTGAACGTGCAGAACAACCGCTGGGCTGACAAGGGCGACTGCATCCTGCACATTGGCCGTCCTCCCCCGGGCGTACGCCAGGAGCTATCGCTCTACCACGGCCTAGAGAAACGCATCATCGTGACACACGCCACCAAGAAGGTTTCTGACAAGCCACTCATTTTGTTAGATGCCGTGCTGGGATCCAAATCCTTCAGCATGCTGGGAACAAAGGGCATCATGTGCAGCGTCTGGGAGAATCTGCGAGACGAGGAAGGAAACGTCGGTCTAGCACCCCGCACGGGAAGGGTCGCTGGCAAGGTGACCAAGTGGTGCTTCCAATGCAAGAGCGTGCAGCAGGCCAACTGGGTCTTTGGCATGGTCACGAGCGAGGTGGAGGGGTTGCTGCTCTAGGCGATGCATCATCCCCCGAACCTGAATCTGAATCTGAATCTGATCCTGGAGCCCGTCTTGGAAGATATGGAGGAGAGCAGTAGTGGAAGTGGAAGTGGAGGCGGCGGGTGTAGTAGTAGTAGTAGTAGTAACGGCAGTGGTAGCGAGAGGTATCTTGGCTACATGCCAATTCCATCGCCACAGGTGGTGCGGGATGAAAGGAGGAAAGAAATGTGGAAGAGGAAACTGGACGAAAGTCCGGAAGGGAGGCGGCGGAGGGAGAAGAGAGCCGAGGAGAGGCTGGTCAGGTTGATGACGATGTCTTCTGCCGGCGCCGCGTAGTGCAGTGCAGCACTGCAGCTGGCGACGCAGATTGTGATGGAGTTTTGGTTGGGTTGGCATACACATCAAGTGCAACTGACTGGTGTCTTGCAGGCGTGTGAATTCACGCATTTGCGTTGGGTTTTGACTGTTTATGTTTCTTCATGTTTCTATAGCCTGCACGGCTTCTTATACCCCCCTATACATATTCTTACACCTATACCCCTCCCTCACTATATGGTTTCAGCGAGTTGAGCCGCCGGGAGGGTTTTCTTATTCGTTAATTACTATTTCCATTTGCGAAGCATTCGTCTTTCCCGTGTTCATATTATTGTGATACCAGATTTTCTCACCCCTCAAGAAATTCTGTTACTGCTTGGTATTCGGGCTTTATACACTAAATAGAGTTTCTGGTCTGAGGCATGAGGTACATTCAAGTTCAGTGTAGATGGTGTCCATTACATCGGATTGAGGTAAGTGTCTCTTTTCTCCATTATATACGAGGGTATTGCTGAGGGTAGAACAAATGGCCAGTTTCGGAACAACTCAGCTATTGTAATATAACGATGATTATGATTAGGTAACAACAGACCCTGTGAGATCTTGTTTAACCATCTTGTCCTGGTCGTCCTCACCTTCTCTTCTGCAACGCCAGCCGGAGAAATGTCAACATAGTCTACTTAGAGGTAGTACATATAGTCGACCTTGAATCGATCGACACCATCAAAATTAAAGGCCACATTAACACCCAGCACATTCATTAACAAGGACCAGCTCAGCTCACCTGTACACCGCTCAAGGAAATATTCCAGACCAACGACAGATCCTATCTCTTTCTTTTCACTTCATTCACTTCGAAATACAACATTTCTTCTTCTCCATCTGCGAAACTCATCATCCGTCGCCTATCATATCATCCTCCACCCCCTCTTTCCAGAACCTCTCATATCCACAGAATAGTATTATTATCGATCGAGTCGAGGTGTAATAACAACCTCACTCAAGGGATGTCAAAGCAAAACAAACGCCGCCCAATGCAAACCTGTAGCACCGCTGACGGTGCTAAGGATTCAAGAACCAATTACCAAGAATGCCACGCTTTTTTTTCCAGAGAGCCCAAGATCAGACACATCAATGTGCTGCCTTGTCTCTCAAAACAAACTACCAGTCCCTGTCCAGAGAGGACCAAAAAACCATTATCAACAGTCGCTTTGCAGTTGGGTATCATGACCATCCAGTGATGTCCGTAAGGAGTGTGTAAAGCTCGCCGAACATGTCGTCGAGATGCAAGTGTCGTTAAAAGGAATGTCTACGAGTTGGGTATATATGCGATTCGTCGATCCGTAAAAAGGAGTGTCTATAGTTCGTCATGGGATCCAGCCGTTGGGTATATAAAGGAGTGTATATGCGTTATTGAAACAAGTGTCGTTAAGGAGCGTCGTGTGCTGTTAAGTGCAGCGTCGTTGCAGTCGTAAAAGGAGTGTAAGATGCATAACAATACGTTGAAATGCTGCAGGTGTGATCGGAAAGGAACGTGGTATGCAATCGCGTCTGTATCGAAAAAGAAAATGCTGAAAAGAGATGCACACCGAATGCCAGATTCAGTTCGATGTGATGTGCTGATGCCTTTCGTCCGTTACGTTCTCATCATCTAGGTAATTCGAAGGTATAGAAGATATCGAGATGCTATGGCCATGACTCGAGGGTGGTGTGAACACCATCGATGGGGTTGGCGACTCGGGGAGCGGAAGCCTGGTGGAGTATTGTCCAGGGCCCAGGAGCGGAGAAGGGGCGAGGCTGTGTGGGGGGCCGGGCCAAAGTACGGCAAAGTCGTCCGGAGGCGGGTAGGTGGGCGTTGAGCTTAGCATTGTGGGAGTCCTGATGGCCATGTTAATTAAACCTTTGCATCTCTTCGGAGCCGGACAGCGGCCGGTGTGGCGATCAGAGATCCTAGACCGTCCACACGGATTGGATTGGATGGACGAACCCGACACCATAGGGGCTGGCACCGCCCATCATGGGTGTAGTAGCGGAGAAGCCCATGTCATACGAGGGATATTCGTCCGGATCGCTGTAGGTGACGGAAGCCGCGTCGTTATAGTCACCGAAGGTGCTCGTGGTGGGACTGTATGCTCCATAGGATGGGCTCGGGATGCTCAGGTACTGTGGTTGGCCAAAAGGTGCCGTGATCTGGACCGGGCTGGGTCCGCATTCCGGGATGACGGACAAGTTCTCGGTACTGTAGCTGAAAGCCGGCCTCTCTCCGTATGGCAGGTACTCGGACGACGACGCCGCGGACAAGGGCATTGGTGAACCTTCGCTTGCGTAGAAGTTATCGAACACTGGGAAAGACGGGGTACGGATCGGTTGATTCCACCCCATGCGAGACCGGAATTCGGAGACTGTGTCAATAGGGAAGTTCATCAATGCAAGAGGGGTTGCCAAATCACCCTCGAGTTGGCCAGAAATATTCAAGGAATGCAGGCGACGTGCAATCTCCTCAACCGGGCCAATTGTCAAACTTCCAAAGTAAGCGGCGCCGATCTCAGGGAAGAGGCGCTCCATTACCAGAGCAACGGTGTAATAGTGAGCAATGATGACCAAGGCACTGGGCGACCCATGGGTCTGTTGCAGGTACATGACGGGAAGCCAGAACAACCACGTACGCAGGGGTCTCAAACGCTCAAACTGTTGGGCTACCGACAAGGTAGGGCTAACCTTGCGAGCACCCTTCAGGAAGCTGATGAGCTGGGCAACGGACTTGGTGTCCTCCCTGTTGTGCTTGAGGTGAGACTCGACCTTCTGGAGCTGCTGCAGAGTCCTCTGAAAGGCGTCAAGGTCTTCCTTGCGCGGCTGGCTGGGCTTGTGATCCGGGGCAGGAGACGGGGGAGCGGTTGGAAACGTGCTGCTTTCGGCAATGAAATCACCGAACTGGGACTCGTGCTTCCAAGGGTCCATGGCTTCAATGACCTATTATTTCCACGTCAGCATCCGCCTCTCTTTGTAACCACGTACGCTCGCAGTCAAACGTACCGATGAGGTTCCCTGCATGAGATGGGTCCAGCTTCGCCTGTATGGAAATCCGAGTTAGCCCCTCCTTGTCTGTGTAGCCGGAAGGCTGCAGTATATTGCTTACCAATCTGTGGCTTGCCACGACAGAACAAGAGATGCGGCAAGGATGGCGTCAGAAGTGTCCTTCGAGAAGGTCCCGATGGCTTCCTGGAGACCCTTCAAGGCGATACCCCGATGCTCGTAAGCCATGTTTCCGACCAATGGACAATCGGTCAAGTACGCAATGTGCATGGCAGAGAAGGCCAACAGCGAATGCAAGACATAGTTATGGGTAGCACCAATCTTGATGATTCTAGAAAACCTGTTAGCGCCCAGCCCAAGCCATTATTGACGTGTCAAGTGTGAATCTTACGTCGGGATCTGCCGAGTCCACAAAGTGAAGCCGTTGGCATCAATTTCCATCATCTGATTGCTGATCGAGGCAACATGGTGGATCAGGCGCAACTCGTCTGTGCTGAGATACTGAGGGGCCGGAGTCGGGTAAATGTTAAGGTTCGGGAACGGGAAAAGACCAGTTCGCTGCCATTGCTCGATTACAAGCTCGATCTCGGGCGTCCACATAAGATCCGGTTTGTCAGGAGAAGTAGACCGGTCCTCAGCGACAGGAATGTCATTATATGGACAACGGATCTTGTGCTTGGTGCAATTGCGGCACTGGGGAAAACTTTCGTCACAACGAATGTGGCGGCGCTTGCTGTATGATTGTTAGAAAAGCACCTTTCGCATCCAACTTGTCATGGGTTGAGTTAGCTTACCATGTCTCGCATCCCTTTCGGGACTTGGTGTGACTAGAACAAATGTCAGTAAAGACAACCCGAAGTGAGAGCACAAAGTAGCTTACCTGCGCCTAGGGGGACCACCGCCGGGACCAGCCATTGTGACAGTAAGACAGTCGGAAAGTTAAAGCGAAAGATCTAATAGCAAGGTTAGCATATATCTCTATAGGTGTAAAACACACGGACAAACGAAACACTGACAAGAAGCAGAGACACAATGGACCCTGATGACGTCGAAGTAGCGAACGTAATGGGTTGATACGAGGACAGGAAGCGTAGGCTGTGCCTTACACCGATGACAGGTACCGAGACTGCAACGTTGCCTTCCTGAAGGGTCAATCTAGAGCGAGCGTAGTTCGGAGTAGTTGTTAAACGTGAACAAGTCGATAGTCAAGGTGCTTTGAGCGTTGACTACCTGGAGTAGCAAGTCGGTGTTGCCTGCCGAGTAACCGGTTGCTTGCGCCGAGGTCGTTTGCAGTTGCGTCGTCGTGATAACCTCAATGTCCAAGATCTTCCCTTAAATCCAGATCCAAATCTCCTCCTTTCCTTCACCGTGGTAGCGATCGTGTGTTGTGAAAGTTTTGCTTGTTGCGTGTTTCCAAACAGACCCGGAAACCTAGAGCAAATGGGGGCGTCGGTTTGTGGCTGATTCGAGGTTACAAGCAAGCGAGCAGGTCTTAGTAGATGTATGGCAACATCTGTTTTGGTGATTTAGATTCTTGTCTCTTTTTCTTTCTGTTTTGTGTGGCAATCCAACGAGGGTGGTTGGCTAAGCGAGAGTCAGATGAATGGGGGTGTTGTGGTACGGATCTCCTGCGCTCTTCTTCGATTCCAGATGAGTTGTTGCTGAAGCCGGAGCGTGGTACTGGAGCGAGTGAGTTGCGCTAGTGAGACAGAGTTGTTGAAGTCTTTCCAAGTGGTGAGTGGAGGCTTCAGTGTTGTTTCGCAGGGTTGAGTTGAGTAGGCGTAGCGAGGGGGGGGGGAGTTTCCTTCCTTCCAAATCTGTCCGTCTCTCCAAACCACCAAGAAAAATGAAACAAGCGAATGACAGGAGTCGACGAGGACTTCCTAGAGGTGCTAAAAAGCGAATGTGGGAGGCGGGATGATAGCGGAGGACTGAGACTCAGACCTGAGGGTTGATGATGTACAGTTTAGTGAGATAGGTCGAAAAGGAGAGGGGACGCGATGTGCCCCGGGGGAAGCCCAAGTGTTAAATAGCGCCAGTTTGGACTGGGTCTTGGTGGGCTTGGGTGCAGACGGGCGTGACGGGGGAGTGCTGGGTATCACTTGCGCACTTGGCCCTGCAGTTTCCGCGCACCTTCCATGTTCCCTTCCAGGTTCTCTCTGGGGTTGGGCAGAGCCGCCCGCCTGATCATTGGCTTACACGCCGGGGTCGGGGCCCTGTCACTGGAGGGGACGTCAACCTAGCCCTGTTGCTGCCACACTCCTTCCTCCTCCCACTGTGTGCTCCAGTGCAAAAGCCCTTCCAGTTGCTCGAGTGCTCTTTCCGTGCAGTCTACATAGTAGAGGTATCCCATCCCATCGACATCTGCCATAACACCAAAACAAGGTGGAAAACCTGTGCCGTCATTGGCTGCGAGTCCACCGTCTGAGCAAGAAAGAGGAGGAGGAGATGGACGTACGTCCGAAAGAAGAGAACTTGAACCCCCAACAATGTACCCACATCCGACTGCTACTCGCTGCCCTGCACACCCGCCCACAATGCGACCAGAATGGGCAATCCACTCGCTGCTGCAGGCAATGAGATGGGGGTGCATGAGGTGCCCGCTGCGTGGACAATCACCTGGCACGAACAAGGGCGAGCGCTGATGAGGTATCGGTACCGCGGAATGTAGACGGCGGTGCCGATGAGCATCATCAACAATAACATCAACAACAACAAGGACAAGGTGAAAACCAAAAGAGCCGCCGCCCGTGGATCATCGCCGCTAGGAGCTGCCCTGCGTGCTGTAGTAGAGGTTCCTGTGTACATGTCACGGTTCTACAGGGTGGATGAATGTAGAAGGGTGGGATGGATGGAGGGTCAGTTGTGTGTAACCGTTCAGTTCGATTCCCTGTCACTGTATCTGTCTGTCACTAGCCAGTCCTCCACTCTGCATTCAGCAGTGGTCGAGGTCGGCCTGACATCCAAATTCATCCGGCGATCAACGGACCATCCAACGGTCCAGCCGGTAGGTACCTTCTAAGCAACTTGCATCCAAAAGACCTCGGTAGGGGACCTCTCGAGCACAGGGCGCAGCAGCAGACATGACAGCAACATCAAGCATGAAGCAATAACGACAGCTTCTGGTAACCTGCCCCATCCGGTTTACTGTACATGCTGTAGTATGTACCATAGACGTTGGTTCTTCTAGTTTGGGGGTCCATCGTCATCCTGACCTCCCGCTCTCTCAAGATATGGGATGCTTGCTACCATCTTGCTGGACTCATCTGGCATTGAGAAATGATGATGAGTGGTGGGCCATAGTTGGGCTTGCAGACAAACTATGAGGAAACAAAGGGAGCCAAAATCGAAAAGAAGAAAAAAAACGAAACATTGGTCACTTTACGACAAATTACCCCGACTGGTCTAACTGACATACTCCACCTAATAGTTACCTTACCTAACCTTAACGCTACGGAATCAAGGGCACAGCCGGGCGGAACTGTGTGAAAGAATGGAAGCGAAGAGTGCGGAGTCGCCATGATCATCCATCCATTTTCCTGGGAACAAGAGTGATGAGGGTTGGACTGACAGAACAGGATCTCCTCCGACGTTTTTCCATGTCCCCTCTCCACTCCCTGGATATCATATCAGAGATGGATGTGGCTTGTTGTTATTGCAGTACCGTTGCCGAGACGGAGACACGGCAGAGCGAAAGAATAAAAGAAGTGGAAGTAAAGCAGGCGTTCGAATGAAGCGAAGCGAAGCGGAACAACGAACGGGCCATCTAACTCCAAAGGGCAAAAGAGGTGACCGATCGAACGAGGTTTGCTGAATGGAACTCTCCCTCTTTCTCTCTCTCTCTCTCTCTCTCTCGCTTTTCTCCATCTGTCCCCGGCACCCAATCCATCAACTCAGGGAAGAGGAGTGGGCACCTTGAGGAGACCTCGCTTCTCCCCAGGTAGGTGCCGGTAGAGATGGAAGCGACAGATTTGTAAAGTATTAGCAGATGTGTCGTCCCCGTTTTCACTGGCACCTACCAGGCCACTGTTGTCGCACCATGTCATCCACCGTCCCTGACTTGGTGGTGTTGGTGTTGTAATGGCAAAAGTACTATAGTTAGGTAGCAGTAGTCAAGGGAGACTAGTTTAGTACTCGTAGAAGTAGGTAACGTAGCGTAGCGTCTATTTTCTGTCTTTTTCGTAAGTGCACTTCATGATTTTGGATCTAGGTGATCGACGGCCGAGGCACACAGTAGGGGTACTACTACTCTACAGTGTCGAACTTTACCAATCAATACCTCAACTTTGAGAGATCTGATAACATGATAGAAAATGGCACCCTTTTTCTCAACTTCAAAGTGACGAGATGATGCTCATTTGGACTTGAAAGACTGTCCGAGTTCGTGCTGTTGAAGCTGCGGTGCGCACAGGAATAAGTTAACATCTGGGAACATCCTTGACCTCATCTCGAGTGCTTAGGCCTGCGGCTCGTTTCCGCTGTTGTTAGGCTTTGTTTCACGTCCTGTCTTCACGATGGCCCCTGTTCCTTGGAGTTCATAGAACCATGATGAGAATCTCGAGTAAGCTATGCCAGCTTGGTCGGAAACTGAGGGTGAGGGCCCTTTCTTGCTTACCAACAACATTCTCCATCAGCAACCACTATGCAATATCTGTACATAAAGTCTATGAGTGGGATCTGCGTCCTGAAAAGGCACCTTGATGAAACGATGTACCTACATTGCCTGACTGCCTGTCGGTTTCATCTTGTCCCAGAACGCTGGTCCTTTGTTTGTCGTTGGGAAGCCCCACAGCCGGTTCATGGCCCTTCCCATCACCTCGAGTCGGTCCTTTCGCCAAGTCCGAATCGTCGCCAAGGCCGTAGCCCAAGTTCAAGTTTGTCAGTGTGTGCCGTGTGTCGAGAGTGTGCTGTCAGGTGTGGTTTTTCTCTGAGCTTCTGGCGCCTGTGGAGTGCAGCTGCAGCACGCATTGACAGCGGGCGGGGCCTGAATGACACTGACTGCGCGCACTGCCCGGCGGTAGGTAGGTAAGCAACTGACGGAGCTTCCACTTGAAATCAAATCCATACTGTGCGAATAATTTGGAATTAATACTGTTATTCTACAGCTCTAACGGCGGCGGCTTCGCTTCGTTGGTAACGAAACTTTATCTGTCAAACATCAATCTCGATGGGACTTTTTGAGTACCGAGAGATACCCTTACCACTAAATTCCATACCGTGACAATGGCTACGGAACGCTTCTCGTTCGACCAAGAGCGGTTGTTTCTCCTGGATGAGCAACTATCAGTGCAGCTGACTCTTATCCAGTATATTTCGGGCCCTTTCACTGAGGCGCAACAGCAGATCCGGCAGAAGCTTGCCGAAGTTAGCCCAGGTCACGATCATCACTGAGCTACGGAACTTAAGCGGGGCAGATAAACCGACTATGTTTGATTCCAAACCGCTTATGTAGAGCCATGATCCAATTCACCTAGGGCAAGTGTTAGGTGCTGGGATTAGCTCCAGAAGTTCAGGGGGCAGTGAGAGAGCCCGCGTATACAAGTGTAAATTGAGCACAACAATAGAGGCGGTCTTGAACACTCGTTGTCCATTATCAAAGACGACGCCTTCTCGTAAGGACGTGGTAATGGTTGCCGGCGCGCGATGTTGATGCCAAGCTTCGGGTCCTAGCTGGGCTTGGCTCAAGCTTGGCGAGCTTGGCTCTTCGCTTCGATGGTCCCAGACAGTCGGATTATCCGGTTAAGTCCCTTGGGTGGCCCCGGAGCCAAGAGCCTGCTCCACCTTTTTTTTTTTTTTCCTTTTTTTTCTTGTGGCTGATTTCCTTCTTTTTATTCTGTTGCCTTGTCCCGCATGCCTAATTGCTTGAGGGTATCAATCACATAAGTTGGTTAATCGTTGTGTGAATTTACCTTTGAACTAGCTGAGTATGGCATAGTCTGTGCATGGCCGGTCTTTAGTTTTCTCTCGCGGATATTAAATGATGACAAGAGGTAACTATTACGTACCTATTCCGACAACGGCTAGCCGAGGGTTAGGCCAGTTCATCACAAAGGACCCTGCCTTCCTGTTTATCCCAAGCGTGAAGGAGAAGAAGAGGAGGCTGGTTTAAGCTCATCTGGGGATAGCCGCTCCTGTAAGGCTCCAGGAACGGGCCGGATAAATCAACTGTGTTGGATTCTTGATTGACTGTGTGGGACACATACTAACAGCCAAACTCGAACCAAGACCCCAAACTTACAGTAGCATCAAAAGTCATCATTTCGAATCACGACAACGAGAGCTTATGCGACGATTCATTATGGATCGCCTTTACTCCTCTAAGTTGCCAAGATCGCCGCAGTTGTTCTTTTTCTTGGGCGCACCATGAAAAGAATTACAGTGAATGCCGGTGAATGCTGGTGTGTTATAAGGATTTGCGAGTCTGACACGCCCGGGCTTCCGTCACTAGCTTGAGCGGAATGGTAAGAGGGACCTTACCGAGTCAAACGTAGACTGAGGATAGAACTCTAGCAGAACATAAATCATCGAATGAATCACATTCACCATCAGCCGTCTTTACATCGCGTCAAGTCTAACATGAGGCCAACTACTCACATGGTGGTTGAACCGTCAATAAATGTGGTGCCCTCATTGGCTGCACCCAATCCACACGGTCGATGAAGGATCGAACACAGTCGATTTATCCGACTTGTCCTGGAAGAGCATATTACAAGTACCTGATGCGATGTGCCCCTGGCCCAATCAGAGCACCCCACAAGCGAACGTACCGGAAACACAATTGAGGCGGAGCTTGCATGTTTCCATGCTAGCTCTCTTCTTTCCTCTATTGACGGTCCGTTCTAACCTCCAATGTTCCGTGGGTGGGCAACCGAACGACCTGTCTAGTGTACCTGCCTCCCTACCTGGACGGGCACTGACCGTTTTGGGATCTGGCCTGCATGACGCACGAACTTGACATTGACACCAACATCTCACGGCCCTGGTTGTCTCGTTGCCAAATGGATAGGGCCTTTTGTAATTATCATGTGAGTGAAGTCTATTTCACCTGTCCGGGTACGCCAATGAATAAGGCCAACGTTACTATGAACCACTTCGGTTAAATTTGCGACCGGGCGCAGTAGCGGTGCTGGAACCAACGACAGCCCTTCAATTTCTTGAGAGGTCTTTCGGGGACGGAGGCAGAAACAACCGCCTCTAACTGCCTATTTCGTTGACGTTTAGAGGGGAAGCTTGGGCGCTTAACGAGGTTTTTGATGGTCGCGATTATCATCTTGCAGATGAGGGGGTTTGGGTTAGTTCACTTGGGAAGTGGGAAGATAACAGGCCAATGGGGAGTGGTGGAGATTCAGCTTGAGCCAAGCCACCTCAATACAAGGAGTTCCTTTGATATCGATATGTCTGTGTGACGGTGGTAGAGTGTGCCATACTCTGCGACACTCTCAGGCCATTTTGATCCGGGCTACTTTCGATTTTTTTTCCTCGATAGTCAACAGGGATTTGGAAAAGCGCTCGAATGGTATGCGTTGATGGGCGTGCTGTCCAGTGATGGAATGACCTAGACTGCGGGCAAGAGGCAGAAGTATTACGCGAAGCCCACGTCAGGTTCGTTTGAAGAAAATATGGTCCTCTACAATACTGAACAAAACCCAATGATCATTCACGAAGAGCCTGGAGACTTGATATTGGACCGGTTCCCGGGCTGAGCTTTGCTCCGAATCATCCCTTTCTCAGATCTTACTGTCTTCGAAAGTACCTTCCAGTTTCCGATCTGTTGAAAAACTTGGGACGATGAGTGCAGTAGCGGGGTAGCCTGATGTCATCATGTCGAAGGCGAACAAAGTTCCTTCCCTTTGTGGTAGCACTTCGTGACGCGCACAGAAGCAATCGGCAGGGACACCCCTCTCCCCTCTCCCGAGCTACCGGCCCTCCGGCACACAGACGAGCGCACAAATCCAAACGCAGAATTCCCAATCTTTCCATTCTGACAAAGAAGTTGGGCCGGGGGTTTTCTACATACCAGCCCCTGCCAATGAAAACCCTTTTCATCAGATGTCCATCTATTTTTTCACGGAAATAAGACCAGCTACTGTCCACCCATTTGTCCACTTGCCAAGGACCAACTTGCCGGTTATATGCGAGCGCGAGCACCGACAGAGCGTAGCGTTTCTGGGATGCCACTGTATTGCGTAGTAAAAGTAAGTCCTCCCATGTTGATAATCGGTATTCCTCCGCGCCGTCCTCCGTGAAAGACTCCTCCAACATCGGCAGCACTACCGCAGCGCTACTACACTAAACAATGTCTATGTAGTAGGTACATGCGTACACTACCTAGGCGAGACCGAAAATACACACCCTACCCGATCCCTACTTTGAGTTCCGGGTAACGAACGGAACGGATACAGTACGTACGGATTGCCAAAGACTGGCACTCTGTCAGTTACATAGGTGTGTACAGTCCAATGCTGATTTGATTGTCAGCGCGGTTCTTGCAACAGGTGATAAGATACAGACAAAACCACGTAACAACCACATTCGAAACGGAAGATCGGGTAGGGTGTATGAAGCATCCGAAAACGTATCTGGTTGATACCAAATTTCTTCCACGGAAATTGTGGAATGGTGGTTGAGTTGCGCAGAATGCGTAGTGAAGTCCCGCGCTAACGAACAAACCAGGGGTGAACCACCACCGCAAACCCCGGCCTCCTTGTAACGGACCATTCGGCTGTACCATGACTCGAAATTCTCTCGCGGAGCCGTCCGTTGCCCGTGAGCCTCCCGAGCTCAGACATTCCGCTACGGGACAGTACGGGATCAGACACGGCCGTGAAAACCCCACTGCTTCGCTCTTGGCTCTCTAGCCCTACTTTCCAAGGAAAGAAGAAACGAAGAAAAAAAGCCCATTCGCCCCTGCTTTTTTCCGTCTTCGACCGTTGTGGTGAGCCGCAGATATCCATGCATCATAGATGGAGCGATGGAGCCTCAACTCGACAGCCCACCGTTGACGGGCAGTGGAGACCAATGGAGTTGCAGCATCGACAGAAAACATGCCAATTGTTTCGAGGGCACGTACAGCGTCGCAACTGATACCCTCGCGACGGAGCATACCCCGTTGAAGAAACTCAAGCGAATCATGACCTACGGCACCGTTGAAAAGGAGATTTTTCATCGGCCCCATCACCATCGGCCGGTCACGATTGTCTGCATAACGATAGTTTGACAGTTTGACTACAAGCGACAGCCGGTGGTGGATGGGATGGGATGGACGGATGATAGGTCGAACATGGTCTTCCTGTGATGAGTACATCTAAGTTTAGTTTTGCCCTCTCCCCATCGTGCCCGAAAGAGACTGATAATGATGCAAAAGTTGCTAAACCCTTGTCAATGGCTTTTGGTCGAGAAACTAGCAGTTGGAGCGCGGAGGGATCTGATTGGATGAAACAAACGTTTCTCGTGTCCATTTTTGGATACTTGCCTGCCGTCCCAAGCCCCTGCGACTCCTTTCTTCTCACCTCCTGACTGGCCTTTTTATTGAGCTTGGCGGCCGGGGCGCGATGCATCGTCATTGCCGTGAGGCTCGGTTTTGCTCGATCTGGGGGACGCCAACGACAACAACGACAATGCTGCCAGGTCCCCTATTTTCACCCACCAGTCCACCCACCAGTGAGGTTTTCTATAGCGAGCAAGCTCGCCATGTGACATTTGTCACTACACATGCATGCCATGGAGTGGCTTACCTTTTGGGGAGGGGGGTCAAGTACAAGTTATGACACTCCAGAGCGAAAAACATGCCTTGACATGTGCTATACTTGTAAGCACAGATCTCGGTACCTCTGTCCTCGAAAACTGACTTGTTTTGTCTGGGTCGAGAAATGGCCAGCCTGGGTTTGGTTGCGATGAAGGTCACCTTGGTCCCTGATCCTATCGCGTCCTGGTCTTTCTCTTTTGTTCCTTCATGGAATTTTCGGAGACAACAACAGGCCAGCCGGCACATGCAGGTAGGGTGCAGGTGTGCTGGTCTCCTCGTCCACGCCGTCGACGCCATCCACGCCCGTCCCACGGTCACGCATGGGTTTGTGCACCGAAGTTTGCGGGCTTGACTGCTTTGGGCGTAGTCGGTTTCTATTCTTAAAATTAACCTTCTTTGGCCTTCTTGGTCTGCTCCACTTCCATTGGCTGCCCTGCTGCCACATCCGACCGAGAAACACCCGGCCCAGCCACTCAGAGGTGAGGAAGCAGAAAACACACTGCTAGCCCTAAAGCCACTCACCATCACCCCCTAATTGTTAGGCCGTCTTACAGCCTGGCTTCCCACTCTCACCCGTCATCAGATGACTTTCCCCAGATCTCTCACTCTCTGCCGACAGACACAGATTCGCAATCTCGGCAGCCTGTGCGCACAGCCTCAATTCCTTATTTCCGAGAGCTTGTGGTATCCTTTTTTCGAACGACCCATCGACCGCTTTCGGGTTAGCAGGCCGCAATGGTCAGAGAGCTCCGATACAACGTTCCACTCCTCATGCCCGCGGCTTCCGCCAACAAACCTCCTTTTCATCATGGCTTGACCAATGTATCTAGACCGTTGTGGCTGACCATACACACAAGCTGCCCGCGCGCCTTTGATTATGCAAGTTCCTTTTCCGCCATCTAATCCAAACGTCAGGCTGTACCATGAGAGCAATGGGAAGTCATTTCTTTAGCCTACGCTTTACATACCCAACCTTTTACGCAATCCAGTCTCATCGACACTTGCCCACCACCAGATGCACCCCACGACCAAGCCCAGCTGGTCTTGTCGTGTGTCGTTGGACAAGTGTCAGCAAGGTCACCGAACTGCACCCTCCGTACCTGAGTTCCTGCTCCGGATATCGTAAATCCTGGACGCCCGGGGGCGGTGAGCATTTGCACAGCTGTTGTGCAGATGAACGACAGGCACAGATGCGAATCATTCGGTGCATCGAAAAAATGGCTTCGCAGCAATCGCATGGGTCCTTGCTTCCACCCTACACTACAATGTCGGCTCTGATACCATTCACGGTGTTCACCCGTGCCCCGGTACCTTGCCGCCAATCCTTGAAAGATGCGCGTGTGCAAAGTTTGTTATCGGGGTGAACCGCCTTCAACACTCCACGTGCGCGCGGATCTCGCGGCTATTCTCACGACTTGCTGCAACATGCCGAGGGCAAACCCTCAAAAAAGCCGGCAAAACCTAGGTCGTCCACTGTCTCCTGCGCCTCAATCTCTATATAAATGTGCTGTTGACCAGGAACTAATTATAGACTCATCCCGATCAGGGAACCCTTGGAGAAGTCATCTCCCGCTTGCCATTGGCATCGTCGCTGGGTTGAGCCACTCGACCACTCGAATAGTGATAGATGAGGTGACAACTACATTGCTGTCATCACCATCCTTTCCTATCTGGGCTCCGAGATAGTCACTATCGGTACCGAAAACTCTCTTCTTGAACATCACGGGGAACATCATAGCATTTTATCCGACTGAGCATGCATCATTGCCAGGCACAACATAATAGACGGTAGATATACTGTCGCCTCAACCACTTCCGTCCTTCCAGGCTGTGTCGCTAATAAGTACACAGCATGTTAGCCTCACATAACGAATTTGCACGGGTATTCTATGCATGACACGTACGTCACAGCCATGCGTTTGTGAAACCTCAAAGCGCGGTGAGAGACGGGACGAGATCATCGAGAAGACCAACTCAAGTCACACGGGGCTGCCTACCTCACCATACATTTCTACACCCGACACAATGGGTATAGCTCTCAATGCCTGGAGTATTTCCCGATCCTTCGGCGCCTATCCATCATTATTAAGTGATTCTTCAGGGCAGGCACAGGAGAGATGGAAATACCCCGATGTCTGTTCCCGTTGCCTTGCTATTTTTTCCTGGGATGCGTGGCTGGGCTTTGCAGCAAACATGGTGCGTTTACCAGAAAGGAGATCACAACAGTATCTTCGTGGACACTGAGATTTCCTTCTCTGGGTCGAACAGACGCTGTGTCGAGGATTCACTCTTTCCTCTCCTTGTCTGATGATATATCCTGAGAGGGAATGTACAGATCCGATGACGTTTGCCCAGCGTGGTCCCCTGCCCGCTCACTCAAAGGGCTTGGGTCACATGCGGATTGCCTCATTCCATGAGCTCCTGTACCGTCGGGGTAGGCCAGGGTGGTCACTTCCCAACCTCGAGCAAACAACCAGCAATCCATGTGCAAGAATTCAGGGTAGCAGCCAGCAAACAAGGGGATTCTGGTACCTGACAGCTGACTCGACAATGAGGCAAGGCTGACACTTAGCAAAGATATATTGCATTCATTTGTGCAAGGTCAAAACAGAGAAAAAGTGTCAGGAAATGGAGACAAGTGTTGACAAGACGACCCGGAATAGGCAAACGTTGCAGCATTAACAACGAACCCGGCCTCCAACACTTTCCTTTCGGCTGAACAAATTTGTTGGGCCAGCACAAGCTTCGTTCAAAATCTTCTCATCTTTCTTGTCACACAGTTTCCTTACGGGAATACCACTTTGCAGCCGTAGATTGACTCTCCACTGCTGGCTGGCGAAAGCTTGCTTCCTGACTGGAAATTGAATAATCCGGCAGATCGAGGTATCCCACGCGAGACTCCTTGAGATGGGGCCGACTAACTGCGGTAGACATCGCCGAGACTTCGTCCCCCCAACGAGGGAGATCTACTGGTCGATAAACGACTCACTTGACTCCAATCGACCGCAATGAGTTTGGAAATCCTTGATCTCCATCTTCATGCCCAATTCCGTCACTCCCTTGCCTCATCTCCATAGTATTTTCTTTTCCCATGGCGCATTTTTCACTGCCATTCTCAAACCGTTGGAGAAGCTAGGACATGGCCCGGCATAGCATAGTGTAGTACACTAGCAGTTCCTCGTCCGCCTGCCTCAACTCCAATCTTTCACTCCACCGGAACACGCTCCCCACATTGCAATTTCTCGTATTCCGTTGCACTAAGCAGAGACTAAAAAGTAACCCATCAAGGTTCCATAGGTCCATCGATGGTGGTCCATTCCATGGTGCTCGGGCGGCTATCCTTTTCAAGCGCCTCGCAGGGAATCACTACATGGGAGGGTACTTGACTTTCTCCGACAAGGTAGGCCCCTGCGTGGGTTGAAGCGGAATGAAAGGATGAGGCTGGGGAAGTTATTCCCAAATTGTACAGCATAGCCGAACAACAGGAACGGCGATCAGGAAAGAGGACTCCTTCCGCATCGCTCCGGTCGCCGTCGCCATTACTGCTGTCGCCGCTGTCCTCATTGTCGCCGTCGCTGCCGCGCTTCCGTATAGATCCGACTACTGTGTTCAGGTTGAGAGCGACTCGTCCACCATGTACCGAAGCACTGCACTACGAGTCACTCGATAACCACTGGACAGACGGTCGTAGTTTTACGCCCTCCTTCCTGCCTCACGTAACTAGTAGCAGGGACAGGGACATGACTTCCATCTAGAGAGCCACAGCGGTGGTCAAGACCAGACCGGCTTTGACGCTCAAAAGAAGACAGATAAAGAAAAGAAACAAAGGTTGCCCAGCTACAGCATTCGCAGCTCGCTTCGCCCTTCAGTTCCAGGTCCCTCATCCCCAACCCCGGTTCTTGTCTTGGTCCTTGTCCATGTCGCCTACGGTGCCGGGCGCGACGGCACTGCTGCGGTAAGTGCACGCTCCGGCCCGAGCAGAACCAGCCAACAGGGTCAAGTTGCGAAAGTCTCATGTTCCACTGTGCAATCGTACAACCCTTTACTCAAACTCAGACCCTGGCCTGTGTTCTGCCTAGTCTGCATCTGGCTGCTTCAGGGAACGCAAGGTCGGTTCGGTTTGTTGAGTGAACTAAAAGGTTGAACTGACTGAGCTTGTCTCAACCGAGGTTAGGTGAGGACAAATTGCCGGCCTGGTCGTGCTGGATCGGGACCAGGCAGGGACTGCAAGTGAGTGAGTGTGTAAATGGATGATGTGATGTGGATCACAGAGCACCGCACGATCGTCATGATGTAGTCCCGATCCTTCATGTCAGTGGCCCGGTGAGCTGCACATACATACCCTCGACCAGACTGAAGCGGAGTGGTCAAGTAGCGTTGGAGGGCTGTTTGGGTTGGGAACCTGAAGCCCAATGGAGAGAGACGAGGAGATAAGATAGGTACCTCTAGGTGACTCGGCCATGTGTTCGATCATGAAGCTTTCGCTTTTGCTGTACCACATGTGTTACAAAGGCAATTAGAGGCCTTTAGAGTGCGGCGTGCGCATGATCGGGAGGAGTGTCTCCTTGCATTTGGGTAGAAAATCTGCCGAAATCCGCCAGCAGACCAAGTCGAGAAGCCGGATAAGTAACAAAAAAAAAAAAAAAAAAAAACACATACAGCTGAAGCCTTCCAGTTCATCTTATTCACCATCAAACAATCTCCACGGTGAAACCACCACCAGAGCTTCTCAACGAGTCGATCTGCTTCAAGAGGGAAGGAGCTGGACGAACTAAAACCAGGCTGACATTCGCCCCTTCCACGCCCTCCTCCCTTGGTGTTCTGAGACTACCAAGGCGGGTCCTTACCTCCGTTGACTAAGCGCACTGACCACCCCATTGTCCATCAAACCCTTCCCGCCTTTCTCTGCAAAAGGCAAGCCTCATGTCTTATGCAGGCAACATACACTATACCCTAGTAAATGCAACTAATCCGGGCTCTATGGAGAGGGTCAGAAAAAGTTGCATTTACTAGGCACTTTGCATTTACTAGGGTCCCGGTTACATACAAATCGGTGAATCCGGGCCGCCAGGCTAGTTGCATTTACTAGGTACCTTTGTATGGACTTGCATTTTCTGGGGGTTGCATTTACTAGGGTATCTACTGTACCTTAATTTCACCACTAACGAAGGGGCCAGGAAACTCACATGTGACCGCTTCGAAGCGCGAGTCTCAGCCGGGCGGCGGCGGAGAGTGAGTCGTGTAGTGCAGTGTAGCACGAGAAGAGACAGGAACACCATTTATTGTTACACATCTCACCGATATACTCAGACCAGTACACATACTGGACAGGAGTCCAACTCCAGATTCAATCCAGGTCTATGTCAAGTTTTAGGTCCGAGAGAAGTAAAAGAAGTGAGGGAAGTGGTCTCGCCTGTAAAGATGAACTAATTTGGACCTTGTTTTGGGATTTAGTCAGCTTACAAGCTACAAACAGCACGGGCGTGGACCTTCGGGCCGTTTGATAGTTTGCCTGGTTGCCTTTGGTACCCAGTTGCGCGGTCTGGCAAGATATATTACCGTCCGTCCGTTCGCACGTCCATTCATTGACCAGGACAGATAGCTAGCTAGCTAGCCATGGACAAGCCCGGACAGCAAGACAAGGATAAGGAACAACACACTGCCACTACATGCCTACTTGAATGCCCTGGCTCGAACTGGGAGCGGGAAAGCGGACAACAAAAACAAATGGAGTACCGCGTGGTTGGTTCCTGGGGTCGTGTCGACCTTTAGATTTCAGACTCCATTCAAGACTCCGCACGTACATATGTACGTCAACCATATCACCACCACCATTCCTACAAGCGCAAGGTAATCCGAAATCCCGGGCTGGTTGTTGTGTATGTATGTGTGTGTGTGTGTGTGTGTGTGTGTCCGGGGATAACAAACTTTCCATGGAGTCAGACGACGACGGTGAGAGCTGCTATAATCAGCACACTCTCACACACACACAAAAAGCGCAGATATGTAGGGTGGAGATTCAAGATCAAAACAGAAAGGTAAGGAAGGGGAGTGAATGAGATGAAACAAGAATAAGCTTCTGACACGTGCGAACCATGCTTTTGGGTACAGTATCTCATCCCAGTATGTAGCAGGCTGAACACGTGTGTGTTAGTGGTATGGTATGTTGCCCCCTCCCTTTCCCCCTCCCCCTTTCATGGTGTCATCGCGACGAGGCTGCGCTGACCGCTGTGCCGAATGGGTATATCCACCGCAACGGATGATTATGGTGTGATCATCCATTGGTAGGTGGGCTTAACGTCGTTGATTTCTGCGAATACCGCGGTGACCACATCTCTTCTTCAATCCTCTCCGTGTACAATATATAGACTAGAATGATGAAGATGACATGCGTTACACCAGTGTAACCACCTACCTAGGTATCGTTCGGTTCGTTGGTTCTTTCTACATTTGGGATCATTTTTAGCGTAGTCCCTTCAGAGGCAGTCACTCACTAATCTAGCTCGTCCCTTCGCTTCCTTCCCCTCACATTTTTTACTGTAACAGGCGTACTGACTGGAGTTGGGGGGGCAGGCGAGACTGAATCGAACTGAACCAACAGACCACAACTGCAACCGTGACCATGATCATAGCCGTCTGGGACAGCGAGAACACTCGAAAATATACACACAAAGCACCGCCACGATCAAGCCCAAAAAGTCGGTGATTGAACTTATGCAATACAACGTTGCATACATGCGTCTTTTGGTGGCGGGCTACTTACTGTGCAGTACGGTGTTGGTGTTGGTGTTGGTGTTGCCGCCAACTTGCTGCCAACCGCAGCATTGATGTTACACAAAACCATAACCGCGGGACGGATGCTCCTTTGTTGTCTTATCAACTACCCTCTCTTCTTCTCTTTAAAGTCGGAGTAGTCCCAAGTTCGCAAGAGCTTTTCGAGATCGGGAGATATGTTGGTTCTCCTTTGGCAGAAAGAAGGTTTCTTAGAATAGAAAGCAATGGAAAGCAACTAAAAACAACAGATGAAAACTGATGCTGTTGTCATCATTTTGGCCGTCATTTACCACACGCGTGGCAACGAGAAGCATAAACCCGATGCCTCACCTGCCAATCCTGCGTCTCTTTTAGGGAGCAGCGGCCCGTTATGGCGGCTCACTAAGGTTCGAGGAGGCAAGTGAGATGTCATGTGCTTCAATATGAGTAGGCACCTGGATCAGAGCGAAACCTGACAGAATAATTTTCAATCGACAAGTGTCGTAGGCTTGAATACCCGTGAAGAAGGATAACGAGTGAGGGCCTATGGAGAATGCGCGAAGAGCACGAGACAAAAGATGAAGTATTCCTGATGTAAATGTTCTAATCTCTCGTTATTTTCTTCTTATCCAAGCGACAGATGTGCTAGACAGCCAGGATCAGTAGGTCGCCGCCGTTCACTCCTGAACTGCTTCAAAAGGTGAACTCTATCTTCTTGCCATTTTTGCTTGCCCAAAACTTGCCATATCCATAGCTGTCTACCTAATATAACTGAGCTACCTATCTAAATAAAGTAAACTTCATCACCCATTACACATATCCCTCCTACCATAGCATTCTCGATAAACCTGCCACGGTCCTTTCCTATCACTGCTTTTGTGGTGCCATATCATACCCTGATATAGGCTGATGTTAGATAGTTCTGCTCACATCTCGTGAGGCCCGGTCCTTGACGACGCTTCCTGCTTGCCTACACAATCCCTCTGAGTCGTCCCATAGCTTTTGTTTCCAATCCAAACGAAAATTCGGTATCGTGTTCCATCACCGGAACCAGTTTCCGTCTCATTGCCATTGATGCGCGCTATATCTTTGGCTCTCCTTCAAACACCATTCTGACTGGAGACTCATCTTTATCATGCACATTTCAGCTTGTATCTTGCCTCACCCAGTCATCGAGTAGAGCACCGCGCCGAACATATTTCATGTGTCTCGACGGCCTGTCACACTTCACAGGCCACTCACTTCCTCACAAACCTCAACAATCCAAAGCATCAATTGTTACCCACACTTATGTCATCCCGTTCGTCGGTTGGCACCACCCAAGATCAGAGCAGCTTGAGCCTGGGAGTGAATAAGATGGCTGTTCCTGCGGACTGCAAATGGCATGTATATTTGTCCAAGACATGACGCTGTTCATGGCATTGAGTCATATTGTATTGTTTTGCGTGGCGTGGCCCTTGCATATGAGCGTTGTAATTGAGGGAGAAAAGGTTGTTCGAGGAAGGAGACCATGGATATATTTGCAGTAACGACCAAACAGTGGACAATTCTTGAAAGTAGGTATAGTGTGTGTACAGGCTTCGTTGAGATGTGGTGGCTCAAGTGATCAGCTCAAGCTCAGAGAGCGAAGAGCCTCTGGAGCAGCTCGAGGTCCTTGGCTTCCATTTGCATGAGAAAGTTGCCGAATCCCGGAATAATTTGCTTGTAGACATTGATGACCTGCGTGAAGGAACAGCCAAGTTAGACCAAATCAGATCATGGGAATTCTCGGGTTGAAACTTACGTTCTGGAAGGCTTCATGCAACTCAAGCAAAACGGGCTTCTGCAGGCTAAGTTCCTGGTAGTTGGCAATTGTGCTGAAGTAATGCAGTAGAACGTTCTCCATAGCCTGGGGGTTACGAGTAACCATCTCAGTGAAGCCACGCAGCGCTGTGGCTTTCTCTTCAGAAGGATCAACATCGTCCATTGTGTCGAGGAACTCCTCAGCGAAACTGCCAAGGTGTGGGGCCACAAGTTCGGCGTTGTCAAGTCCTAACCTACCCAAGGCAATAGCGGCGTTTTCGCTGACACCTCCGGGTACCCTGGGGTTGGAGAGGATGTCAACACATCGTTGAATGAGCTGGGGCACGAATGGCGCCATGCCTGCCTTGTACTGAAGAGCAATCTCGCCGACACTCCAGCAGGCATTGTTGACTACGCTGAAGCTGTTGTCGACCTCCTCGTCCAGGATAGTGTCCATGTCCAAGCGCTTGATAACGACCGGCATGATGTTGGGCAGGAATGGCTTAAGTTGTTCAAAGACGTACTTGGCACAATCGCCGAGAAGAGCGTATGCCGATTGCTGAACCGCATCAGATTGATCCCCCATGCACAGAGCCATCAGCTCAAAAAAGGTTGGCTGGACGTTGGCAACAAGCTTGGAAGCCTTGTCGTTGTCTAGGGCCTGGATGATGGCACTGAGAAGATCGAGGCTGGTGACCAGGAAATCCTCATCAGGTTGATCAAGATCGGTGTTGGTCTTGGCCTTCATGGCCTGCTCCAGGTTTTGATGAATGATTCGAATACACCTACCGAAAATAGGCTCGGCGTAAGGGGTGAAGGCATCGCCAAGGGCCATAGCGACGTAGGAAAGGCACTCGAGCAAGGGGAAAAGCTCCCGGGACTCATCACCCACCTTCTGCCACCTATCCAGTAGGACTGGCATCAACTGGTTGCTAAGTTCAGGCCTAGCCAGGACGGGGCCGATGTGCTCAGCCAGCGTCTGAACGCAGTCATAGAGAACCCACATATTCTTATCCTTGTACTTGCCGAAGCACCGGATGTATTGCTGGATGATGGGTCCGCAGTATGGCTCGAGCGCCTTGCCCGCCTTCTCTTCTAGGTTTGCCATAGCAGAGGCACCAGCCTCCTGAACGTTCTTGTTCTTGTCAAGCATCTTCTTGAGAATTCCGTCCATCATAGGTAGGAAGTATCTCTCCTTTTGTGCCTGATCCACAAGGCTGACCGCCCACGCAGAGTATCGGCCAAGGGTCCAGCAGGTAATCTGGCGAACCACCGGCTCCTCGTCGTCGAGGAGACTAACAAGATACGGCACCAATTCTGGAAGGTGGGGAACAACCACGTCCATGCAGCCCTCGGCAACAGCGCCAAGGGCGAGAACAGCCGCTTCTCTGTAAGACCAATCCGCGTGCTTGAGGTTGCTCTGCAAATAAGGTAGAATAGAGGTGAAGACTGGTCCGCCAAAGTCGCGAGCAAATACATCAAGTGCCGCCGCTGAGCACTTGCGGAGAGTCCACTTCTCATCGGGATTCTCATCTCCCTCGGATTCGCTGTCGTCAATTTCGCCATCTTCCAAGTCGTCGTCGTCTTCCTCCATGCTTGCAACCTTCTCGAAAGCGTTTCCGTTCTTCGCCATATCAGCCGCGGTGTTTCCGTTAGCAGCACGGGTCAGCTTCTTCTTGGCGAACTGTGGCTTGATATCCTCCTCCCTGTCTTCTTCATCCTCATCGTCCGAAGCACCTCCAAGTATGGCAATATCCTCGGGACTGTAGACCATGCACTCCAAAAGTACGGGAATGATGTCTGTGATGTACGGTTCCAGGGCCCGCCACAGGTTATCGTGCTCTCCAACAGTCAGCCAGAACTCGGCAGCCTCAGTGGCAAGATCCTCGTCGTCGCCCTTTTGTTGAGCGATGATGTACTTGGCCAGGCCTTCGATATGTGGCAGAAGCTTGTCCGGACGAGTTTCCACCAGGTTCACAAAAGCGCGGCAAACCTGTTTTCGAACATCGATTGAGGGGTCTTCAGCCAGAGCAAAGAGGTGCTGTAGAAGGTCATCTATCGAGTTCAGCATGGCCTGCGACTTCCTAGGGGTGAACACATTGATGGCTGTGAGAGCATGGGCGCGAACTTTGGGCACCGCGCTCCTGGTTGCCTGAATAAACTTTGGAAGGAGAAAGTTGATAGGCCTTTGGCCGTTGTGTTCCCTTTCCAGCATCTTCGCATTATCTTCGCAGATCTTTGCCATGGCAGCCATAGCTCCCTCCTGCGCCTCGGGCGTTACCTGACCAGACTCATTGGTCAACGTCTTGAGCAACTCGGGCAGAAACTCGGGCCAGCCGTAGATTCCTCCCTTGTTGATCAGCTCAGTCGCAAGAGTGCCTGCATGACTGCGGATCTGTGAGTTCTTGTCCTGGAGCCCCAAGGGGACAGCCAACTTGACAAGAGCCAAGCTCTGTTCTGGAATCTTGTTATAGTTGTTCTTGATGTTGTTCTTCAGCATCAGAGCGGCGGCACAGCGCACAACATGCCAGTCTGCAGCGGTCGCCGGAAACTCCTGGGGTGGTTCCGAGCTCGAGAAGATCAGGGCCAAGTAGTTGTTGATATCGGGCGAAGCTTTTGCTTGGTTAAGCATCTGGTTGATAAAGACAAGTCAGAATCTCTGTCTTGTGGCAATGCCCGATCACAGACTGGGTAACTAGATGGTGCCGAGGGACATTAACTCACGATTTCAGCCTGCTTCTGGGCGGCCTTATTGAAGGCGCTCAGGGAATCCTTCAGACATTGTGCCAGAGTCTTCAGGTTCTCTCCACTCGGTTGCCAAGCCATGGTGATGATTGGGGTTGAAGTGACACAAGCGCGTAACGTCGGCGATGTGTCGTGTGGTGGTGGCGGCGGCGGCGGCGGCGGCGGTTGGTGGGTTCTCGAACTTTGATATCTCGTAGCTGACGAGAACTAGAACGATGGTGTCGAGCCGATACCGGTGAACTGCTGAAGAGTCGAACGCAAAATTGGGAGGCACAAAGAAAATAAAAAAAAGTGGCCGACTCGAATGAACTCTCTGACAGTGCAGGTTGTGAGAGAGGCGCCGGGTCACCACAGCGCAGCCTTCAAGGCGGAGGTACTCTTTAGGGTTCGTTTAGTTAAAGCTGGTCATGGGTAGCCGCATCTGGCAGGCCGACGGGTAGCAAGAGCTGCAGACAAGAATCGGCAGTTTGTCCTAGGGAAGGTAGCAGGGTGTTGTTTCGTTGATGAAAGCGATACCCAGAAGCAATTGCCAGTGGTGGTAGGTCGACATCGATGGTGGTCGTGGGTGCAGTGGGCGGCGGGCAAGGCTCGAGCAGGGCAATGTTTAATGTGGGGTGCAAGGTGGGCCTTGGCTGGCCTCTATTTTTTGCTGTGCCGTCAAGTGCAAGTGGTCGAGGGGAAGGGAACGGAAACTTGTTGAAGACAAGTGGAGGTGCCCCTGCCCTGCACATCTGCACTGGCACTTGTGCGATGCCAAGCCTGCTCGCCTACCTAGGAGATGCGGGCCTGTCAAGAAATGTGGCAGGTGTGGTCAGTGGTCTTCAGGTGCTAGCTTTGCGTGGGCGGTTGTAGCTTCTGTCCAAGAGCGGGGCCGGGGCAACCTCCCACGCTCGATGAGGTCGTCGTCTCCCGCTCTGTACCTCTCATGTCTGGCGGCCACCCGCCCGCTTGATGGTTGCACAAAACCCCTTCTGATAATGCTAAGCTTCCTGCTACCTATGTATGCACGTACGCGCCTTGAAATGGATGGCACAGTTACAGCCACTTAATGCCCGAAGGAAATCGAACAGCAAATGGCACCGGGGTCATTCATTCAAGAGGAGTCATCGGCAGAGCTTTTGGCGTCGCAGTCAATGAGACGTCCGGCCCTTTGAACCTCGACCAAGGGCCTGGCCGAGACTTTGATGCTTTTGGGTTCGTCCCATTTCCCAGTTTGTGAACCGCCCGTCTCTATCAGGTCATATTTGGTCGAAGAAAAGGTGGGTTTTGTACGGTAATAAGGGTAAGGTATCCTCTCTCGCATGTGGCCTCTGTTTCTAGTTCAAGAGCCTGCTTGATGCTCTTCCATATCTTCAGTTGGGACTGAGTTTCTAGACCGCTTCCCATCCTCTGAGAATTGGAGGGCAGATTTTCCTCATCACTTCTTTCTCTCCTTCTTGCTGTACAGACCGCATAATGTCCATTCAGCACGAGCGGGATACCAGTCGTCCTTTTCAGACCTACCAGACACATCGAACTTAGATGTCGCCAAAAGGTCCACGACAGTGTTGCTGTGCAACAGACGACTGAGATCTGCCAAACCTGCCAGGTCAGGTTTGTGAGCCGATCTATCCCGCGGCCATGTTGATGTGCCAAAGATGAAACTGCAGACAGCACCCTTTGCCTCATCATAACCAGGGCTTTGGGGTTCAGAACATTTCCGTCAATTCTCTGAAGGTTAATCGCCTTCGGCCATGCCTTGTCGGGATATGGTGTCAATCCATATTGCTACCAATACCCGACATGTATCAAGCAGGTAACCGAACACGAATGACAGTTCCATGGCCTTCTTGGGGCATGGATTCGTGGGAGATGACACGCCTTTGTGGCACGTTCAAAAAAAAAGGCGAGTAGGTTAGGCAAGCTCAAACTAAGCGTTTGCAGAAACTCGTTGAGAAGGAAACTGCCGGAATCCCCTTGGCCAAAAGGCCGAGGTGTTTGTGTGCAACAGCTTGTGCCCATCAACAGTAGCGAAAAATTGTAGTTGGGAGGGGTTCTTTTGTCAACGTGGGAGGCTCAGGACTGGACTCCATTGGGCGTCGCGTTGGCAGACTCGAGTTTGGACAGGACAAGCTCGGCTACCTGTTTGAAAGCTTCCATCTCCTCTTCAACAGTCCCGCCAAGGCCGGCACTGGCAAAGCTCACCGAGTTGCCCACATAGGTAGGCAGTTGCGTCCTCCTTGTGATCAGCTTTGCCAGTCGGGTGGTAAACTCCAACGTCGGCTCAACCGTACAAAGAGGAGTTGACAAAGGCTGTGTAGGGTTGTATCTCTAGACCAAGATTAGTCACTGTAAAATGTATCAAACAGGCGATAAACTCACATCGGGCAGTGCATAAACAAATGACCCCAATGGAGTGGGTGCTGTAGCCTCTTCGGCCGAAGCAGTCGTGAGGAAGAGCACAACGGCTTTGGACTTGGCTGTCAATTGAATGTAGATGCGCGTGTCCATGGACCGCGGTAGAGGAAGCGAGAGCTGGATAGGGGCATCCATGATGTCCTGATGTCCGTGGTGATCTCAAAACGTATCGAGGAGTTCAAGGACAATTTGCAAATCTGAAATGACGGTTTGCTTTGTTCCTGGGACTGGACTGCGAATGAAAGAGCCGGTCGGCTTCGAGATCGATGGATGTTCCTCCAGGTTGATGTTCAACTTGCGAGCAATGGCAAGGAACAGGCGGGACGGGAGTGAGGAAGACGGATGGAGTTTGGTATCGGCGGGTGTTGGACGTTGGAAGTGAATGGAAACATGTCCGCGGCTGGTGAGAATAGGCCCGGACAGCGTGCCGGACCTGAAGCAGGTGCAATAGCGAGAAATTTACAGCGGATGGCCCCTGCAGTTTCCCGTGCAATTGCCGCCTCCGGATTTCGTAGCGCCATCATGCATGCATGAGGGGGACTGCTCCTTCTATTTCACCTTTACGACGATAATGAAAATTGATGAACAGTGACATTAGAATGACTTGGTGAATACGCGGTAGAATGTTTGGTATCTTGATTTCCCTCCTCACTTTATTGTTTTCATAAAACCTCCAAACATTGATGTGGGCAAACCACGGCAGATGGAGGACAACATGGATCAATGAACCCGCTCATAACCGGCCCGGCAGTGAGAGGAGACGACCGTTGCCGACCTCCGCGCCGAGACTCTTCAACTAGGCAAAAGACGCGGCTCCGATACTGGCCGCCCAGATCCACAACACCCAACGTTGACTACGCGTCCCTCGCACTGATACTTGCAACTAGTATCTCTTCGTCATATCACTCTGGCCACAGGACACACAACACTTGAGAGGGACAGTTGTCTTTTGAACCCCGCCCTCGTCTCTCCAAACGACCAAGACGCTTCAAGACTGCAACCCATTTACAAATCACAGAAGGACCCATCCCGATAGAGAAGCTTGAGATGGAGGAGGGCGAGCAGCAGTGGAAAGGTGTGAAGAGTGCCATTGAAGATCCGGAGGAGGCAAGAGTCATATATTGTGCACTCGACTCATTTGTGTCAGTAGCCCCCATCACTCCTGCTTTACCTTTGCCTTCGGACCCCGTCCAGACCCTCGCAACTCATGGAGTCTGCTTGTTTTTGTTCCCGAAAAAAGGAAAAGTCATTTTCGGCTTCCGTCATTCGGCGACATGCATGGTGATGGCCGGTCATCACGCCCGGCAGATCCGGTTTTGTTCACCTTAGTTCAAGCTCTTCGAACATGCATTTTCCCTATCACTGACTGAAGAGTAGCCAATATGCCCGGATAGCACACTTCAACTGCACTCACTTGAGGAGGCAGTCCTTTTATGCTCTTCCCGAGGCTCACTGGAAGATGCTAGCAGCGCCACCTTTCAACTATCTGGACACTCTGGACAAGGTTGACAATGCCATCGAGTCCAACGCTGAACTAGCACGCGCCATAGTCCGCGTAGGTCTGGTCAACTTCCAACCACAGGACGTCACGCAGGGTAGCGAACCTACGATCCCTCCCCGATGGAGGGGCTGCGCGAAACGCTTGGATATCGACAAAGCCCGTAGTACTCTCAGGCAGTTCTACCGAGACTGGTCCGCTGAGGGCAAATCTGAGCGTGAAATATGCTTTGGCCCTGTTTTCCGCGCCCTAGAAGCACAAAAGGAGTCAAGGCCAAAGGACGCCTCGCCCATGAGGGTGCTTGTGCCCGGGGCAGGGCTGGGCCGCCTTGTCTTTGAGCTCTGCGCCAAAGGGTACGTCGCTGAAGGCAATGAGATATCCTACCATCAGCTGCTCGCCTCATCTTATATCCTGAACTGTGTTGAAAAGCCGGGGCAACACACCATTTACCCCTGGATTCACACTTTCTCTAACCATTCGACACGAGATAACCACCTGCGAAAGTACGCCATCCCAGATGTGCATTGTGCAAACGAGCTCACACGGTTAGAAGAGGAGGGAGTTGCCATTGGAGAAATGAGCATGACGGCTGCTGATTTCCTGTGTCTTTACGCTGAAGACTACCAAGCCGAAGCCTGGGATGCGGTGGCTTGCGTCTTCTTCCTCGACACCGCTCCGAACTTGATTCGGTATCTGGAAACCATCTTTTATTGTCTAAAACCTGGCGGCCTGCTTATCAACCACGGCCCGTTGCTCTGGCACTTTGAGAACAATGCGCCTGCAGGACACGGGCATGACGATGACGGCGATTATGATACCACCGGAATTGCGGACCCTGGCAGCTTTGAACTCTCTGATGACGAGGTGATGGCGCTGGTCACCAAAGTCGGGTTTGAAATTGTCTCGCGCGAGACCGGCATTGAGTCCCCCTATCTTTTGGACCAGGAGTCCATGTTACAAACAGTGTATAAGGCGAGCTCATGGGTGGCCCGCAAACCACACACTACGGCATAGGACCGGAGTCACCTCTCATGACTTTACAACCGAACATGGGCTGTCGCCGCGAGATTTGTACATGTGACATATTTACATAGCATAGGCTATAGTGGCTCATGAACCAAAGGACGAAAGAGGAGTGTTACAACATATACCCACACAGCATATCTACCTCTCGAATCTTTCTACATGAAATCCCTTTCTCTACAACAAAGCTCCAATGCACCAAACTCACAACTTTGCGCTCTCCACATTCAACTGCCCCTTCGCCCACATCGCACCACCATCAATCGCAATCGTCGCCCCATTCACGTGCGCACCCGCCCTACTCGCCAAATACACCACCACGCCCGCAATATCCTCCGGCCGACCAAGCCTCTTCATCGGGTTCGCCGCCGCGATGCTCTCCTTCCCGCCGCTCATATCCAACAGCCCATTGCTCATCTTGGTCGGAAAGAAACCCGGGCAAATGCTGTTCACAGTAATGCCCCTCGGTCCCAGCTCCACCGCCAGATTCCTCCCCAAATGAATGACCGCCGCCTTGGAAGCACTATACCCATACGTCCCTTGCTTACCAATCGTCCCGATACCCAACCCCGCCACCGAAGCCGTGATGATCACGCGGCTCGGGTCCTCCACGCTCGCCTTCTTCTGCAAAAGGGGCGCAAACTCCCGGATAGTGTTGAACACGCCCCGGACGTTCAGGTCCATGACCTTGGCAAAGGCCGAATCGGGATGCTCGTCAAAGGGCGCGCCCCAGGTGGCGCCAGCGTTGGCTAGCAGAATGTCGACGTGGTCGGTATGCTTGGCGACTTCGGAGACGAGGTGCTGAACACCTGATAAGGTGGCGGCGTCGGCGGGGATGGAGATGGCCTTGGCGCCCGGGGCGAGACCGGGGAGGGCGTTGAGGGTCTTGACGGCGCTGTCGCAGGCGGAGGCTTTGCGAGAGGAGATGAAGACTTTGGAGGCGCCGGCTTGGAGAAGGCTATAGGGGTGGGCGGGATCAATCAGTTAACGTTTTGTGGGACTTTTGAGTGGATGAGTTATGGTTTGGGGAGTTGGTCGGGCAAGGAGAGACCTGTAAGAAGAATATAGTTGTAAAGAGACTGGAGAAGCAACATGGAAGTTGTAATTTGACGTCGGTTATGAAGTTTAAAACTGAAAATATCTTACGCAGAAGCAGCACTCAGACCCAATCCTCTCGAACCGCCCGTCACGACAGCAACCTTGCCCTTGACAGAGAAGAGGGAAGGGAAATCATTAAGCTGAGCGTCCGCCATTGTGTATGTTGTCTCTTTCTTTCGTTCAATAGGTAAAAAACCAGAGAACCTAAAGAACAGTTAAAAATGATGACTTTTGGGGAAAAAAGGTCAATAAGTTGATGTCACATATAATGTTTGAATTGAAGATCCAAAACCCGTACGTGGTGCCCTGGAACGGGACGTGGGCCGCTTTTAGACATCGGAAAGTTTACCCCCTGTACTACATACTTGGTGTGCGGGGGAGAGACAGCTCGGTAGTGAGAGCCGAGGCTCTGGGGCCCCGCACTATGTTCACGCAGTAGATCGCCTCGCTTCGCTTCTACGTTGTTTTCTTCGGTGACGACTACCTCTCGGGAATCGGCACCTTCGTCGCCTTCGCCAGCCCCAAGTATTGAATTTGAGAAATAACATCATCTTTGAGTCTACGGTGAAAATGTGGCTGAAGTAGGTTAAGGTTTGATTTCGGTCTAAAGGGAAAACAAAGAAATTCATAATGTGATGTATTGACAGCAGATTACTTAGCTCGTCCTTGGTAGGCACAGAATCGGAAGACGGGAGTGTACAAGTTTCACAGTGCACTGCTAACCCGAATTCCAATGGTGTATTGCGAAAGAGATCGGGTTTGTGGAATAGCTATCGTCTACACTCATATCCTGCCGGCTTAGTTCATTTATAAACTTCCCATATCGTATGGCTATTAACCGTGCGACACCCCAGTTACACTCGTTCTTGTCCAAAGAAGGACCCAAAATGATCATTAAGTCTAAAGGTTCGCAAGATACATCGCCGCCGACATTTAGATTCAGCAATATTTGTGCAGCTCACCATAATAATACAACCACTCGACAACAATCAAGTCTGGAGAGGATTTGCTCGCTCCGGCGCATGTTCCGGATGGTGTGCAGGACTGCCAGCATCGTTGTTGGCCGATTGCTCGGCTTGATCTCCCTGCTGCTGGATCCCTTGCTCGTTAGTGGCGGCGGCGGCGGCGGCTGCTGCTGCTGCTTCTGCTGCTTCTGCCGCTGCCGCAGCTTCTTCCCTTTCTCTCCGCTCACGCTCAGCACGCTCATGTGCTTCGAGCTGTGCAATATGCCTCTCAGCCACCCCAGGAGCGATACTGGCCAGAAACAAGAGGCCAGCTCTTTCAATACGGCGGAAGAAATTGACCAAATGGACGGCCCCAGCATTGTCGATATCTCGGCGCTCGTGTAATCCGACAAGACCCACGCCAGGCTCACCATTCGCGCCCGCAGGTGGGGGTGCTTGAGGCTGCGGAACATGCTGGCGTCGCTGCTGATTCGGGCCAGCCATATGAAGTAGTCCATCAAGATGTTGTCTAATTGGCCCAAGAGCTTGGTGGGCAAATCGATTCAGGAATCCCGCGTTCATGACGAGGACGCCAGCGGCCAGGGCCGCCATGGTAAATACTCGAGTCCAAGAAGAGTCGTTAGACGTAAACCACCATATGAAGAAGATCAACCTAATGACCAGCCATATATGAGGCCACGCTGCAGCAACCAATGCGGCGGCCCCGACGGCATTGTTTGGATGTCCTATTCCATGTCCAACAGCTCGATGGTCGATCCTGATCCTCACCTGCACCGGTTGGTGTTGCCCTTGTGGTCTCTGTGGCTGGTTTTGGACTGGCGGTGCCGTGTGTAATGGAGGATAGTTGAGCGCGGCTGGTTGAACAACTCCGGGGTATAACAAGGGTGGCTGCGGGAGGGTGAAGGCATGATGACTCTGGAACGTTCCTGGGGTGGCGTACAGCTCCGATCCGTTCTTGACCAGAAGACCTCTGGGGCCAGTGGGAGAGGACAAAATATACACCTCGGCTCGTTCTCCCTGCGGCGGGGGCTGTGGGTGAGGCACTGTAGCTGCTCCGTTCGTTGGATCAGAGGTTGATATCCCGGCCGCAGATCCGGTCATATGTTCGTAGATGTTTCGAATCTGTTCATCTGTAGCTGGTGCCACTGCTGAAGGAGCCAGATTGCGCAAAGCGTCAATCCGGGCTTGCGTCCGCTGTACGTCAGCACGCCAATTGTTCTGTGATGGAGCGTCCTGCTGCGTTATCCTTTGCTCCCTGAGAACAGTTTGGCTTGAAACCGGTGCGGGTTGAGAAGAGGAAGTAGGGCCAGGCGCGTGGTGGCTGGAGGTTCTGACCACGAGATGAAGAGGCTGTTGGTCGCCTGTGCGAAGCTGTTGACATGGCAAATATATCAGCCCATGTTCCCCAATCTGGGTGCCATTGACAAAGGTGTGCTTACCTTGTCTTCACCAAAGACATCTAGCAAGGTATCACTCTCGCGGGCGAGCAATCGGCCTTGGTGGATGATGCGCTGCTCGTCGTGAGCCGGGTGCATCGTAAGAACATGGCGGATTTTGTCCTTTAGTTGCCCGACCGTCGTTGTAGCTGGAAGGCCTTGAAAGTCAAGGTCGTCGGGGACGCCTTCGGATGGGGACACAAAGTGAATATTAACGAGCAGAGGAGCGTCCTCCCCGGCGGTGGTTTCTGGTGCTGTAGGCAAAGACGCTGCCGGCTCTCGGTCATTGGCGGCCATCCTGACTGTCAACGAACTCCTGGCGGGTAGCAATTGGTTCGGACCGGTCCTCTAAGCCAGAACTATGTAGGGATCGATTGCTTCTTGGAGTCGCTTACGGCTTGATGCGCCTCTTCAGTGTAGCTACCTCTAGGTCAACAGGCAACTGGGTAGACTCGGAGATTACAGCAAGCGGATTCCGAAGGCTGGTGTACGATTCTTGCGAAAACAGAGCGCGGCAATCAGACGAATCACGGTTGTGTAAAGAAATGGGAGGGGCTATATTAATTCGAAGCGTGATTGTAGATGCTAGATTTGTTCTAGATGGGATGACAGTGGTGTTGAGGTGCGAGTTGTGGTCTAGGTTGGTTGTCCAGGGCAGCTCCTAGAATAAATTCCACGTTGTCATTCAGACCGCGAGCAGAGTCTGGGCAGCCAAGGATGTGGTACCTGGCCCCACGTTGAAAGAGGTTGCAGCAGCGTACGAGAAATGGGCTCTCTCTGCAGCATGACCTGGCGTGCTGAAGATATTTTCTTGTACGAATGCTGCGGAGCCATGCACCTGGCAGGCACTCAGGTACTCGCTACATATCCCAGCTTCCCCACAAGCACACAGAACTTTCCATCGTCTTCACTGCGTCCGTCTCTCTGCACTGGCACCCTACGGGTAGGTAGGTAGTACCTATGTAGGTATTTAAGGAACACGGGGTTTGCTGGCGAGAATTTGGGGTAGAGATACCTAGAGGTAGGTAAGCAGATGCTATCGAGGGACACCGAGGTGAAGCTGTGAGGGGAGATCCGGGGACGGGAAGCTACGAGGTGAGTAAAAGAGGGGACTTGAAACGGTACGGTACAGTACCTTCGTTTCATTACAGGCAGTGCCATGCCCGGGCGACCGCTGTGCGTCTGGCACGCTTGCGTCATGACGCCCGGGAAAGAGCTTGGTACGATGGAAAACTTGATGGGATGGAAGGAGATCGCGTGCACATCGCATAGTACATAATGTATCTTGCCTTTCATCTCAGGTCTGGACATGTCGTCTGCCCCGTTCACGCATCAACCACCAACATCCCGACACGAGCCGACCACCATATCTCGGTTGGACTCCATCCTTATCCCGGCTAACATTGCGCTCCATCAAAAGTCGAAAGACGGCAACCTGTACGGAGACCCGGGGAAACAGGGGAGGAGATACGGGGTAGGCGCACCATCGCCACCACTCGGACGGCTTCCTCACTGCCCAAGTCCAGATTTCGTTGAATCGCTCTATACCTAGGTCAGACGGGCACGACTGGGTCAGATTTTACCCCAACAAATACCACAAAACACCTAGCTATCGGGGCCTCTGCTACGACGTTGGCGCATACCAAGGCAGGACACGCGCAGTATCTAGTAGGGCTAGTCTAGAGTAGCCGAATTGTTGCCGCGGACAGCGACGCTTTGATACGTCTGCGGTCGTGGTGTTTCCACTCGACTCTTTCACAAGCCAGAACATCGTCGACTCTAGCGGCGCCCATAGCTTGTAGGGAAACCCCTAGTAGCAGCCCCAGCGAGCCCCTTCTGCCCCTATTCGGTCAAGGCGGGAGCCCTGAAGGGCGTTCGGGCGACTTGTCCCGGCAGGGGTTGCAGTGCATTGTTGCGGACCCGCTAATTAACGGAAGCGACTTTTTCACTCGTTTCCCACTTTGCCTGTGGCCCTCGCTCTACTAGCCCTGGCTTCTCCGTGTGGTCCCAGCCAACGCTGTCGGCCCTGTCGCTCGTGAAAGACCGTCTTCCTCCCCCCAAGATGGCCTCTTTCCAGCTGGGCCCGGTCTCCGCTCGAGTCCGGGTTTCCACGCTTTCTTCGACAGCTTTCGGGCGGTGTCCGACTTCCACGCGCTTTACCAGACTCGAAATCCCGTTCTCTGCGTCGACACGGGCGCCCCCAGCCCACCAAATGTTTGGCCGACGCTTCTTTTCCAACCACATGCCAAAGCGGCCCAGGATGCAGTGGCACCCCATACCCATTGGCCTGGGCATTGGCCTCCTCGGCGTCATGCAGTTCTACAAAGTCTACACGAGAGACCGGGACGAAAAACGCCAGGCTGCCGTCGAAGGCTCCGAGCCTGGCCAAGCCGGCAAGCCCAAGAAGCGGCGCCGCATCCGGCCGGACGGCCCTTGGTACGTTGACCACGCCGACATGCTCAATTTTTTTTGGGGCGCCATGAGCTAACCACCCGGTGTTCAGGCAGGTTCAGGTCATGTCGACTCTTCCTCTCAAGGCCATGTCCCGTCTTTGGGGCAAGTTCAACGAATTGACCATCCCCTACTATCTCAGAGCTCCCGGTTTCCGTCTATACGCATACTTCTTTGGTGTCAAGTGAGTGAGACCCGGGCTCCTCCCTTCCTCTCTCTGTCTTGTGCTGACACGTGCGCTCCAGTCTCGATGAAGTCGAAGAACAAGACCTCCACAAGTTCCCCAACCTCGCCGCTTTCTTCTACCGCACTCTCAAGCCCGGTGTCCGCCCCGTGGATCCCAATCACAATGCCCTGGTTTCGCCGTCCGATGGTCGAATACTCCAGTTTGGGCGAATAGAAGGAGGCGATATCGAACAGGTCAAGGGTATGACTTATACTATCGATGCGCTCCTCGGCCAGAACTCTCCAACTCCCAGCATCTCCGGAACGACGCTCCTCGACGAAAGCACCAAGGCGAAATCGGTCAATGGAGACTTTGAGGGCGACGAGGAATTGGTCAAGAAGGACGAAGAATTTGCCCGCGTCAACGGTATCTCTTACACTCTCCCGGATCTTCTCTCTGGTTCCAAGAAGCATGACAAGCTGTTCAAGCCCAAGGATGAGTCTGTCACCCCTTCCAAGACTTCCGAGACTGAGGTGAGCGCCGAGCTTGCGCTTGGTGAGAAGCCCTGGTACGACGTTCTCTCGGGTGGCGAGCGCCACACTCTCTACTATGCTGTCATCTATCTGGCTCCTGGCGACTATCATCGGTTCCACTCCCCCACGGAGTGGGTTGTCGAGCGCAGACGTCACTTTGCCGGCGAGCTCTTCAGCGTGTCCCCTTACCTACAGCGCACCCTCCCTGGTCTCTTCACCCTGAACGAGCGTGTCGTCCTCCTTGGCAGATGGCGTTGGGGCTTCTTTGGCTACGTCCCTGTCGGTGCGACCAATGTCGGCTCTATCAAGATCAACTTCGATCGCGAACTTCGGACCAACAGCTTGACGACCGATACCGCTGCTGATCGGGCTGCGGAGCTTGCGGCGGCCAAGGGCGAGCCTTACCTGGGATATGCTGAGGCCACCTACGAAGCTGCCAGCCCGGTCCTGAAGGGTCATGCTTTGCGCAGAGGTGAGGAGATGGGTGGCTTTCAGCTTGGCAGCACCATCGTTCTTGTCTTTGAGGCGCCCGTTGCCGAGCACGACGAGTCCGGCAAGGTCATCAAGGGATGGACCTGGGACGTCGAGAAAGGGCGGAAGATCAAGATGGGACAGACCTTGGGTCATGTTGCGCTCTAATTTGAGCACATGAAAGAAACCTTGGCACAGCGGGAGGCGTTTGAAGGGACGGAATGATTGAAAACTAGACAAGACTAAGGTGGTGTATTCGGGTTTCGGATCTCTTCAACATGTATCCTTTGACTTTATGCTCTTTATATGATACCCCTTCCCGGGTAGCAATATCTACGTTGCACTCTGTTTCTCATTTTCTTTTCATAGGTATATATCTTTTAAGATTGAAAGCATCAAAAAAGTATTCATAGCATGTGGTTGGGATCTGAAAAGGGCAGATGGATGGACGGGCGCTTGTACATAGCTGGGAAAACGAAATATCTGTACCAAACATACACCGCGTGCAACTGTATCTTCAAGGCCATCATGATGATGCTGCGTTCTATCACATAGAGCTGTCGTCGTATAAAAGTGAATAAACATGGGCAATACTGTAGAATGAGATAAGTCCACACCCCAACCCCTACCTCGGGAGCCATATGTAGCGGCAAGTATTTTTAGTCTCATTTCCCCGCGCTCTCTCTTCGTTTCTAGAAATTACCTTGGACTCTCAAAATCAGAGATCCCGACGTTTCATCTCATCCCTCCAAAGTTCAGACCAGGGCCAGGATCAGGACATCGGCTGTCCGGCTCACAACATGGCACGTGCTTATCAGTTCAACTCTTCTGCTACAGCAGACTTCTTGAAACGAACTGGAAATGCTCTCAACCGAATGATGCTTGATAAAAAGGGGGGGTATTCATCATCTCTACTTTACTCTATTTCTAGTGTAGCAGCATAGCAGGTCCGTCGACCATACCGTGACCATATGAAATCGCTTCGCTTCTTAATATTTAACAAACACAAACACACGCAACTTTTCTTCCTTAGGTCCTCCTCCTCCCCTTAAGCAGAACCAAAGGACTTGAACTTCTCCTCCACCGGGCCGAAAGCCTTCTCACCCGCATCACCAGTCTTGCCACCAAAGACAAGCTGAGCGTTGAGCTTCCAGCTCTCGGGGATAGACCACGTCTCGGCGACCTTGGCGTCGATCAGAGGGTTGTAGTGCTGCAGGTTGGCGCCGAGACCCTCGGCCTCGAGAGCGACCCAGAGAGTGTGCTGGAGCATGGCGTCCGACTGCACGGCCCAGACGGGGAAGCGGTCGGCGTAGACGGCGAACTGCTCTTGCATGCCCTTGACGACGGTCTCGTCCTCGAAGAAAAGGATCTGTTTTGGTAACAAGGTGTTAGTTGGGGATGATGGAAGGAAAGGGGAGATGAAGCATCACGAAAGCGGGAGGAAAAAAAAAAAAAAAAAAAAAAAAAAAAAAAAAAAAAAGAGGGACAGGGGGAGGATAACATACAGTACCAGCAGCACCCTTGAACATGGCCATCTTGCCAGCCGTGCTAGCGAAGCTGTCCTCGGGAACGATAGCCTTGAGGGTCTCGGTGGTGATGTCCCAGAGCTTCTCGTGCTCGGCGCCGAGGAGAACAACGACACGGTTGCTCTGAGAGTTGAAGGACGAGGGAACGTGCTGAAGAGCCTCCTTGACGATCTCGTTGATGCGCTCGGTGGTCAAAGAACCGAGGTCCTTGGAAAGAGGGTAGTAGGTGCGGCGCTGCTTGATGAGGTCAAGGACCGCGTTGGCAGAGATCTGAGTGGAAGACATCTTGGATGATGATGATGTGTGGATGTTGCTTGTGAAAGTAACGGAAGGTTTGTTGGTGATGTTTGTAGTCGAACGAGAGATCGCGGTGAAGGGAGAAAGCGTCTTGGGCTTGGGAGTCGTGCTTCTTATGAGCCCAGAGGAGATGGTGGCTCGAAGTCTACTAGGGGCGAAGTGTCGCATAAGGACTGATAGGATCTAGTGTCACCCTTGCGATCAAAGGTGGAAACTGTGTCGACGGCGGTTGTTCCCTTGTCTAGACGTGGATGGCAACGGAGGAGAGGGCGGGGCTTCTGGACGTGGCAGGTTATGGTACGATATGGGTCCTTGTCAACTATTTTTTCGAATTTCTTCGACGTTCCGGATCTCGGTGGGGTGAGCGGTATGGAGTATGGAGCACTCGAGGGATGATAAAGGAAGGGGTTGAGGTTGTCACTGAAGGTATTCACGTAGGTCCTTTTGGAGGTTTATATCTGTGTCGCTCTGAGCGATCTGGATACTGAGCGTGGAGTAGAAAGAAGCCTCCATCACCATCGTAGACCACACGATGCCCATCGTCACGAATTGGCTTACTAAGAGCACTCATCTCTGGCTACATTACGGATGCCTTTCATCTAAGACTCTGCCGCAAAGCGAAGAGGGCAGAGATGAAACAAGCATCGTGAATCGCCATCTGTACCTCCTACCCCACACAGCGACGACCGTGGGGCCGGTCAGAAAGAGGGGCTATTCTTGGGTGTAGCGTCCAGCCGACCAGGGGTGGAGGGGGTTGTTGTTGGATTTTCAAGAGATTTCCAAAAGCTCTGTCAGCCATTAACAATACAACCGGAGACCAAGCTTGACCTACCACCCAATGAGACGGCGAGAAGGTTCTATATCGGGGATATTTTGCTCTATCCAGTTAGTACCGCCGGAAGCCGAAAGTTTTGTCCATGAGGCTCTGCGGTTATGCGCTCTTACCGCCCTGAGACCGCACAGACATTCTGTCAAACTGCGCCTCGTGTGATGACCAAGGCTGACAAAGCCGACCTTATCATTTTATTAAAAGCTTAGACAAGCAGAACACGGAAACGGGGTGGTCCCGGAGAGCGGTCAACTCTCAAGGTTGGGGAGGAAGCTCAGAGAGATCAAAAACTGCCCAGTCTCATATGTCTCCATCCTCAAAAACATCAACGAAAAACAATAAAAAAGCATTTGTTAAATCTTGACAAACAGCACGGCCTATAAGTTTTAGGTTCCGAGACCTTTACTGTCGCAAAACCCAATCTGGACTCAATCATGATTGACAACATCCATTTTTAGCTGGCTGGGCTCTTCTTCGTCCAGGAAGCTTTCACTCGGCCCGTTCATGCATTGTTCTCCTTGTTCATGCAGTTTGCGCTTTCATCATCGGAACATGCAGCCTTCTAATACACTTTCTACACAGCATCGGTAGCGTAGGTATGCGAGTCTTGAAAAGGTTCTCTACCTTTGCTCAACAAGTCGTCGACACTGTATGTAAAAAAACATGTTGTTGAGTGGTGAAATTCAAACGTGATATGGCGGGATCATCATGGACTATTACGTCACGGGTGTTGCCTTCCACATTGCCATTGCCTTCCAACGGCGAGTGGAAGGTTGTGGCGGTGCGCAGTCTGATTGGTCAATTCGTGTCTGTGACTTATGTACGAACAATTGATACCGCGAAACGGTGCTTTGGCCTGGTGTTTTCGATCACTTCGAGGTGCCTTATCCAAGAGGTTTGGGCAAAGGTGATGACGGCCTCGGGGCCAGAAGAACGCATAGCATTGAGGTCCTCGGCGAGGGTAATTATTTACCAAAGTACTCACTTTTGAGAATATAGTATAACTACACGTCAACGTACATCATCTAACCGAGCCCGGAGAAATCTGCGTAATGCATGAACAAACAGCTTCGCTCAACAAAAAGTTGTGATGAATGATGATACACTTCGAAGAGCTAATCCATACGTGCAAAAACAAAAAGTTGAAAAGGGAAAAAAAAAAAAAAAAAAAACTGAAAAAGCAATACTTTGACAAAAACCCGCCCATGCACGCCGGAAAATGCTGGTGTTGTTTTATGGCTTCACCCTTGAACGCCGTTTCTAGTCTACCCCGCCTGCCCTTGCCTTCCTTTGATATGTATGCTTGTTCATTTGGCCTGCGAGGCCCCTGCGATGTATTTTCCTTCTCTTCCCAGGGTCCAATACGACAAAGTGTGTCGCAACATTCAAAGGCCCAAAAGGATGTTATCGTCGTAAAACAGTGAAACCGATCACCACGTCTCGGCAATGTATTGTCCAACCTCCCTCTTCAGTTCCCAAAATTGCTTTGCTTCATCGTGCTCGAGGTTGCCCTTCTCCATCGCGACCTCGATCAGCGCCTGCTCGACGCCTTCGCCCATGCCCTTGGAGCTACCGCAGACGAACACCCTACCGTCGACTGAGTTGATGATATACCAGACCAAGTCCGCCTGGGCCTTGACCTCTTCCTGGACATAACGCCCCTGACCACGACGGCTTTCCACCACACGCTTGACCTCATCCTCATGCACACCCCACTCGCCGCTGTACAGCTCATCGACTAGCGAGTCACGGCAACCCTGGAGGACCCAGACCTTGTTGGCGCAGTTGGCGGTCTTGAGGCGGCGCTGGACGAAACCTCTAAAAGGAGCAATGCCGACACCAGCACCGATAAGTAGCATGGGGCCGTCAGAGACGAACTGCTTGGCAAGAGGGTTGGCCATCAAACCCTTGAACATGGGGATGTAAACCTCAATGTCCTTCTCGCCTCTTTCTTGTGCCTCAATATACTTGAGGGCTTGGCGCTGGAAGAAACCAGAACCGACTCCGTTGCGCGAGCCTGTCCTCCAGTCGGAAGAAGTATGGACGGTGACAGCAATCTCGATCAGTCGATGTTGCTTGCCATCGCGTCTCAAGAAGGACTCGTGCGGGTCGTTAGACAAGGAGTAGAAGCGGGGCATCAGAGGCTGTAGAACCGAGAGGAGCAAATCGAGAGGCGGCCTGGCGCTGGGGAAGGCATGGAGGAGCTGGGCAACGGTGATGTGCGGGCCGGTGCGGAAGTCACAGAAGACTCCCTGGCCTTCCGCCGAGCAGAGGAAGAACAGAATCTTGCGCTCGTCCTCATTGGTCGCAAACTCGGCTAGAATACGGAGAAGCTGTTTTGTGGGCGGGTAGGACTGGATGTCAGAGCACCATGTCAGGAGGTCTCTCCGTGTCGTGACAAGCTCACGGGCCTGATCTTCACCCCATACGGTGGGCCATCTGCCCTTGGTTGTCCTTAGGAGAACGGGCTTGTCGCGGAGGAAGCGGGGAACGAGGAGAAGGTCGAGCAGCTCCTCTACCATGGACTCTTCGTTGGGAGCCGAGACACCGATGGCTCCGCCGACCTTGAAATCGACGCCCTCATCCTCCGGGTAGTTTGTGACATCGATGTCGAAGTGAAATGTACGCTTCTCGGCGCCTTGGCCTGTCAACTCACGAGCGGTGTGAATGCGGGCGGGGAAGACATGGTGAGGCGGGTGAGGTTGGACAAAGGAGGGTGGCTGTATCTTGGTATCAAGGTCCTCCAAAGCCAGCTTTTGTACAGACTTTTCGAGATCGGTTGTGGCGGATGTCGTGTTACCATCTGTGTTGAGAGCCGCAGTGGACTCTGTAGGAGACGGCACATTGGACGGACGGCGAAGGGGCTGCAGAAAGGCAGTCTGTTCGGGAAGGTCGAGTATGTTGTTTAGGACAGTCGGAACTTCTTCGATCTTGAGGTTGAGAGCGCGGTATGCGTCGTTGTCGGGAAACTTGACCCGCTCATACTCGATGCCCTGCTTCTTGACCCTCTTGCCATCGGAAGTGAGGCAGCAACCACCACCGCAACACCTCTGGACCAATTGGGTTGTGGTCTCGCCCGTGATGCGTTGGATGTCAGCCGGAGACTTGACAATAAGGACAGTGGATGCGCGGCGGCGGCGCGGCTGCTCCATGTCGTCAGATTGGCGGGGTTCCTCGCTTTCGGAGTGTTCGGAGGACTCCGAGTATGTGAGGGACGGGGCCATGGAGGGCAGTTGAGGCTCTTCGGGTATGCTGTTTGCCGAGTGTTGGGCCATTATACGATCAACTTGGGCCGCCATTGTTGCGTTGGTTGGCTGTCTATAAGTACAGGATGTGCTTCGTCGGGATTCGCTCCTGTAGAGGAGGTAGGGTGTTTTTGTTGGAATGATAATATTAACAGGTAGTTGGAAGTGATGATGGTGGCCGGCCCGAACGGTGAAGGGTGAAATTCCAAGGTTCCGGATCTGATTAGATTACAATAGGCGAATCAGTATGAGAACCGCCGGAGATAAAAATGCTCGTGCACCGGCAAAAAGTCTGGGGCAAGTCTGTGGATCGAAAGCAAGTGGAAAGACGGGAGGCCAAAACTCGAAGACTCGGGATGGGACCGGAAGGCAAGAGGGAGGAGGTACGTGCGAAAGGCGAATTACCAAAGAATAATATGTATGCCAGGAAGAACAGCCGGCAAACAAAGGGCGAGCTCGGTCTGAAGGAAGGGAGGAAGAGAGGAAGCAGGAGCAGAGAGAGTCTAGTGTAGGGTGCAGTGGCCACAAGTTCAACAAAACCGGACGGGAAATCGCGATGTTTAATTATTTGCATGTCATAATGCAGCAGGGCTGCCGGAGCACCGGACTGAAGTCACTGCACTCGCTGGAGCATGCCGTTTTAGCACAGTACGTACGGGGAAAAGCGTTAACGGCTCTGGGTCCGTCGGCTTCGGCGGGCTGGCCCACCAATCTCTCGCCGATACCTATGGCGACAGAAGGGTCCCCGCACATCCATGGTGTTTGCAAACGAGCAGTCCTTCCGCCTTTCTCCGTGCTCGCCCGGCGTAACATGGAAAGGGGAACATGTTCCATGGCACCAGTTGCAACATCTCGGTGTGTAGTTGCCCTGATAGGATTATCAGTTCGCCCAAACCTTCTTGGAAATGTTTGAAACAAAATATCGCAAACTGGACGACATCATTAGGCTTATCAAGGTTACATCCCACGGATCATACATAGTACCAGGCAATCCCCCACGAACCTGGCTGTAGTGTAGTGCACAGGGGGTTGTGCAAACCGAGCAGCCGGGCAAGACGCCTTGCACTCAGCTTGTTGAGGCTACGTATGTACCCATCCCGGGCATGTGCTGACGACACCCTATAGGAACCTCAATTTTCCCTTTTCAAAAGCAGAATCGCATCGAGCCTGGAAAGGTTAGTCCGGGAGAACTGTCAGACTGTCAGGTGATTCTGACCGCTTTCACATCCCATTTTACTCGCACTTTTACCAAGATCCTCATTCCCCCTTTTATGAATTAATCTTGGGATCAGTCCATGACTGGTGACTCCATGGTCCTACCGTGCTGTCCGAAGAAAAGCCTCAGGTGACCGTAATTTTTTTCTATGGTGTCGGGTCATACCCTCCTCGACTTGAGTACAAGGCCTTGCTTGCAAGATGATTGCTCGCAAGACCGATTTCCCAGCGAGCTCCCCATATGGTGCAACGCTTCTCTTTTTAGAAATTTGCCAAAGGACACACAGACGCCGATGGGCGTTCCGAGTTTTATTCCCTATCATGAGAGTCAACCGTGAATGACAAGAGGTGATGTCGCCACTTTTTCCCATAATCATGCCGAACAAGCCAGGACGAAGCGTCAGGCCAGCTTGACACGCCCAGACAGGGCTCGACCTGGATCACACCAATTCTTCCCCAGAGCTGCCAAGGACACCAGCGACCACCCTAGGTAGCTCTGGGCGCCAGACACATGCACGTGTTCGTTTGTGGATAGCGGATTGCGATCCTCTTGTTATCGGCACCTTGAAGGACTCTGTGTATGTGCCTGTGCAAGTGATGAGGCATGAAGGCTTCGTCGAATAACTCCCTACAATCAACCTACCGAGGAAGCACTCCCCAAAGCACCGGGCACCCCCCACACGTCGTTTCTCGATTTCGAATGTTCTTGGAAGTTTCCTCTTGCAGCACTACCGAGTTGCCGACTCAGTGCGACTTCATGCTTCCATGCATATTATGGTACACTACCACCTGAGAGAGCACCGCTTAAGTCCAATCAAATCAACGAAGCCTACGTACACAAACTGAACTTCATCAACGACCTACCAACCGATTCCTTCACGCCTTTTTTTTTTTCCTTCGCAGTCCTGACAAGAAACGAACGAAACCCCCCTTCGATTTTTGGACCGTCACTCAAAAGGCGCTAGCAACCTCGGGACCTCCGAGTTCGGTGTTTTCCAACAGCTCTCTAGCACTGCAGTCACGGTGCACTACCACTGTTCTGCCCGCAACGAGCGGGCCAGCAACCTGGGCTCACACTGTTCAATCCCCGACGGAGCGGGCGGCCAGGGGGATCTAGACTGATTACAACCGCAAAGATTTATCAATCAGTTCCACTACTCATGATATCTCCACCATCTTGTTTCATCAGCCAATCACCTCTCGCAGCTATCCACAAAGGGTGGATATCATCCAAGTCAAGTGGACGTCGGGCATCGCTGGCGGCCTGGCCTGTTGAGATTAGATGATCAGATAATTCGAGATAACGAAAGAAATAACCGAGGCTCTAGAAGTCTGGGAGCTGGGGGTTGGGGGAGCATCACGATCTCAACAAGCTGTTCTGATCTAAGAGATGAGGGAGGGGTCAAGAAGGACAGGAAAGATAGGATTGGATGCTAAATGAACGGTTGGAATCGGTTATCTGATGCAAGAAACAAGATACTATGGCAACGTTATGTATATCCCAATTCAGCACATTACATTGCAACAACAAGACGACGGACAGTCCTCGTCAACCTTGATTCCTAATTGCACAGTTCAAGCTGAACCCCAAGATGACAAGTTCGATCCGGGGAAGTGACACTGACAGTGGCGCCAAAAGTATACGGGAAAGTTTCCAACATTTTCGAAACAGGATGTATCCGATGACAAGAACGAGGACGGCTTTCGTGATGAGTACACGTACGCCCTCTACCCTTGTCGTGTCGTTGGTCGTTGGTGTCATAATGTCGTACACTCGTACGATCCGCCATTGAGCAAGTATAGCTGCTAGAAAGAACTGAGAAGACTACGGTGCACTTCTAGACTAACCCTTCCAAACTAGATTCGTTAGTCACATATCAACCATGTTGCTATTTTCCTAGTAGTTTGTTGTATGGGCATACCTACCGCGACATTGTCAACCGAGCAGTGCCTTGGGAAGGGTCAATCTATCATCTTTCTAGCTCAACTCTCATTCAAAAAAGAGCACTACCTACCTACCTTAGCGCTGGTACTGTATCCTGGTACCATAGTTGCAAGAAGAGACAGGACTAGTACATAGTCCAGACCACTGGCTGAAATCCGCGCCGTTTGCTTCGTAACCAGTCTCTCTCTCACTGCACGCGTAGCGCCTGTAGAAGGCTGGGTGTAACAAACAATATGAATGAAACAAATGGCATGAAACACACAAAAATACAAGCTAAACTACGGGAAACGATCTTCCTCAGTCACTGCACCCCGGAAAATCATTGTGTGATTACTAAACAACCGCGAAAGAGACATGGAAAGACCGTTGGGAGTTCATGTCAAGCATGTCTCCATTGTCCACCATGCTGTCCCGATCCCGGTCCTGGCCAGCCGGCTCACTAATGTCAAGTGGGACATGGGACATGATCATCGATCGGTGTGCTTCCACTTGCGAAATTTTGGCGGTTTCTGGGTACGGTGTATACCAGTTCCTACTTTGGTCAGGCCATTCACTGCCAGTGTTGGACTACACTCTTGATATATAGCGCATACAAGGAACTGCTCCTTCCTTTCGTCGTGATATGCATCCGCAAACCAAGTTACCTGCTAGGTATCTTCTTTTGTTTATTGATTGAGCTCCCAAAGACTGTACCACTCAATACACGATCAAAAAGCACTCGTTCGCTTATCGATTCATGTAGACACATTCATCACCCAATCCATCCCAGATGCTTCGGCTCTTGGCCCAGGATTATAGCTGTCCCTAGTCGGAAAGGAAATACAAAAGCCAATCGAAGAGATAACGTATAGTAAGTTGTATTCCGCTCACGAAATATCCATTTTTCCCTTAGTCATTGACTAAGAGTCGACCATGAAAAGGTGAAAACATTCAGTCCGCTGCGTGTGTCGGTCTTGGCGCGCTTTCAGAGAAGTACAATCTGGTTAAGCAGAGCGCGCGGAAGAAAACAGTAACAAATGAACGTAAAAAAAAAAACCAAAACTATCGAGATGAGCCAGCTATCCATGGGCAAATTAAAAGAAAATTTGAAACCAGAGACAACGTAGATAATGGGTTACCATCCTGCCGGTCCTCAGACAGGTTCTAGGTATCCAAAAATGGATCTTCTCGAGTTCTCCTTACGCAACTAAGTGAGTCTTACACTGTACTCTTGCAAAGTACCAGGCATTCCGTAACACTCCAGCCTGGTATCGAGAACCTAGACAATAGCACGCTATCTCTCGACCGAGCTTCTCGATATATGTCTGTTATGATCGCTAGTCATGCCTCGGTTTTTTGCGTTCCAGCAAGTGTCGACCGCCGGTATGACTATGTCCTTGAAGTCTTCCGGGGTGACTCGGCCGATAAAGAAAACCTTGTAGTTGTGCTCGATCGTCATAAGCTTCGAGTAGTTGACTCGGGACTCCATCGCCAGAGTCTCGTGGGGCGAATCCAGCATTTCAATCTGTATTGGCTCGAACCCCAGCTGGGGTTCTCCTTCCAGACTCTGGGGCTGGTTTCCGACATGGTAGGCGATGCCATGTTGCCTTGGCTTTACGCCCGTTTTGCTGCATCCTCTTTTGAGATATGTCAGAATAGGTCTGGGCTGTGTTAGTATGCCACAATATTGAGACTACGAGAGAAACTTGGTGACTTACACACAGGTACAGTTGCCTTCGTCGTTTCCGACGACGATGTAACGCCGGATGGACGAGTAGAACAGGTGGGTTGGGTCCTGTGTAAGATCCCTCTCTATTTCACATGAAAGCTCGTTGAGATTGACACCAGCGGGCTCTGGCCACAAAATCTTGAATACCTGGAAACAGAATCAAAAAACAAGCCCACACTTGCAGAAAAAAGAACATATGATGTACTTACCGACCCTGGGTTGAATTTTGAGGAAGGGTGGACTTTGTAGCCTGCCCCAGGCTATCAGCGAAGAGTCGGTGGATATGGCACGTTTGGTTGAGGTACTTACGTTGGTCAAGCGGACCAGATATTGATCTGTTCGTCGACACGCTGTAATCGATAGCACCGGAAGGAAGGCCTAGAGGTAGTAGATACCCAGCCCTTAGTGCAAGGTTCATTGGCAGCATGGTCTGCTGACTGTTCGGATCTTCGTATGCTGTAGCTGATGAAGGGTCCGGAAAAAAAACGCCAGCATTGAAACCATTTCCAAATTTGAGCCCATTACTGCTTTCGGCACTCTCTGCTGAGGGCGACGTAACCTGACCTGTTGCTGTCACTTGGTATCAGTGTAGCTCTCAAAGCTTTGGAGTGTCACATACATTCAGGCTGTTGGCCGCCATCTCCGTTCCAACGACTGCTGGTCTGAGAACCTCCGTTGGTCTGCGTTTGTAAATCGTCCTCCGTTTCGAAAAACGGTTCGTCATCGTCCGGTTCGGCCGAGATCTTTCCCAACTTCGATGAATAACCTCGGTTGTTCGTTTTGCCTTTCCCGTTACCCCTGTCTCTGTTCCCATCACCAGGGCCTCTATTCTTGTATCTCGCTCCTGGTTCTGAAGGCTTTCCCTTGTCACTGAAAGGCGGTGTGCGATCTTGAGAAGCTGGTCCTGCATGGCTTTGGAGTTGATCTACACTGGCATTAGGTAGGAACAAGGTGAGCGTGGGTAGACTTGGTGTGGACTCACCTCCACTGTAGCCCGGTTGTGATCTATGTGTGTAATGTCCCGTACTGTAGGTCTGACTAAAGCCCGCCTGACTGAGAAACTGTTCATGCAATGCGGGATTCGAATATGTGGAGGTTAGGTAGCCTGGGCTTGGAAATAGCGTGGCCTGATATTGTTGGTTCGGAAAGGGTTGGGGCTGGTAAACTGTGTTGGGATACGGTTGTTGCTGAGGATATCGATATGCAGGAATTTGGTATGTCTGGATGTGATATGCTGAATTCTGGTCATAGACTTGTTGGTGTCCGATGCTTGTTGCGCCAAATCCATCTATAAGATCTTCCACCCCGTCGACCTGTTGGCCAGTGTGATGTTCATCTGGGGTGTTAGACCAGCCTGAGGACGTAGGCACCCATCCGGCGGGCCATTGATCTTGGCCATTGTAGTTCATGCTTGACGCCAGTTATCTTTGGCACACGGCCAAATGAGCACTCGAGGCTCGGCAGGACTGTCCAGACTCGAGCAATACCACGGAGCGTAGCCACCAGTTGACTTGTTTTCTGAATGAAATTTGAGAAAAAAAAAAATGACGAGGCTCCAAAAACAGAGGGCAAGTAGGCCAATTGCCCACCGTACATGGAAACCGTCGAGTCCCCCGTGGCGTTGGTCACACGCAGAGCCTCACTAGGAGTCAATGTTTCAAGGTGATGGTCGACGGATGACGGAGGGGATCATCTCATGCGGCCGGCGCCTTTGGTGAAATATCGAATGCAAACACGATTGGTCGAAGAATGCCTGTGACACTCGATGTTGGATCTTATTAGTAGTCTTCCGAGCTTAGTTGCTGACGCTCATGATGCTTCTGAAGCTGTTAATACAAGCGGGATGTACTGTACCGCTTTGACGAATATATAATCCTAGGACCAAGAAGCCAAATTTGCAGAAGAGAAAGCGTTGCGAATATCAACATGCAGAAAAGGTAGAGGAGGAAAGTTGGGGCTCGACGGTGGCGGTCTGACAGCATGGCAGCGCAGTGGCTGTGTGGTTGCGCTCACTGCCCCCGGTTACCTGTCATTGAAAGACCCAGGTGCCCTTTTGACAATTTCCGTTGGCTGGATCCTAGAATTTGATGTGTCGCCAGTATGTCTTGGATTTTTTGGCCAATATTCGGCAATACTTGGAGAGCCTTGCGAAAAGTGTAACGTTCGCGGAACTGCGGGTGATGCGGAAGGAGGGCAAGGCAACCACATGAATCTGTATAATCACCACGCAGCCTTGCCAAGTCACTCAGAAGAGTGGTAAAGAGTGGTCCAAAAATGGAAAGAAGAGCAAAAAGTGTTTTCCGATTAGGACAAGCGTGCATATCGGTGGGAGTTGCATACAGGCCCGCGATCTGGCATGTTGAGCGATGACCGAGACTACCTACCTATGTACGAGCGGATGCAAAGACTGCGGGGCAGAGAGACACAAGTCATGTGTCTGGAGTCAGCTTCGAGTTTGGAGATGAGGACTGGGGACGGGAATGCGAAAACAGAACCATGAGAATTGATGGAGATGAATGATTCTATATCGCGGGTGCTGCGTGGAAGTTATTGGATGGTGACCGAAGTGTGGCCATCGCGGATGAAGCGAAAACAGGCAGTGCTAATGCCGCTTGCCGAGATGTTGGGGAGTTCGAATTCGCCCAATTCAAACGAGAAAAACTTGCAATCTATAGCTGACTACACTACCCCGCGGTCATCATCAAGGCCGAGTGGCATATTCCATCTCTTCCTCTATACCTGGATCATATGCTTAGCTCAATCGCTCAATCGCACTTTCCCTTTTGTTGTTATGAATGAACCTCACCACTGCAGTCTCCACGACAAGAGTGGCTGCAACGAGTCGACCAACATAAGGCAAGCGCCAATCTGAACAATCTCAAATCTGGTGAGTACCTGCCCTGCTTTATGGATGATTGATGACTTTCCACTACGTATCTTGCAGCGACAACAAACCCTTTGCGCCTGCGAGTGTCCTCGGTCTCAACCGCCTTCCTTGACAACTGATAGTATCAAGATTGAGTTGTCCCACCGAGTGCAGTTACACCCAGGGTTGTCCTTTCCTGCCATCACCAGGCATCTCCACGTTGGCAGGATTGTGCTGATGGAAAGCTTTTGGGAACCCCGTCGCATCATGGGGAACGTTCTTGGGAGCGGGAATGGTCGAGCTAGAGACAATGTTGGTTCCTAGGTCTCCCGTCGTCACAACTAGAGGTATGGTGTACTGGCCCGATGATGCTTGAAATAGCTATAGTGCAACCCACCTATGCGAGACCATCGACTTACATCTCAACGCGCTACCCCGTCTCTTTCGAATGTCACTGCAAGCCGACCAAAGGGAATATTTCATTTGTTTCTAAGTACTGTAATGGCAAGTAGGGCTTGATACCTGACTTTGTGTATGTAAGCAGATAAAGACTTGATGAAGCCATTTAGAAAGGGCGGCTGTTAAGCGCGCCGAAGTGGCCGGGAAGATTCAAGGGTGTCAGTCAATGGGAAAGCATAGTAGATTGGATGTTGGCAAAGATCAAATTTGTAAGGGGGTATCAATCATCGCAGGTCGGTATGCGGCTTTACAAGTATCATACATAAAGAGACAGAGAGAAAGACGCTCGACACCAAATTCAAGAAAGAGTAACAAGAATATGATCGAGAATAAAAATGGTAAACATAAAAACCGCCTTCGGCAAGGACGTTGGCATTTATCCAAATCATCCACCCGTCCACCCAGATATGTGGTATAAATAACCCTGACCCCTCCGTTCCTGTTCCCAATCCCGGTTTACCACCGACCGTGCCGCCCACCCAGTTGTTGTGTCTGTTTCGTTCATTCATTAGGAAGAGACCCCTCTCTTCATCCCATCCCGTCCCTATGCCTATTTCCAACCCATTTCTCGCCGAAGAATTGTAACAAACCAAGAGGCCGAAGATACATAAGAAACAAAAAGATATAGATCGAGAAACCTTCTTGTGGTTTCTTGTTGTCGCTAAAAGATCCCTATCATTTCCTCCAGTTTGAACTCCATTCCATCATTATATTGAAACACCACCCAAAGCCCAGTTTAATGGTATCATCGCCGACAGCAAATGAAACATGAGAAGAACCAAGGAAGCTTTTTGATTTTCGTCCAGCCTGACCCCACTTCGTTGGTTACGTCATTGCAGCATTAGCAGCCTCCTCGCCTCTTCCTTCTCCTCTTCGGTCGGGTCATCTGAAATCCAGGGGCCCTTCTCCTCTTCAGTCGCGTTGAGGAAGCCCTCTGTCCTCCTGAGGGTCTGGACATCAAGATCCGTCACGTACGACTTGCCATCCTGGAGCTTGATGCGCACCTCATGCTCGGTCGACAGCATCATGTCGTCCTTGGCCAGACGACGGGGTCCATCGAACACAGCGACGACACGCTTCTTCATGGTCATCTGGCCCTTGTCGAAGCCCCAGCTGGAAGGGTAATCGCGGCGGTTCTTTCGACCGCGTGCCTTGCTTTGGAGAGCGACGCCACCGCGGGAGTGGGTGAGACCTCGGGACTTTTGCACACCGTTGGCGGGATTGCCCTTGGTCTTCCTGGAAGGCGAGCTCTTGGGTCCACGACCGCCGACGGGATCCTCGCTGTCATCTTCATCGACCATATCTTCGTCTTCATCGATGTCATCCATCTGGGTGGTCATTGTTGTGGTAGTCGGGAGGTTGTTCTTCTCGAGAGTGTTGTGGACGTCGAGATCGTTTTCCACTTCGGCCAACCGCTTTGCATTGATGGCTTCGGTGGGGTCCTCCTGTTGCACAATCCTCAACACGCAGTCATCCAAATGCTCGTAGAAGTCTTGGGCGTTGCTAAAGGTCTGAGAGCATGTCGAGCACTTGCCGGTGGCATCGGGTGCGTAGCCAGTCAGCTTCTTGTTGCCAGAGTTGCCGCCGTTGACACCGCCAGTCTTCTTTCGACTGTTGGGCGGTGTCTGTTCTACACCATGGACGGCTGTTAAGTGACGCTTGAAGACGTCGGCGCGGTTGAACGACTTCTCGGCCGCTGAGCCGGAGCCCGGGCAGAAGCCGCACACCATTGTTCCCTTGTAGTGTGTTAAAGTGTGGCGGTTTTTGTCATACTTTCTCGCGAAGCCCTTGACATGATACTCGCATGTCGCAATGGGGCATTTCTCTGGCCTTTCTGTTTGATGAGTGAGCATGTGAGCCTTCAAATCCTTGAAGGTCTTGCCGCACTCGGGATGAGGACACCTCTGCTTCTCCTTTGAAGCTTCATCTCCGCTGTATGGTTGTTCGGATAAGTTGGACTGATACGAAACCAGACTTTGCCTTCTTTGTGGCTCAAGAGGTGCCGGGAAGGGCGAGTATGCCGGGTAGTTGTTGTTTTGTAGGAAAGGCGACGTGCTGCCAGTTCGGAGCTGAGGGGATGCGGAAAGAGCAGGTGAGCCGGGATATGCGGAGTTAGGAGCAGGGTACATTTGCTCGTAGCTGGGCATAGCCATCGATCGAACTTCGGGGTGGATCAAAGAAGGGTCTGTTTGTGAGTGAGCAGTCAGCAGTCCGCTTTTGGTAAATAAGTTCAGAATCTGACAGAGGAAACCAACACGAAGAATCAAGGGGAGGAACGAAATGCCAGCTTGACTGAGTAAAGAAAGAGGAAACTATGCGAGAATTTTGCGGCCTTCGGTCCGCATAGTGTTTACCCCGGGCAGAGAGTAGAGGAGAAGGGAAACAGGAAGAAGTAGAAGTGGCAGGAGAAGAAAGCACAGGGTTGGAAGCCATTGAAGACGAAGTTGAAACCATGGAATGGGTCGCCGAGCTTGTCGGCAAGCGTGTGTCGAGGACCAGACCAGTCTTGGGTGTTGTGGTATAGGATGTGGAAGAAACACAGGAAGGGGCAGGAAGGCTCTGAGACGGCGGAATATGAGATCTAGGGATCTGTTCAAACTCACCGACAAAGCCGGGGCCTTTGGGAACCGAAAATTCGAAATTGGGGTTATAGCCATCCAGAGGCGTGAATGAGTACTCATTGCCATGGAAGTACTCGCCTTGATCGACAATACCGGGGCTCACACCGGGGCCCAAAGGAGCTCCCCACGAGGCTAGGTTGCCAGGGTTCGAGAGCGGGGAGCCGGCGTTTGATGAGGATGCGCTATGGCTATCGACGCTTAGGTTGGAGTCTTCGGGATACAGGCTGGGGGACTTCGCATGGTACATGTTGTACGGCGCATCGGCATACAAAGTGGTGCTTTGGTCGTAGGCCATCGATGTTGTGTACTCCTGGGATCGGGGTGGGTAGTATTCAGGGGAAATGCCCATATCTACGGGAGTTGAAAACATTCCTCCCTGCGGGGGCTCTGGGTAATGCATCGTGTATTCGTCGGCTTCGTAATGGCGAGCAGTCGCCATATGTCGGAGCAGGAATTTTTAATGATGGGTATAGAAGCGTCGAAGATATGGTGGCTTGCTAACAATGAGCAACAATCCTTTCGCTATAAATCTGCATGTCAGTCAAACTCCGCTGGGGAATCCGGTCCGTCAGTCACTCACCTTCGCAAGTGTATTCACTGGTTCAAGGTCTTCGAACACAGAGTGACTGGATAGTTCGCAACTGCTAACTTATAACAAGGCGCAATCGAAAGCCGGGAGTCGATTGAAGGGAACGGTTCCTTGGTAGTGAGTCTCAGACCGTGACTTAGACCTCGTGTCGTGGTGAGTACGGGAACACGGATGAAAGTGATTGGTGGTGGTATGGTGGTATTGAGTGGTTATGATCAATGTGTCGGATTATCGGATGATGTGAGTGTCTTGATTCTGCAAAATACCCTTCGTCTTTGGATCAGTCCTAATCCCTTACTGTTTTTTTGTCGTAGTGTTTGGGTGGGAGTGAGTTGGAAGGAGTGTTGATTATGATCCTCCGTGCTGAGCTTATCCAACTTGGGAAATCGTCGGAAGCTTCAGTCGATGTAAACACTCTTGTTCCTGGGCTGATGGTGAAAGAAGGGGCAAGAGAGGCGTAGTTCAAGATGATCGGGGCGTGTGAGGTTTCTATATAGCCGGAGCCTCTTTTACGAACTGCTGGTATCCCGGAGGAGCGTGGAGCTCGGTGGGTATGAGAGATCTGGTAGGGCTCCAGTGGCCGGCGAGCTGCGAGCGAGGCGTAGTACATGCATTGGGAACGTACTAACACCAGAGTCTGACAGGGACAGGGGAGACGGTGCAGGGGCTAGGAGGCCAGAGACAGGGGGTGCTGGTGTGGGAGAGAGGGGGCAGGGTACAAAGGTGTGTGTACCGAGAGACTTCGTTCTTGGGAGCTACGTAGCGAGGGTAGGCACCATCATCGACCCTGCTGCCCATCCACTGAATGGGGCTCATGCTCCTGAGGGCGCCGACCGTGGAACTACTGTGTAGGTACCCTTGTACCATCGTCATAACCGGCTATCCCTGTCTTCCCATGTCCCAAATCGTCGACAGACCACAACTCGGCCCTTGGACGACCGCACCCACGAGCCCTTTTGGATAGTGTGGTTGGGTGAGAGGGGGTTGCGAAGCGACTGGGCGAGACCTCTCGAGAGACCGTTTAGTATGTGCGATGCTTGTTCCGTACGAAATACCGACACAGCGACACCACCAAGAGTTCAAGACCACCTCTTGACCGGCACAGTATGGAGCAGGGGCCCCGAATATCGATCGCTAGTTTAAGGTGGTGACTGGTGATGTTGACTTGTCCGTGGGTTGACTTGGGCAACTACCCCGTCAAGCCAGTTGGTACCATTTCTCGCCCACCATCAAGATAATAAAGATAATGGGATTGGGGTTCTGGACTGTGGAATTATTGGTCATTTTGTCAGTCTAGCTCCCGTCTCCTGTGATGTTGATCTCCCCCGTATGTATCCGGACCAGGTTAAGGACCTTGTCCCTGGTCCCTGCCCAGGAAGGGCTCGCGGGTTGGAAATTGGGACGCCGTCTATCGAGCATTTCCCAGAGCTCAAGAGAGCATCCGGAAGCGAGACATGCTGTCGCAAATCTGTTCTCGCCCCTGGATGTCGTTTTTGTTGCCATCTTTTTTTTTCTTTTTCCATCTCTCATGATCCGAACAGCCAGTCATATCTCGTCTGAACATCATACAAGTGCGGGTTCCTGAAGAGCCGATGCAGTGGACAGGCGAGGAATGAGGGTACGAGGCAGAACCCACGAGGCCTGGATCCGTTGTCCCTCGGAGGACAGCACGAGCTATTGGGACTCTAGCATGGCAGCTTGATCCACGCACCGTCCTTTACAGACGGCGCTGGTGCTGTGTCCATCCTATATCTCGGCCTCAGGCCTCTCATTCTTACGCATTTTACACTTTTCCACTGTGTCTTTGGATGTAAGCACTGTCTTGAGCGGAAGCCATCCGAACGTAGGGAAATTGCATCCATCACTTTGTCTACTCCAAGACGTGTACAAACTTGATGATGGGCGTTTTGCTTTAGCACACTGTACTGTAGCCGGGTGAACCACGAGTCTTGTCAACGGTTACACAGCCGGGTCGGAGGAGTTCAGTCAGTCGTACACTAGGTAGCAGACCCAGGTAGTTACCGATGTTGTCTCGCGGACAAGGCACCAGATTGGGGAGCCCACCACCGCACATCAGGCTCTCGAGTCGAGTCTGTAGCCTCCGAAGTCGAAGTGGCACTCTTCCGTCACTGCTTGTCCCATTGCCAGACCAAGGACTGCCTGTTGCCTCCAAGGGATCTGCCAGACACAAAGTTCAGTGGCCAAAACGCAAGAATAACCTGCCGTCCACGATCGCCAACGTTCAAACTGGCGTCCAATACGATTTGACGCGCATCGTGGACTGTATGGGTATGCGCCCAGCCTTGTTCTTGTCGCAGTTGTAGGGACTCAAGGTCGCAATCTCAGTCGTGGTCGTGGTCACGATATCGTGGAGGTGGCCGTATCCTCTGAAGTCAGGGAAATCAAAAGATATTTTTATGCATTCCTGGTGCCGTGCAAGCCGCTGCGCATACCCGACATATTGGATGTGCAAGCCTGCCGCCCGCAGCGCCCGGATGGTTCCATGTAGTACCGTAGGGACTGGCGCTGCAATGTGCCCTTGGGTGCTGCAATGGTGCAGTGGCTTGACATGTCCTCATCACCCACTGACTGCCCGAAAGGGTTGATTGTAACTTGATTGGGGTGGCTGCTGGTGACGGGACTCGTCCCCACCAATGGAAATCAAGGGGGTTGCAGCCAGCGCGGATGGGTGTTACTACTGCAACAGTAGACGGCCAGTGCGCTAGAGGGCCAAAAGGGCAGAAGGGTGTTGCTCAATGTGTGTTTTGTGCACCCCAAAATAAGGTGCACAGCCTTACTGCCATCACCAAACGGAAAACCTGGAAGCCTTCTTTGTTGCAATCGTGGCTTCGATGTGTAGCTTGTTGATGGCCTACCATCCGCGATGCCATAATTGAACGCTTTCTTTGCTTTCCACGATGATGTGTCATGTACTGTAGTTTATCTTGCGCCCGAGACGGCTTGCTAGTATCTGGGGATGGTGGTGGTGGTGGTGGTGGTGCTCCGTGATGTGGAATCTCGTCTCGAGACTGTGAAATTATCACGGGGCCTTCACGGCGAGTCTGGAACAGCGGAACTTGCCCTGGGCATGAATTCCCTCCGCTCGGTAACCCGTTCCCATCGCATCGCGCTGCCTGCTGTTCGTCCGGTATTCGTCCGGATCGCAATCCGTGGTCCCTGGTCTGTCCTGGTCGGTGCAGTGCCAAGCGACGAAAAGCGGAGTACATGGCAGAGAATGTCGGGCAGAAAGAGCGCCGCGTCGGGGGGGGGGGGGGGGGGGGGGGGGCCCATGGGCGGGGGGCATCGTGGGCACCGGTGGACGGACTGGGACACTGCCATGGGGGCCAAACATTGTGTGTGCACATGCGCTTCTCTCCAAAAAGGCAACATCGAAGCGATTTCGCAAAATCGAGCCTCATTGTCGAGTTGGTGGGTTTGGCTTCTTTGGCGGTCAAGAATTCGAAATGCACGAGAAAGGACAATTTGCAATTTCTGGCGGGTTTACGCTTGTTACGGTCGGTTCAAGCGAGTCGGAGCCGATGCCTAGGTAGACTGACTAGATTGAGAAATGGTTCTTCTCCACCGCGCGAGTGGACAAGAAGAGGAGTTTGCGAATTTGCCATTTTAACAAAAGTGGTGAACGTGAAGAAGAGGGGACGGCGCCTATTCAACACCTCGTGGCATGTTTGGTCAACATGCTCTTTTCTTGTTGAAAATCGAAATGTTCAGTTCTTTCTCTGGAAAGTTGAAACATGGGCAGCCACCGATGAACATGGAAGCAGGCAAGAAACGAACGCCTTCGAGTTCTGCAAGCACAATTTGCACGCCCGTCTGCACCTTCCCCGTACGCGGCGTTCATTACCTAACGTGCAACTGAAGTATTTATCTCTACCTACGTAGGCATGCACAAAGGGTACAATCTAGCGCGCTGTCCCTTTCGAACGGCAGTTCGTTCGATATCTACATGGATTCTCCTACACTGCAAGTAGGTACAGTAGTCGCTGCGTTCGTTCAGTTTGCTCTGAAACTTTCACACGCACCGTGACCTTATCCCCAGATCCTCAACACCAAACGAAACAAAACGCAACAAAACCCAATGTCACCGCAGAGCCTCGCTCGCTACACTAGCCTCGTTTTCGCTTTCCTCAAGGCGTCGTCATTATCGCCATCCGCGGGAAAACTCTGGAAATGAAAATGCAAATTCGCAGCAAGCCAATTTGACCAATTGGCTCGTTCTACTGCCGCAATAGTAGGTACCTAACCAGTCGCGGAGTAGTCCATCATATTCTTTTACGTATGCGCCTGGCTGTAAGCGTAATCTTTGCATCATTGGCATGGACTGCACTGCACCGAACTTGCCCACGTCGTTACGGGGAAAAGGCAGTTTGCAGAAAGCAAATGACAGGCTCCGCGGTGGTGCAACCGGCAATTCGGCTGCTGGAAGAAAAAGACAACCTCACACCAAGGCTTGTGTTCATTATACTAGTGTACCAAGTTTTTTGAAGATCAATTGTTCGACAGGCCGAGTCAAAACAAGATATGTACCAGACCCGTGATCGGCGGATTTTCCGTGCCTGAGCCCCGAACCTCCTGGGCGGAGAGGGCGGAAACGACGACGAACCGTTCCCCCGGCGACCCCAAGGTGATGGAACTCGTGCGGTGGGACGGACAGTGCCCGGTGCGGGCGGGGCAGTGGGACATGCAGTGAGACAAGCCTGCCCCGCCAGAGACAGGGACACTGCAACAGGGCTTCCTTCACTTTCGTTGTGTAGCTAGCAAACCTCGGCCCCAAATCTCGAAACTGAGGCCGATGGACATGGAGAAGCCCCGCCCCCTCCGGAGAAGGCCGGGCCCCATCGCATACTCCCACTTTGACTCCCACGCAAGTGGAACACAACACAGAGGGACAAAACTCTCGTTCTGAGGCCGGGCTCCAGTCATCTCGCCGTCCTGTCCCGCCCGGACTGTAGGTCTCCGAGTCGATCGCCCGCTCCGAATCCGAGCTCGAAGCGTGATAAGGTGCCGTGGTGGGTTAAAGACCTAGGTAGGGGCACAAGCACTTGAAGAGCACGGCCGTCTCGAATTGATACTTGATGGGTGCATGCTGATATCAGACGGTATGTACAGTCATCCATTCATATCGTGCTGCGATTTGTCCGATAACATTAGGTGACAACCAAGGTGGCTGTCATCAGGCTCTGTCTTTTACCATCACGGTCCCCGTGTCCGAGCTCCGTCCCTCGCTGTTCACGAGACAAACATTGCAGACACAGGCACGCACGCAGTGGGTAAAGAAAAGAAGAAAAAAACACCACGCTTACGAACCCTGGGTTTTTTGGTACAGATCACAACGTGTAACGTCAGTGGAACCGGGTCAAGATCTGCGTTGCGTTCAGCCGACATCAGGACCAATCCCATTGCTGCGTTCCCAGATAGGTCTAGTCGTGGCTCATGGCTGCATGACGCCAAATCGTAAGCTGTCATTGGCTCTTTTACGTTGTGATCCAAGGGGCCCAAGATGATGCAAAATGTCACTCTGTGTGGGGAAGCCAAAAAGGTAAAATCCAAAAAAAGCAACGATTCGCCCAGGCGCTGCAACCTCCCTTGGTCTTGGGTCTGTCAGACAACAATCCCTACGCTGCTCCCGCACCGGGACCACACCCGCAATCACACCTATATTATAGAAGGGCTGTCGGTATTATAGCACATCCCGTGGCCTATGGGGATGGTCGAAATGGCCTGGATCAGCAGTATTACGCGATTATAGCAAAGGGATCTCTCTTGTATAGCCATGGAGGCCCTGTTCAGTTCCATGTTGTCGACACCGCACTTCATGTCACCGGATGTTTACGGGCCTTCCACGCGGTTTCAAGGAAAAGGATTATAGGTATCATAATACCAGGGGGGAGAAGTCGGCAACCTTACACCGTATGTGTGCCCCTCACACACACAGGAAACAAGGCTGATATAGCTCTCCTAACCCAGGATGAAATTCAACAGACATCATCCTCGTTTTACCAATCCCCGGCTTCGCTCCCACTCGTTGTTGTTGTTGAGGTTGGAAAGGTCATCTGGCTGCCTAACTAACCCCTAGACCTATATCATGTCCCTTCCACGATCAGTCTCACATACACTTATACCGGGTCTCTCAACTTCAGGGGTATCCTATAATAGGAGATGCAGTTCCACTCAAACCTCATTTGCAACATCATCTTCATTCCGATGACCGGATCGCGATGCAAGCAGCCGGGATCACTGGAAGGTACATCCATCCATCCATCCACACCACTGGGATATTGCTGCGGAGCCTCGCGAACTCAATACAGAAAAACAGAGAGGAAAAAGGGGGGTCATTAAAGTCCCGATATTAAGTTCCTGTTCCTTGGTCATGGATAGCTTGTCTAGCCAATCTCAGTTCATGCATTCCTCCCCCCTATCCGGCGCAGGTACCCAGTCATCCAGCGGTCTTGGCTTGTTTAGAGGCAAGTTCGACATGTCGTACAGACTCAGAAACTGAAAAGGCCAAGAACTCTGTGTCTCTCCTATCGTGGGACTTTCACTTCGGTTTCTTTTCTGACTCTCGTATCTGGTTCACACGAGTCAGCCGGACCGGAGTCTCTCCAAAGGCAACTAAACTACCTACTATATATACGATCCTCTCACGGCCAAGAGTTTCTCCGATATCATGATGACGACGACGACAATCTCATATTCACAATGTCTGAAATAATTTTCTTGGCAAATTTCCTTCCCCATGAAGCATGATCGAGACCAAAAGAAGCAATCGAGATTTCACCTCAGGGGTCTTGGCGTATCTTTATGTCACATAGTTATTTACAACATTTCAACCAACACAATGAAGAGTATCGCAGCACTTTTTGATGCGAATTCGGAAGCCTCAGGATTATTGTCCAACGCGAGCATAACTTGAATCAGATCAACTCAAGGTTGAATTAAATCAGATGGCTACCTACCGCAAGATGTCAAATCAAGCTTTATTTTTTAGGTTCATGTCGTTGGTGGCAATTGGATGTCGTGAATTGAGGCAGTGCTCAGCCCTATAAGGTACCACGGGCAGTCCAGCCCCAACCTCAGTCTAGTGCACAGTACGTACCGTAGGAAAGTTGGTGACGACACGAAAAAAAAAAGGGGGGGCCCCTTTTCATTCACTACAGTGGCATTTCTTTGAATTTTTAAAGTTACCTACTCACCGCCTTCGTTTTTCCCGAAGTTGAGATCACTTCCAACATAAACCAGAGAAACTCCTAACCAAGACATACAACAAACGGACGAAACTGCTATTCCGAAGTCGGGTTCACGTTTGCAAAAGGGGGTTGGCAGTCCCTTTGCTTTCGTTGCGACGAATAAAGTGGTCCTCCCTCCCTCGCCCCTCCCGCGTGCCTGAGACCGCGGCTCCGACCCGTCTTACCCGCCAGGCCCGCCCACGCCGCCCAGCCAGGTGATGCGATGGAAAGGTGAGCAGCTCTTCCCCGCGAGCCCCTCCGCGCGCCGCCCCATACGGTCGGGCCAAACGGTCGGGACAAGCGCTTTGAGCTTGAGCCCAGTGTGTCCCAACAGTAGGTACGTTCGCGGGCCGTTAGTTTTCGGGGTCTGTTCGGTTTGTGCGGATGCGGACGGGAGTTTCTTGGGTTCAATTTTTCCTTACTTGATATGTCTAGTACATATCCTTTTAACCTTTTGCTGACCTCAATTAAACCTGACCTGCTGTCAAAAACCCATCATGATTGGTGGGCTATGTTTTATCGTGGAAGATAAGGGGGTCAACGAGAATTGTGTCAAGTCCACACTTTCTTCTTCCTCCCTTCGAAGATCCGAACTCGGCTCGTCCAGATTGACGGAAGTGAGCAAGGGGCCAAGGGTCATTTCCCAATCCTGCGGCGTAGGAATGAACCTTTTTTTTTTTTTTTTTTTTTTTTTTTTTTTTTCATTCCATCCAGTGCCTCCTTCTATGCTTGCGGCGGTCCTTCCAAGGTTTTACGCCGTACGCCGTAAGCATGCACACAAGAAGACACGAATACGGGTTAAAGCATGTGGGATTGGAAACCCTGTAAGTATTGGCCGTGTACCTGCGCTTAAACTCCAGCACCCGGCTCCAGTGGCGGCTTTCTCTCATCTGCCGGTCCGGGCAGTGATCATGCTTGTTGTTGTTGCCTGGCTTTGGCCAAAAGCTATCTCTTTGTGGTTGGTTTGCAATGCCGGTTGGGGCGCTTCACAGTTTTGGATAGGACACGTGAGAAGCGCGCGAGAGAGGAAAAGGATGAGGGGATGCGGGGAACGGGCAGATAGTTGTCGTCGCCGGAGCTAGGGAGTTTGGCGAGGATTATGATGAAGCGAGTTGTGACGGTACCTTGGAATAGGAAAAGATGAGGTGCGCAATTCAGCTAGTCAGTGTCTCTCGCTTGCATTGCATCCTCATCCTCACCAGCTGGTCGCATGTTGGTAAGCTGGTCTGATCTCGGGTTTAGTCCGCCGCGGCACGCCGGATATCAGAAACCACTCCCCGATGTCTCTCCGAGTAGATGTCGCGACTGCTTTGAGCAGCGAGACGGGACGGGAGAGAAGGGAAGTCGCAATTTCCCTTTCCGTCGCCGCATTTGAACCACTCACCATCAGGCCGGGCAAGCTGGAGCCGGCTCCACGTGAGATGCTGCAAGTGAGATTCAAATTCGTGGAAAATTTGGATAAATCACCTTACCATTCCCCGGTTCCTCCCTCAGTGCAAGTGTAACATCGCTCGCCTCACAGTCCAAAAACCCACGACGCAGTGGGCACACGGACAATCTTTTGGATGGGTAACTTTGAAGAAGTGGAAGTGTTTTGTTGCGATGCGACTCCAAATCCGATTCGGGTAACGATTGCGGTGCTCTGGGGTCGCTGAACCCTTGTGCTACTGTTTTGTGCTTCGAGTTTTCTTGTCCAATTACAGTTCGCCATCATCCACAAACAGTCCTTTTCATATTCTTGATACCTCGGTCAGAAACCCACCCGAGCAGGCTCGATGGATGTTCAGTTGGTTGAGTCGGGTCGAGGCATGGAGATTTTCGGTGCCGCTTCGCACACTCAAATGTGAGAGCAGGCTCTCAATCGGTCAATCCTCCCCGGCACCATGCTACAGTGCAGCGATAACAGACGTGTATTTTACACCCCTGTGAAAAGTCACTACAACTACTAACCATGTGCACTACTTTTGTGATGAAAATTACATCACCAGAAAACCCGCCTTGAGGATCGACGGCACACAACGCCGTACCTGGTTCACCCAAGGGTCAAGGCACGAAGACCTGGCCATCAAGGTTATGAAAATCATCATCGGATTGGCGTGCCAGAGACAAGTAACTGGCCCAAAACATGCACTCTGACGACAGTGAGCATCAAAGGCGTTACGCTGCGAAGATTATTTGCTTGGATGAGCGACAGGAGTTATTGCATACAATGGATCATAGCAAGGGGCCGCCTGATTGATCTCAGGGAAAGGGAACCGCGAAAGGCTCTGGAGCGATTTGAACGACTGTTGTAGGGCCATTCGCATCACATCATCAAGGTGGTATCAGAGGAAATGAGATGGTTGTTGACGTGGAAATGTAATAACCAATAATCCCCCGGTTTTGTTAAGAGCACACTGGGCGAGATATTGCCTCCTTGCTAGTGTCTACCTATCTTCCCGCCCGGCCATCAACGATGAACTTCAAGCAGTCAGTTCGTCCTGTGAGCTCGATGTGCAACTGCAAGGACGCCAACCTTGTTTTGACGCCTTCTCGACGCCTCACGCCTCTCGCCTTGTCCTGTGCCGCTGCGGCCGCTGCCATGGTCCGTTGGCTCCGTGGCTCGACCTTCCAGGAGGTGGTATCGCAACAACAATGCCCAGGATCTGAACTTCTCCTTTTTACCAAACGGAAAGTCTAACATAACTTGCAAGGGCGACGTACGAGCTTGGGAAGATACTTCTTACAAACATCGTGTATGGCTCCCACTCTGCACAAGCTCCAGGGTCCACGAAATGCCCAAACCCAGGGATATCATCCCAAAGGGGAAAACATAAACGAGAGAACGACCCAGGCCCCTAGTCCTCACCCCCACTTGTGCCCTGGACGCTTCACAAGCCAATGGTGTGCTTCGAAAGTTGCACCGTGACGCTTCTCGGGCCCGACAATACGGAAAGCTGCCAAGCAGAAGCCAAGGCACCAGGGCACCATTCTTTTCCAGACAAGGGCGAGGGGGAAGATGATCTTCCCGCGATTCGTCAATTGCCAAGACGGACCCCAAGCCGCGGGCCTTGGTACGCATGGTAGCATGGAGGCTTTGGCGGCTTGGCTTGGAATTGGTAACTTGACGAGACAGAGTCGCAGTGGTAGTCGAGTGAGCGAGGAATCTAGAACCAAGGATTTCTATGGTCGGTGACCGTGGAAGCGTTCAAAAGGAGGTTGGATAGAATAGGTACCCAGGACCATGGTGGTCTCTTTCCCTGCCTCGATGCCATGTTGGCGATATGCCATTGTTCAAGGACAGAAAGAGGGCACCAAGGTTATGTTATCTGTGATGCAGGCTGCGTGTATGTAGTGAACAAGCCACCCACAAGTTGGGTATCGACCTTGAAATGGAGCCAAGACTGGTGTACCGTCATCAGCATGGGGAACCTCAAGTCCTGTTCGTAGCGTAAGTGGTGGTTACTAGGTTTAATCTCGGCCACAGCAGAGTGCAGTCCTGGGGGCCAGAGCAACCCCAATCTCCAACTACACCTCCGCAGGGGGAAAAGTTGTTAGCTTAGTGAATTTGCAGATCAGCGGGGGGGTGGCAGACTTGGTGGTCGGAGTATCCCGATGTAACCTTTCTGGTAGTTTCTATAGAAAAGTACCTAAAAAGGACTTTGGAAGCCAAAGGAAGCATTTCATCTCATCACCCTTTTTTTCACCATGGCAACGGTCACTACCATTCCTCGAGGCATCGCCATTTAAGGCAAATGAAGACTCCATTGATTATTAGATAAAATGATAGATAAGATGGTAAACAATAAATGCCACTTTTCCCAGTATTAATACCCTGGTTTATTGTAGTGCTTTAGTGGCTTGGCTGGCGGCTTGGCTGTACCGAGCTAACAACTTTTCCCCCTGCGGAGGTGTAAGAGGGAACACAGCATTAACCCCAACAGGACACGGGGTCGTCATCCCTTTAACGGTGAAAATGGTCCATTTTGTGCCAAGACTTTGGAGACTTGCTGTACTTAGCGACTTTGTTGATGCAGCCAAGCAGCGCTAGCCGGCAAATCCTGAGAGTGCATTGGTCGAGTATACCCCTGACCACTCCACACCTGCCCTCACATTTTCTGCAGTGACAAAAGTGCTGCAAAAGCTGGTGAAAGCGAGGTAGCTGCATGGGCACAGATGTAAAGGTGGATAAAATAAGACCAGCCGATTAGCCAAATTTGGTCTTGGCACAAAATGGACCATTTTCACCGTTAAAGGGATACTAGAAGCCCGTCGCATTGGAGATATTCCCAACTACAGACTAACGGGAGGCTGCGTATCGCACCAGGAAACCAAAATACCATAACAAGCAGAGCCATTCGATCACGTCCGCAAAAGGTTATCTCCCTTGTTTGGAACCCGCCGAGGACCTCTCAACGAGTAGCATCTCGTTTCATGAGCTCGCTTGGAAGAGAAGAGTGAGATGGGAGCGGTGGCTGCCCATCCTGACCTTGGTCCCGTGAGCAAACCATCAAGCATTTGCCTATCGCGGGGTAGGCAGCCATCAGCGGCACGGGAAAGGGCTAGAGGACCCGCGGAATTGTAGGTACATACCGTGCCATGTCGAGGAGTGGGCGAGTGGCCTGTCAAGAAGGGATCTTGATGCAAAAGCACCCAAGAGGGGTGATGGGAGATGAGAAGGGATGGACAGCAAACCTTAACAACGCAGATCCCCTCCCCCCCCTTTCTGACACCTCTAGACGCTGGTCGATGTGTGATATTTTCTTCTGTCAACGACGGCCAGTCAATTCTTGATTACCCCATTGTGCATTCGCAAGTGTCATCGCCGGAGGAGAAAGGGCGAGTTGTCCGCGAGTTGGCCATGTCCGTGGGCGGGTCTCTCTTCCCCCGGCAACGGCACCGGCACAACACTTGGCGCGATTCCACTTTCCCCCGGCTGCCGGACCCCCACTCTCCCGGGGCCCATGCTGTGTCGGTGAGGTTCGAAAGTTTCCGAATGACGATCCGGGGCTCTCGCCGACCGTGAAAACCAGACAAGATTGGTGCTTATCAGGGCGCAGACTAGGCTTGCTTGCATTCCACTTGATGCAATGGCAGGTGGGGTCTTCTGGGTTGCAAGGCTGTGACGAACAAGTGCGGAATGAGAAAGTGGAAAATCTGAAGCAATGTGACGCTCCGGGGAGGGGAAGGGGGGTGGGTAACCTAGAGGTACGTACTGTACGTACGCAGTATGTAGAGGTATGTAGGTACCTTTGCTGCCTAGCCTGAAGCTCATCGCGATAAGACCTGTAGCGCTGTGGCCCCTTTGTTGGTGCTTTGAGTGGAGTCTATTTGTGTTAGTGTACATAGCGCCGGCACCAGCCACAATCGCAGCATTGCAGTAACGACTTCCATTTCGAATTTGACATGCAAATAATAAGTACCATCCCGCCGTCCAACGCCTTTGTGAAAGTCGCCAGATATCCTCGATTCATCGCATAATTGCCATCAAAGAGTCCAGTCTCGTTCAGCGTGAAGCAAAGAAAATTGCTGGCTGCAAAGGCGGCATACCAGTCACGTGTGCAAGTGTACCCTCCCTGTGACAATATACAACCTTGGATCTCTTGAAGTCGACATCGGACAAGTTCTATTTGTTGCAAGTCCATGTCGCACAAACTGCAAGCGACCTTTTTCAAACTTGACAGTAGTAACCCAGTACACCACCATGAGCAGTAAGGGGGTCGGAAGGTAACCAGAGACTTCCCAACCCTAGGTATTGCCTTGATTTCCAAAGCCTACCACCAAGTCTACCACAAAAGAATTGGAAGTCTTCATACGTACCTTACATTGTGTGCATCGGTTCCTATATTTGGACGATCAGATCGCTGCAAGCGTTCCGTAACCAATACCACGGTTCCTGGTGCTCAGACCCCCGAATCAATTAATCTATTTCAACAAAAGTCTGGTGCAGGATGGACGGGATGTACGGTGATCATTCTGGAGACACTCGTCAACACCGACGGGATGGCATGTTATGCGGAAGTGGAAGTGTGCTCCGACCCGTCAAACTCTCCCTCGGGGAACTCAGCAACACAAGAGGACAAGTGATATCTTGCGCGCCAAACGATACCGACACTGGCTCTCAATTTCAAGTGCTTTGTGCAACAGATATGACCGTGGGAATTTTCCTCACCATCCACGGTGAGCGTACTCCATTGGGCCAAAGTGGGTGGAAGAATGTTAGAAGACATTACACTTTAGGTGTCACTTTCGGTCGTTACTTCTGGTGCGCTTCTCTCGTCACTCTACTCGGCCTCGCCGGTTGCGACGTTGACTGTTGGGTACCATCGTCCCGTCCCTCCACGCCTCCGCCCCCGGCGCCGCCCGTCCCAACCACGGGCCACTCCCGGAGACATAACTGATTTGAGCTTTAACCTTTCGGTGTTCTACCCGTTTGTGGAAGGCCGGCCTTAGAAAGGGTAACAGAAGGTCGCAGCAAAGAAGACATGGAAAAGCTTGTTGGCTTCCATGTTGCCGTGAGTGCTTAGACTACTGGACGGCGCCGCCATGCCCGGTCTTTTCATCACTATCAAGACGGGACTATCCATCATGCTGTCGGCTACCGTTCACGGTGAACCGATGGCGCCCCTCCATCACATAAGTCAATACTTCCTCCCCACTCTGGATGAAGGTCACTGTGTTCAACGTTCAGACCACTCTGGATACTCGAAATCGAGAAACGTGCCACTCTTCGGTATAGAATCAAGGCAAAAGGATGTCTGCCGTCTCCGGATGCACCAAGAAATCGGTCTCCCAGACCAGTCGGGATGCCTCGCAAAAATGACCCATTTTAAATTCCGTATTGCTTCCTTAACTGACGCTCACCCCTTTCCTTCTTCTTTTTGCCTTTTCCTTTTTTTTCTTCTTTTTTTTCCCCCCAAAAGCGCTCGACATCAGAAAATCCCATGCACCATCGAGAGGCTCGGATACTCTTTGTCAGACACTTGTCTGGCTTTTGTGTCACCCTTCCCCAAATAGTTGAGGTTTCCAGCAGAGCACCAATGAATGGACAGAAATAGAGGTAGCTAGGTACATTACACAAGCCAGGGACGCACCGAAGACACTCGTACATAGCGGAATAGGTAGCAATACTTTTCGGCAAGCACCCGTGATGCTTACTGTACTCTTCAACACAAGATATCCGGAATGTCAGCATGACGTCCCGACTTTGTACGCCCTCGATCGAGCCACAGAATGAGGCCTCATTACATAGTCACACCAGGGGGCCACCGATCAAACTTTCTTCTTCGACATACCATAGGCCCCCTTCTAAACGGCTTAGCAAGCAACACCTGAGCACAAAATGATATTTCTTGCAGCACTCCTTTCACTGACATACCGGATGCTGAGCATCCCGGTCGTACAAACGATGGGACCCAATTTCCCGGGACGAGATACATGACTCTATACACATCGGTTCGATCTGAACAACTGTTTTCAACGAGTGACGTCTTCATCTTGCCCTCGTTCGTATCACGATATCTTGTTGTACGCTTGTAAACCTAAACGAGGGACAAGGAATCTCCATCAGGCCATCACAACTCTGATGATCCCAGAGATGTACCTTCTTCCTCAATCGATCTATGCGCCACTATTCAGGGTCCCATCCAGATATCTAGATTGATAGGGGTCCCAGGAACTAAAGACAGGGACAAGGACAAGGACAGATGAGCCGAAGCCCACGTAGGCCGTCCGACCTTGCAGTATCGATGCTAAATCCTGAGCGCAGTCTGGGCGCTCGCATTCACACGAGTTTTCGGTTCCCAGCTGGATGGTTCGGCATTCCCCTCCCCCCGCGCCACCACCATTCCTGGAAAGGGGAGGCAGTTGGGACACTCCAGTTGAGTCTGGCCAGATGCTCATGGCATGTATGGGTGTACTTTGGCCCGGGCCAGACCATTAACAGCAGATGGCTTCTTTTCTTTTGCCGGCCGTCGTCCACTCTGCCATTCTACACTAGTGCAGTGTATAGTCTCAACGTCTTTGTCTTGTTCGGGCTCATTCCCGAATGGTTCCTTAACGAGGTTTCGAAGCTACTAGTGTCGTGCCTACTATGCGCAAGCCACAATTGCGGAGTTGAGACCGCTTCGGTTCAGTCAAGTACTTTGGAGGAATGAGATTGGGCGGCCAGTTCCAAGGTTGAAGGGTCCAACTGATCCAATACATGTCACCACAACACCTAACAGAGGGTTTTTTTTACGTTCCGAGCGGTATAAAAAAAAAAAAAAAAAAAAAAAAAAAAAAAAAAAAAAAAAAAAAAAACCTGCACTTGAACTGGTCTGATTGTAATAGGCTCGGAGCAATTTCGAGGGGGAGCATGGTAAAGGAATATCTTTCGGAGGCGGCCCTTGATTAGTTCGGTCGGTCAGAATGTCCACGAGGTGCGGATTTCCGAGTCCTAGCTGAAGATCCTAGTGGTGTTAGTCATCTATAGTTCAGTTTGGAACAAGACCATGCCCCTGCCGAACGAGGATTTTGACTATGACCAGGGCTTGAGGTGTATATGTGTTGGTCCGATAAGCCTATCCCGCAGGCAATCATACCAATCTCCAAAGGTATGTACAAGTCAAAGCCACGCAAAATTGAGAATAGTGTCAAAGATCTGGACCGCTTTGGACCCTTGCCACCCCGCATCCTCGAGTCTAAACCCAGGGAACCGGATAGGTAAGCAGGTAAGATTCGTATCGGTTAGGTATGTAGTATCATCTGGCTCCTTTGCCGGATCACCAAAGTCTTGGGTACTTCTTGCACACCACTCGATCAGATCATACCTTTGGATCCCAAATCAGCACGCTCTTTCCGCTTATTTTTGCCGCATTCGTTTGCCTTGCAGCTGCCGTGCCGCGGTGAACAAAATGTGTGCGATTTGTATAATTCATTCCTAACCAAGACCGACCGACACCAGCCATCCTGGCCTTGTGAGGGCAGAACCTAATCAGCTATTATCGTGAGGTGGAGTTGCGCGTCTCTCATGCATAGTGGCGATGTTTCTTCCTCCCGTGTAAACTGAACTTCATCCTTTTGCTTCATGGGAAGAACAACGACCTGCGACTTCCGAACAGATGATGACTGATGAAGAAGGAACGGTCAATCATTGACATTCATGGAGCATATTTACCACCTTCCACTAGAAATCAGGTGGGAAAGGTTGAGCAAGACGTAAAAAGTGTAGTAATGAAAAGTGAAGAGCTCAACTTTTACGAACGCCATTTGCGAATGATCTGCAAAAGAGGATGAAATGGCCATCATCCGACAACGAGCAAGAGTAAACTCCGTCATATGGTGTTTAAGATCTTTCTCGTATAAGCAATGCTTTACGCCAAGTATATAAAACGACGGAGTCAAGGGCGCCAATAGGGGACATGTACATCACCAGGTTTGGTCACTTCCCTGTATGAGATATCCATATGGTCTTACTATTCCGATATTTGCTCGAGTTCCAAGTAATGCGTACTGTAAATGCTATGATTCGTCCAACCCGTCTTTGCCGCCATTCAATGATTCACCTCATTGCTTCCGGCGGACTACGTCTGAGATGGGAAGACTTCGGGCTGGCCAAGGCTATGTCCATCTCCCGTTCGACGGGACGCAAGGGACTGTCTTGACAATACGTAGCTGGCAAGTGGCCATCCATCCATTTATCCCACTTGGCTAAAAGCGAGGAAGGTACGCACGGAAAGAAAAGCGTACATCGGTCTGATATTCGTCCATATGAAGACCTCGTTCACCACTCACGATGCAAGTCGTTCTTCGTGTCTGGATCGACGACAACAGAAAGAATCAAAGGATTGACACCTGACTAAGGTGGTCGACCGTATAACGCCAATCATCGTCATGATCACCAACGGGAGTGTGAGAGAAGCAAAAGCCACTGACGAGATATGTGCCAAGAGTAAGCCGTGTTTGGTTTGTCGCCGACGAAAAAGCCTCCTCCTGCTTAACCGCTTCGAAAGGCGCCAATCCTGACAGTCGATTTCTCCTTGGGAATTTACCCCTTTTAGGTGCAGCTAAGAGATCCAAGAAAAGGTGGTCGCCTATCAGGCGCGCGCCTCATGTAGTTATTGTCGTTGGTTAAGCCGTGAGTGTTGTTGCGCGAACTAAATCGCGGACAGACGGATTCGAGGATTGGGTCGTCTTCGAACAACTTGGAGACAATGAGTGGGAAACCCATTCAATGAAGTGCCACTGCTCGTGTCGACAGGTGAAAGAAGGCTCCAGTAAGAATTTCACAGGTAGACTCTCAATCGTTTTTCATGAGAGTCCGAATTTTGCAAAGAAATACCATTGGGAAATGTAACAAGAACAACATAAACTGTTCATGAGAGTAAGCTGATCTGCATCACTCTGGGTGTGCTAGAGTTCCTCGTGACCCCATCACGACAAAGAACATAGGTACCTACCAGACAAGGGGGGGGATAACTTCACGTAATTGATTCAGCCCTCACCCCCGTAGACTCCTTGCTGCTCCCGGCCAGCCTTAGCTTCGATACTAGTCGACCAAGATATCCCCAGGACCATAGCAATTATATTATCCTCTAACCTGGCTTGGGACATAAGTTGTAGAGGTACTTGACTTAGTACCTGGTAACGGATCACACTTACACTGTCCGTACTCTCCATGAACGCCGCGCGTCTCGTCCCGGGATATGTTGTCGCCTGGGTTATCTTGTCAGCTCTGATCAACGCCGCAAGCAAACGAACCAAGGAAATTAGACTTCAAGCGGTGCAAGAGCGCTGAGCACAGGGAAGGTGTACAGGCAATGGGGTGAGATATCGAGGAGCTAGATAGCATGCAACTCATAGATCAGAGCAAACGGTTAGCTCAAGAGGTAACAAGGCCGATGAAATGGAGTAAGGATGACCCAAAACTCTGATATGTAAATCTATAGGACTAAGCAAGCTCAACTGTGCTCATCAACCAGCGAAACCAACGGCCGAGCATCCTCTTCATCCTCGATCGACTCTAGGCATGTTTAAACAATCCCCAAAGCCATGTAATGACTGGCTTGCAGTATCCTTGCGTCCCCAGGCCCAAATAGTCTCCTCTGGAACTCGATGGCCAGAACGGTCTCGGTTTTCGACGTGATACCCTGATGACAGGGGAGGGACTCTCTGTTCGCAAATCGTTCTAAGCGCCATGAAGACGAACCAAGCCGTCGACCGTTTTCAGCGCCGATAAAAGCAACCTCTGCTTGACTATCCAGCGCCCTTCTCATTCTTGGGGTGATTGACTGGTGATCGTGCTCGGAGTGTGGTAGACTGGCCATTTTCGCTGGTGAGCGGGAGATTCGTTGCGCGGTGACTTAAGAGTCGTGACGAGATCGTGAAAGGCGACGTAAGTTGAAAGCAACCGGGGTCACTCCGGATATCAGTCTAAGAACCCTGGTGCTTTATTCCCACAATGCTAATACAAGGCAGATACCCAAACGCCATTCGCCGTTCCAGATTTACAAAACCATCCTGCCAGTAGAACACCGAATTATGTGAAGGTTCCAGAACAGAGCAACGAAGATAGAACAGTACTAATTCGAAACTCAGTTATCGACGAACTCCTTCTGCTGGTAGACGCAAGAAACCATGGCGTGGTCACGCTCGTAAGGCTCTGTAGGTGATTGTTAGTAAGTGTTGGCTCTATCAACCAAAAGGGATGCAAATGAACGTACCAAGAGTCAACTGCTCCTTGGGGAAGAACTTGTCCTCACGGAGCTTCTGGACCTCAGAAGCGAAGACCTGCTCGGGAGGAGCAGTGGAGTCAATGCAAGAAGCCTTGATAGAGATGAGAAGACCACCACCCTGCTTCAAGAAGAGCTTGGCGTTGATACCGACAATTCTGAAATTTGTTAGTGTCAGGCACGTACAGTGTCAAGGATCTGTATAAGTCGGCTTACCTGGCCTGATCGGGCTGGGCAACATCGGCGAAGATGACATCGACCATGGGGAGCAGCATGCGGTAGGCCATGGGCTTACGGGCATCCTCAACGATGGGGATGACGTTGGTGCGGCGAGTAGCCATGTTGATGAGATCACGGCCGGAACGGTGGGAGAACTCGACGGCGTAGACGGAACCAGTAGGACCGACAATATCGGCAACGTGAGAGACCGAGGTACCGGAGGCGGCACCGAGGTAGAGGACCTTGGAACCAGGCTTCATATAGATGGTTTCAAGACCACCGAGGATACCGGCAGCAAGCTTCGAACGGAAAGGGTTCCAAATCTGCAAAGTCCAATGTTAGTTTTTGTCGGAGGCCACAAGCTGGAAACCCTGGAAAACGTACGCGGTACTCAGTCTTGGTGGAAGCACCACCCTCCTCCTTAGAGGCGTTCTCGACAGAGATTCTCTTCTCGCCATAGACGGATTCGCCAGGGACAAGGTTGACAGTAGCGAGGAGATCCTCCTTACCACCACGAGCGACGAAGACGCCCTTGTGACGGTGAGGCTCGACGATGACCTTCTTGCCAGCGGCACCACCCTTGGCGCCACCGCGGGCACCACCACGACCACGGGCAGCACTATACTCATAATGTCAGTCAATGTCTTTGAAGTAATCAGCGGATTTGCTAATAAGACATACCCGCCACGGCCACCACCGCGAGGACCGCCACGACCACGGGGAGCACCACCACCACGGCCACCTATCAAATCATTGTCAGTAAAGTGTTGGCGTTGATGTGGTTGCTGTTGCCATCGCATGTAGAGTCGAATGCGATATGAAGTTCGACTGAAATCGTCATCCTACTACGAGGAGTCAAGAGGCATGCATGGCGACCACGAGCCGCAGCAGACATTGAGACACCTCGCAAGATGACGAACAGAAGCAACGACATAACCGCAAATACGGTTCAGGCGATGGCATTGAGGCCAAACTCACCACCGAAGCCACCACGGCTACCGCCACGGGCGCCGCCTCTGCCACCACGATCACCACCGAATCCACCACGACCACCGCCACGGGCGCCGCCTCTGCCACCACGCTCGAAGCCCATTGTTATAGAATGTGTCGGTATTGATAAGTCGGAGTCGGTATGAGTTGCGATTCTGGGCCGAAACGCGTTGTAAGATCTGTCGTGCGAGGCACAATGGGTTTAGAGTTGTCGCGCGGCGCTGTCGAGGACTCGGAAAAGAGCTTTTGCTGGAGCTGGGTGCAAAATTTCCTGGACATGGATTGAAGAGAAAAAAAAGCGGGGCACAAAGTCTCATCGCTGGAGCACTTTTTTTTCCGGTCGAGGCCTTCTGCCTTTGCAATTGGCTGTCGTCCTGGCGTGGCGGTCGAGGCTCTCCAGTTTGTTGCGGACGCTATCGTGCACGGCCGGCAGTCCAGGAGGCAGGCTGTTATCGACGCTAGCACTTACTGTCCCCGCGTGCACGTGCCTCAGGCAAAGTGACGGTCCGCACGAGCCACCTGCGCAGTGCCCACAGAGCCCTAATCGCGAAAATCGGTTTTTGTACGCCAAAATTGGAACCCATCACCACCTCTGAACATCACACTTGGTCGATTCCCCGTCCTCTCATCGACAAGCAGGCAAGATGGTGAGTAAATCCCTGCGAAATCCGCCGAACGAGAGAATCGCCGCCGTTATTTTGCTTCAGGACAGTTTTCGGGCTTCTGCAGCCGAAATGACGACGAAATTCTCGACGGACGACAATCACGGCTTTGCGAGCATTGCGAGCACTTGGAGGAGAGGGAATCGCTGACCGAGTCTTGTCCAAAATTGCAGGTTCGGTACGCTGCGACTGAGATTGCCCCGGCTAAGTCCGCCCGCTCGCGCGGCTCTTATCTCCGTGTCTCCTTCAAGAACACCCGTGAGACCGCCCAGGCCATCAATGGCTGGAAGCTCCAGCGTGCTCAGAAGTTCCTCGAGAACGTTCTTGAGAAGAAGGAGGCTGTCCCCATGAGACGCTACGCTGGTGGCACCGGCCGCGCCGCCCAAGGTACGACTTACTCGAGATTTACATGCACAAAGACACCCGAACCGGTACATCATGCGACGACGACGACAGTGGGGAGGACAAAGTGGTGGGGGAATAGGGGGGGCATTGTCAGCATGATGGAACCGCGACCGACCGACACGAAACCGCAATCGAATGGAGGATATGGAAGACACGGTGCTGACCGTTTCTCCGTCATATAGGCAAGCAGTTCGGTGTTTCCCGCGCCCGCTGGCCCGCCAAGTCCGCCGAGTTCCTTCTCGGTCTCCTCAAGAACGCTGAGGCCAACGCCGATGCCAAGGGTCTTGACACTGGCAACCTCGTTGTTAAGCACATCCAGGTCAACCAGGCCCCCAAGCAGCGCCGCCGCACTTACCGCGCTCACGGTCGCGTACGTCAAAACCCGAGATACCCCCTGATTTCTGCTTCTGCGACGGCAGACAGACGATCAAGCCGGCCATTGGCTAACAGTTATGCTTTAGATCAACCCCTACATGTCCAACCCCTGCCACATCGAGCTCATCCTCACTGAGGCCGATGAGGTCGTCCAGAAGTCCGAGGCCGTTGTCCGCGAGGAGGCTCACCTTTCCTCCCGCCAGCGTGGCGCTCGCGTCCGCCGTGCCATCACTGCCGCTTAAATGCGCTTTGATAGCTAGGTGATTGGACGAGGGGATGTTTTGATTGAGGGCTTCACTTTTTTTCCGGAACGGTGTACGCGAGCATGGCATTTTTCGGGTCAAGGTCACGATTCCAGGGAAAAAGGGGTCGATCATGAATACTCAATAAAAGAATTTGAGAAAGCATGACACGGCGAAACAAGTAATCATTCAAGTCCTGGCGTAATTGCCAACGGGACGCCAAACCGAACTGCGGGTTACCTGAGCTCTCTGAGTGGCTGTGACGTACCTGTCTGCCCCTGATGCAGAGCCGCATGATGTTCAGGTAGCTAGCCTTCCCGAAACGATACCCAATCCAGCATCCCCGAGTTCAATTGGATGTGCCCCCTTTGCTGCGTGAGAAGTGATGCTTGAGCAGATACGGCTGCTATTGAGGTTTCGCCATTGGGGGTATTTTGGGTATTTGGCAGTCATGGCTTTTATGATATCATAACCCTTTTGTATGAAATCCACCGATGCTTCTTATCTCTTCACCACATGTACAACAAGCCTTTGGTGATTTGCACATTGTTACCCCAGAGCACCCGGCGTGCTCCCAATGGCTGACCAGGGAGCTCATATAGTTGTGATCATATACATAACCAAACAGATGCACCGCCAGTTTCTAGATGAGCAAATGGGACTCTTCAGCCCTGCATCTCTACGTCTTCTCCCTCTCCACCTTTCCTTGCCCTCTGTTCAGCTGCCCTCTTCTCCATCTTCTTCTTGCCCTGGTTAACCCAGTCGTCATACGCACTCCCTCCCGCCGCAAGTTTCGCCGACACAACACCCTTGAGAATTTCGCCCGCAAACCCCACAAAGTTGTGTCGCCTCAGGGCGTTCTCAAACCGCCAAGCCTCACGTTTGCGCTCCTCGGTCGCCAGCAATTCCTCATCAGCAAACTCTCGCGCCCGAATCCGTAGGTCTCTGATCATAGCCAGCAGATTGAACCGGATCTCGCTGGCGTCATACCTGGCAATGCGCCGCTGCAGAACGTCCATAACCTTCTGCGGGAAGTCCTCCTGGGTACAAGCGCCGTGGCTGATGGGCGCTGGCTGCAGGCCGTCGAGCTCGTAAAGGGTGCCGCCGATGGGCGAGTACGCAATGAAATGGAATGCGTCTCCTTCCTCCTCATCGGGCCGACGCTGCGTCTCGTCGATAAAGGGACTGCTGCGCGCAAACGAGTTGTGCGTGTCGCGGATCAGCTCCGAGTTGGAGAGCGCTTCGCCGCGGATTTCGGCCGGCAGGGCGATGGTGAAGTCGCGGAAGTCGCGAAGCTTGTCGCCGATGTCGATGTACCCCGCATCGCCTTCTTGGGAGACGGACGGGTCGGCTTTGTTGAGGAGCACGCTCAGGAGCGCCTGCGTGCCACACGCGTTCTGGATGGTCTGATGAGCGAAGAAGAGTCGTTCGCTGGCGTCGTAGTCGAAGGTGCCATCGAGAGGCTTGTCAGTCCCTCGGTAGGGCTCGTTTGTCGGGTACTTGAAGAGAAAGATGACGCCGTAGACGGGGTGCAGCTGCGCGAGGGCATCGGGTTCTAGGGAGAGGAGTTCTTCGAATTGGACACCTTTTACGCCGAGATTGGTGAGAAGGTCGGTGAAGACGCCCTTGAAGTGAATTGTCAGTCTTGAAGTCCTGCGCATGTGTGCCGGGAGGTACCTCGACGTGGACAAATGGCCAACATACCGCATCGGACTCGACTGTGGACAAATTGTCAGCTCAGAAAGCACTGCAGCTGGGGTGTCGCAGCCCAACTTACTGGTGTTCCAACCACCACTCATTTTGGCGCAAGTTCTGCAGATTCCAAAGGGTGTAGTCTGAAGCCGTGGATGTGTTGGCGTAAGGTGACAGATGTATCAGGAAGTTGCTAGCTTGGGGCGGGGCAGGAGCTGTCCAACGGCAGACGCGAGGGTTGAATTAGAACAGCAGAACGGAAGCTAAGTTCAATATCGCTCGGTAATGTCTGAACTGACACGCTGGTGGTTATAGATCCTGCTGATCATAAAAAGGAATATCGAGCGTTCCAATTCCGTACGCCATCAACCTACAACTGCAAACGTCACGGCGAATGTTCAATGCGATGATGCAGCTCGCGGACCTTCGCCAACAGCGATAAGATAAGCAGGTTCCCGTTCAACTTCGTCACTGCCACCGTTCATACTTTGATGGAGCTTGCCCCTGACTACAGGCAGCTGGCAACACAATCGGCTAACAGCTGTTTGTCAGCTGCGAGGGCATTATTACCCAAGCAACCTTCACAACTGTCAGTCCAAAGCTCAGGAAATGCTTTTGATCGTCTCTGCTTTCCGTGGGAACAACGACGCATTTCAACATTGAACTTCCTTTACTCCTACTCATCATCATCGCAATCCAACAGCTACCAAGCAGGCGGCTCTAGGAATTGGAGCATCTTGTCAGATATCGCCCCATGTTTCCAAGCGTTCGCGCAACCACCGACAGTGTCCCATATGGAGTTGAACACATTATGATCCACAACATAGCAGCCATAGGTATGGACAATCCGAACGTAACATCAAAAAGGCCCAAAAAATAAACAAAAGAATATGACAAGAGTGGGATTCGAACCCACGCCCATTGCTGGACCAGGAAGCTCAAATGAGCAAAGTTCAAGTAGACCTGAACCTGGCGCCTTAGACCGCTCGGCCATCTTGCCGTTGTGAATATTATAAATCACAGTGGGTGCAGTGCCTATAATCAGTCATTTGCTAACAAAAAAACGGTGTTTGTGATGGTTGCGTTGGATTTGGGCGCTAAGAGGAAGGTTCAAATCGCGAACGTATCAAATGCTCCATTTCACCTTGTTCAGCGTAGGTAGGTGCGTTGTTCTGTCAAGGTAAGAGCGACGACAAGGACACACGCATGCGGAAGTTCAGGTAGAACTGAACCTGATCGGGCATCGTACCTGTTGAAGAAGTTACAATCTGGACTGTTTGTCAGCTCGAAGCCTTTGATCATTTATTCTGAGTATCTTACATCCAGTTCATGCAGTTTACTCAAAGCTTAAAGCTTAAGCTTAAATTCCTGCGAATATGTAAAATCAGCTAATGGTGATGTGTTTATGACCTAGTGTCATGCCTTGATTTCAAAGTGTCAGTACGGCATTTAGGACGACGTGAGACACATTTCATTGGGACTAGCAAGATCATGTTAAGTGACAAGCCGGTATCAGACTGTGTGTAAGTTCGTCTCCCAAAATTTTGAAAGGGAAAAGAGGTGAGCGGGCTGGCTCAAACCATCGCTATTTGGCAGACAACGTCGTAGTCCACTACTCACGGGGTGAGCTGACAAGCAATGTCCAAGCTACCTACCTACCGATGAACCAAAGAGCAAAGATTAAGCTCTACCTTTACATACCATTCGACAAGATACGATTCGCACTTGGCTTCAGTTGATACAATTTACTATACCGTTCAACATGCTTGGTCTTGATACCTTCGAGTCCATCTTTTGACAGAGAAGGGAACTCTATAACAGTAAAGCTATTGTTATATGACGGAGCTTTCGGATCACTTGGGCCGCCCGTAGCAGAGCTATCAGGCAATTCTGCGGGATTTGCGGTCCGATCGTCGGCGCGCAAAGAGATATGAGTGATAATAAGGACATAAAGTAAGGATACATGGATATGAACAACAGCTGAGGTTGTGTGATGCATGGCGAAAGCGAGGGATCATACAATATGATCTAGGAGGTAAAACAAAGGGACAAGTAGATGTAGAAGAGATGTTTTGAAAAGACAAAACACCGAAAGCCATCAAAGAGCTCCTGCTGACTACTGCTTACATCTTCCGCCAACACCACATAGCCCAGCTTCACCGATGAGGTCTGGTAGAGTTCAACAATGGAAAAAGGCTAAAGCATCATGGGAGCTTACCGTCGCTTACCATCACTTATTTGGAGAGTATAAGCTAAGTCTCCACACTTCTCTTTGAAGCTACTCGAACCTGGCTCTTCCCACTAGTACGATAAGTGGTCGAGTCATCTCTCTAGGCACTCTTCTCCTTTGCTGCCACTTCAATGTACCTCTTGCTCATTCTTGATTATTCTGTTCCAATCTTTCAAGAGGGGTCTTTAAGAGATCCATCATTTTCCCCATTGTGGAAAGCACAATTTGCTGCTATTTCCGGATGTCACCGTCAGATAACTAGGATAACGTACTGTCTGCCTGCCCTATGGAATTAGGTGCGTAAACCTTCAAGTGAAAGTAATTAGACACCTGTAGCGTGATGTTGGTATAAAATAGAGGTAGTGACTGAAGAACTGAGTACGGTATAACGGTCAATGGACGGGAGGTGGATGAGTGATTGGTGATTTCCCGAGTGGTTCTGACTGTTGGTAAGGGGCAGAGAGAGCGGACGTTCAAGACTCTCCAGTCTCATACCTATATTGCATGTAGCCACGTATCATGCTTGTTTGGAGAGGCTTCAAGGGAACCAGTTTGTGACGAGCCTGAGATTCCGGTAAATTTGGACATCATTTAAGTAACATGCCGTGTCGTGAATTTCTTCAGGCCACATAAAGGCTAGACTTCGGCAGTGTTCATTAACAGGATAGAAGAGGATAGACGAGTGAATGGCAACCCAGCCGGATTATTTTGCGACGGGAGTCTTGTGACATTGACATTACGTTTGGAAAACAGCAAAGCATCCTGGAACATTCAATGGAATTAGCAAGTCCGGATCAGAACTGAACCTCACTGTCGTCCACTGGCCTTACAACTCGTGCTTTCTCTTCTCCATGTCCTTACCTTCTTCGTTTTTTATACTGGAACCTCGACCATTTGTTCTTTCCCCATTTCGCAAGAACCTCGTGCCTTCTCGATTACGCTGAAACCTTCGGCGATATGTTCAAGGGAGGCACGGGTTGCGGTCCATGCCACGCTGTCAGATACTTTCGCCCGACACCACTGGCCTGACCTCAATCATTCTTGAGGACGGTATACATCTAGCTCTATTGCATGTTACGTTATGCTCATGAGATGCCCCCCCCTTGTGTCTTCAGAGTTTTGAGTCCTTTTTCTCTTGACTGCCTGGCAGATGATCAAGGTATCATGGCCATGCTATTCTTATGGGATCATCCAGTCGCAACAGCTTCGAAAGCCTAAGGTTATCTCAGTTTCCGAAGAAGAACCTAACCTTCTCACCTATATTCCAGATTCCCAACCCAAATATGTATTATTGAGCCTCATACATGGGCCCTCCCTGGTTCATCCTGCCTTGACCTGGGGCGAGTCAGATGCCTGTGCTTTACTACCCATCGCCGGCGCACCAGCGGCACCTTGGAGTTTCGTTCGCTTTGTTGTTAACCGCGGTGAACCAGGAAATTGAGTGTTTAGTTTCCCCAAGAAGAAGAGCCAGCTGGGTCCTCACTCGATATCAGATTTCCAATCTTCGTTCTTCGTTCTTGGTTCTCGTTTCCCTACCCCAGCCTCACCACTCCCTTTCTCTTCACTCAGTACCAGAACCCGGATTCACCCCAGTTAGAGTTTACAAGCTTATGGGGAAGAGTCTCAAGGAATACTCAAGCGCTCACAACTATCAGTACCAACATTTATACTTTATTAGTCGAGTTATTGACGAGTGACCATCTTTACCAGTATGTAAGTCGTGGCACCTGATCTTGATCCATTGGCGGCCGAACTGGCAGGCAGCTTCTTACATTTCTGGACTGAACGTAAAGAAATATCCAAATATTCGGCGATCGTTCATTCCGATTTCTTTTCCTTGTCGCGGCCAAGGCTAACACGTGTAATCCCAAGATGTCGTCTATCCGGACACTGGGGATGGATGCCCTGAAACATATTCACGCCTTGTCAACGTACGTATTCTCCTTCAACTCACTGTGAAAATCGAGCCAAGTTGGTGACAGACTGACACGAATGGATTCAGTCTGGAACAGAATTTGTATTTACCGGTGAACCTTCGACCGATAGCTTGCGTGTACATTATGCACATAATGAAGGGCACTGGGGGAATTGAGCCGATAAACAAGCACAGCTAGAGAAAGGAGGACACCGCCATATCCCCGCCGTAAAGAAAGCGCGTGTACTAGTTCCAGGTTGGTACAAATAGGCATGTAGCGAGAGAGCTGACCTTCAGCCCCTAGTAGGGTACAAACAGACTGTTGGGTCGATGTAGTCTACCTACCATGATGTCTGCTCCAATCAGTTTCTTTCCGAGCTGTTGACCACCTGCCTGGTAATCTAGGGATGACTTCGATCTTTCGATCGCCCTCCTATGGGTATTCGGGCACCTCATGGGCACCCAAGAAGTTGCATACACTATCCTCGGGCTCCACCTAGAGGGTTGGGGGGTTCGAATCCCAAGGGGCGAGAATGATGGGATTGTTCAGCTTGCTCCTTTCCGAAAGCCGAAAGCAGATAGCATATGATGTGAGTATGATGAGATTCCTACCCCTAGTTGAAAAGACAAAAAGAAAAAGTGACTGGACCGACCAACCAGGACACGATGGAGATAGAGAAACGGGGAGACAGAACCCAGAACACCCAGAAATCGTCGATGACAACCTTGCATTCCGATTGATTGTGGATGTAAATCGGGCACATCGACATCGACTTTCTTTCGAGCTGGAACTACACTAGGTTTGTGACTGGAAGAGAAGAGCCGAGAGAGTCTCATTAGGGGAAAAGCGAGCGAGTGAGGTGGGTGAGTGAGTGGTGATGATCCTGACCGACTTCCAGTTTGGGTCTTTGTCCTCTTTCCGTGTCCATCCATTCGCTCGGAAAATTTCAAAGGGCTCCTGGAGCCTTAAAAGAATCTCGGCAGTTTATCGGATGTGGTGGTGAGGAATCGGTCCCCTCGGGTTTCTTTCACCTTTCTTTACATAGTAGATTCCTAAGCCCTTCAAGGGTGCTGCACATGGGTGTTGCTGATTAAGATGGGTTTCCGGTGGGCTGGTGAAGTGATCGGCGGTCTGCCGAAATTACCCCTTCCGTAGCTGTGGTACTGTGGGGGAAAAGGAGCCCCAGCCTAGGTAACCTCCGAGTTGGGTGAGCTGACAGTAGGGTACCTGTAATAGAATAGAATAGGTAAGTTTGGAAACTTTCCAGGATGAATTATCCGGGGTACACTTGTTGAGCTGAGTGCTTGGGAAAGATCGAAAGCAGCGTGTTATTGAGATGTGGAAGATGGAAAGGTATGTTGAGGTGTGATTTCTGTGATTCGATAACAAAAGTTTTGGTATGATATGGTATGATCGCGCTTTTACCGTCTTTATACTGCCACGGTGAATCGTATGCAGCTGAGTGGCGAGTAGCAGACGATAGACAACATAAAGGCTTGATCAGGCAACTGTCATCTCGATGTGAATTTGAGACATGCTGTTAGTGTCACTCGTGGCCGCATAGTAAGATTCCATACGGGATAACTGTGGTAGCCAATCATCCGCCCCGCCCCCATATCTGAACAGATGCTTTCAAAGACATAGTGTTCTAATGTGAAACGGCAGAAAGTGGATGGTAGCCAGATAACAGTTTCTGCCGAGAGATGGATGGATGCCAGGAGGCAACTCCGGTCGCTCGCTGCCGGACGCGCGTTGCTGCTAAGCTTCTCATGGCCTAGGTGAGTACTCTCGATGCAAGTCACAATGGCATAATACCTAGTGTGGATGGGTTTCCGCTTCTAGTTGGGTTCACTCCCTTCGATGCTCCAAATCGCGGGGTACCTGGGCTCCTGGGTAACATAATGGTGGTTCAGGGCTACACAACCCGGGGACTTGTTGTTGGCCCATACGAGGCAACATGGATAGGTATGTACGGTACATGTATATGTTGCTCGGCCGAGTCTTACTTCTTGATCCTTCGCCGGATCGCTGTGCTTCCGGGCGGGATACAACACCAGATGCGATCGCGATGGAGGTGAGGTTGAAGATGTGTGAAGTTGACGAAACTGCTGGGCATGGTGGGGCTGCAACAAGATGAGAGCAGATGGCCCGAGCACAACCTAGTCAGGCACTGGCCAATGCACTTTGATGGGGCGAACCACCGAGCCGGTCGGATGATTGCAATTGGTTCGCGTGAAGGGCTGGCGCTCGAAACGGAAACCTCGAAAAGACAGCAGCGATAACACCCAGTTCCAGTTCTACACTGCACGGTTGCTCCTCGACTCGATTTCAAGCCCCCTTGTTGTCTTGATACCCAATGCCATCGCCAAGCGAATATAAGTAGACACGCGAAACATGTCTGGTATTATTGGTGTGATTGCTCATGTACAGGATTTTTATTTTATTGTTTTCCTTTTTCTTTTGGGATTTACAATAAGTGCACGCTATGGGAGTGTGTCGAGTCAGTAGTATTCATCGATCTCCCATCGGAAAACTGTGCGCATATCGACGCCCCGAAAGCAGTCGGGGGGAAGAACCGTATGCTTGGACTACCTTCTACCCTTGGCACCCCTAATTTTCAATACCGATGACCGCGCGATTCCGCCTTGGAAACAGACATTGTTGGGTTGGTAAGCCATTTGGATGATGAGAAGAATCAAAATCTTTCTCCGGCGTCCGACGAGGTTTGCCTGTCTGTGTAGTTGCTTCCAGGTTGTGTTGAAACTCGCGTTATCTGTGATTTTCAGCATGAAACTGAAGTCCACCAAAACGCATTGCTACTGACACAGTACCTAAGTAGTAACCTATCGCCCAGTCCCGACACGCTTACCAGAGTACAAAGGGTGCCAAGCGAGCAAGCCAAACACAAACCATCAGTGTCAACATACTCAGGTTGGATGAGTGTTGTATGGGCGCTTTTAATCTCTCAAAGTCAATGAGGGTACGAGAAATATCGAGGATTGCGAAATTGCCATCATCCCGAGAACCGGAAAAGCAACCTCGCTAAACAATGGCATCCCACCAGCGCACCGCACACAGCCAGATCAATGCTAACATTTGTTGGTTAGCGCAGAAAACGCCCCCAAAACCCTTGTAAATAGGTAGGGTGATGTGTAGTGTACGCAGTACAAAACATATCTGTCTTAGCACACTTGGGTGCACGATCGCACATCTGGCGGAGGATCTGACGAACTGCTCCAGGTGTCGCGCTGAAACTCGGTCCAGACCAATGGCGGGGCTTTCTGGTTGCAACTCATGACAAAACCCCCCCCACCCACCTGTCCCTTCGGTTACAGTAAAAGCCCCTACAGTTGCAACTTTATTTAAACAACGATTCTTCTCGCATTGAAGAAGTAGGGTCTGTGCAAGAGAGGAATTCAGGGCACAGACCAGAAGCAGGCGCCCAGGCCATCAGTAAGACCACCAAGGGACTAGAAAAGCAGGTCGCTAAGCCCCGATACAAAGGTATATAAGTGTTCTGTCCCACCAAAACTGGACCATTCTTGCAAAAATTGAGTTGCTACCCGACTATCGTAACTAGCAGTTAGTAGTCCCAATATACCTAGGCCTGTAAATCTGGCACTCAACTGGCTGTGCATCAAGAAGCATCATGATGCTAGCATTAGGGGAAGGGGGGTTGCAACTGCATGGGTTTTTACTGTACACTAGCAGCTGTGAGTCTGTGACCAGCGATGGGCTGGAATCGAAGGGCTGGTAATCACGGCAATGGATGAAATTCCCATGTTGCAGAAGCGTCGACCAGGTACGTTCCGGTCCATGATCGTCTGCAAGCAACGGCAGTTGTCACGCAATTTACTTTATGATCGGAGCCCGCCAAGGCTGTCGGAAAATAATCAGTATGGACTTATCAGGAAGATGAGACAAGAAACAAACGTTTAGCTAAGTCCGTCTAGCGATTTTAATGCGCTCCACTAGCCAGTGAGTTTATGCTGGCCGTGACATGTGAAGTCGTGGTGAGAAAGCCCCATTTTTTGTTGCCGTGCCTGCTGCCCCGAGATGTCTGACTCGCAAAGACCCTATTTTGAAGGAAATGAAGGACCGGCCGACATCACTCGACATCACAGAGTCCCAGTCAATGACTTAGACCACTCCTCTTCAATATGTTTTATGTAATTAATATGTAGTTATTAAGTTATTCAAGAAGGACCAAGACTTTGGCACTTGGTGTAGCTTCAGCCAAGAAGAGGGAAAGGGGACAATTGTAAATGACTTCGTTTGTGACTGTGGTGGAGTTAGGATCCCTTCCAGTGATAGCTTCGTTCAACAGGGCAGGCGAATGGCAGGCGGTGCATCCAAGGGTTCAAGTGGCCGAGCAGGGCTAGACAATGAGATGGAGTGCACACGATGAGTTAAACCCTAGCCTTAAATCATGAACTTACGCAAAGATCATCGCCTCCCGTCTTGCCGTCCGCTAGGCTCTCACGAAAGTGTAGGGGGGAGGGGGTAAAGGCACTCGCCGGCCCTGTTGTATTCGCGTGTGCATGACTCTAGGGGTGATTGAAGCATAGATATGTGTTGAGCAGCGAAGACGTGGCTTCGGGGCCTTGACTGTCTCTTAGCATATATCGTCCAAAGCCTCATTCACTCCGCGGAAGATCCTAAGAACGGGGCTGCACTTCCCCACGCCGTACACTCAGGGGGCAGCAGCATGGCATTATGCCTTTGCGAAGGACTGGTCATCCACCCATTCGTCCATCCCCACAAGGAGACGTGTCTCCTTTCCTACATGTAAGCATCCAACAACGTGGGCTCCAGAATAGTAAGCACGAACCGGAAGCTACCCAAAGACGCATGTGCACTTGCGGGGTACGGAGTATTGGCTGGCTGTGCTCATCTCTCGCTACACTGTAGTGTAGCATCTTGAGACGAGTGTTTATTATTCATGATGACTTAAAACATGTGGACGGTACGCCTCGGTTGGCCGGTCATTGTAAGTCTCACCACTCCCTCTTGATGAAGCCTCACGTTCGGTCGACAACGGTTCATTTTACACTACAGCCAGGTGGCGACACATGGCATGAGTCTCGAATCCCCACATCAGAAACCGGTACCCGGACGGACCGCCGATCACGGCCCGGTATGTGAGGCCGGTTGTGTCACGGGTGTGTGAGTCGTCAGTCTGGACCTTCCCGTCCCGAGGTCCTGGCCGGTCTCGCGGCTAAAAGTGGACGTTGGGCATTTCCGGACTTGTTCCTTTCGTTAGTTTCGTCGTCGACGGATGTGGTGGTGATAGGCAAGGGCCAGACTCAAGCCTTGTCCAGGGAATTTAGGGAGCAATCTCGCTGCCTCACAGCTGTCATACGCTATAGACAAGCCATGGTACTCTGCCACAGGGCCCTGAGGAGAAAGGGGTCAGGCTATCGAGTCTGGAATACAGGCTGGAGCTGGCCAGACACGGTGGACCGTTTGATGCAAGGTGGTCTGGAAATGAATGCGTGCAGCAATTGGCGATCGTGAGTCGTGGCCCTCAAGATCGAAATTTGTGTGTGGGATCGGTCAGCGTTCTGGACTGTCTTGGTGTGGACTTTGCTGTGTGGCCTAGAATGTGCTGGTGCAGACGGGACCTAGGACTGGGTCCAGGCCGAGGACCCACCAACGGCCACTCAGCGCGCTCGACCTGACTGGCTGGGCCCCGCCCATCCCGGCATCGACTGGGGCCACTTCCATCCGCATCTTTGAAACCCTTTCTTTCATCGCTGTTCCCGCTGCTCGACATCCGTGCCGTCGATAAACCCGGCGTTGGATGGGATGAACAATTGACGGCAAGGTCCGGGCGTGCTTTGCGCGCTAAACAGTCGCATTGGCTTCGCTGAGCTATCGATTCCATCAGCCATCAGCAGCTGCAAAGACGGCGATGACATCGACGAGCGAGGGCCACGTTTCTTGCTTGGTGGTTACCGAGCCTTTTATGTATGTTACGACTGCCCGAGTTTCTCGCCAGCTGTGATGACGAGGGAATGATGATAGCGTTGGGCACTGCTAGGATCGGCGTGTCCTGTTTTCCCCGTTTCGAGCAGAATTTCTCGCGAGATCCCCAATCTCGCTCGCCTTCTTCGCTCTTCCAGTTTGTGGTTTCCAGTTGCGCTGTCCGCCGAAGCCCTACGTAGTGGGTTGTTGTAGGTACCTACCTAACATAGAACCGACCCTTCCGCATTATTGGAAGCGCAACACCCTGATAGTGCAATTGTACGGGATATCCCCAGCAACAGCGTTGACGCAATTCCTAAACTGTGAACATCCTAGAGGTATTCAACATCGATTTGCTACACTTCGTTGTGTCATGTTGTGTAGGCCTCAGATTAAGGAGCACAAGATACATACCACGTCGTGTGCCCATCCCAGAAACAAGTCTAGATTCTAGACCCTATCGCGGATGTTCAACCGCAGTCTGACACAAGTATAATCGGTGTGTTTGTTAGAAGGCACAGTTGCTGAGCGGTTTTGCGACGGCAGCAGGGTGCTGGATGGATGAGGTGCAATGAGGTGTACGTAACGCGGTGAACACGATGATTCCTCCCTTTTCTTCTCTTCCAGCTTCCAAAACTGGCTGGAGGGAACGTGAAGGTCGTGGACGCCAGCCGCCATTGTCGCATTCCGAATTGGCGAGCGCGGGCGTGAGATACCGATGGGATGACCGCCCGGTGTTTAGTCCATGGTCGAGAACTTGCAAGACCTGTCCACTCGTCAACAAGCCGGAATTCGAGAAGGTGGTACGTAGCAGTACGTAGCAAGACGTCGCACGGGAGCAGATTACGGCATGATGACCTGGCTGCCCCATGATTGTGCTCATACCTCCCTCTAGGTAGTCTCGCAATTATCCTTCACCCCCTCGTTAGTTGCATACTAGGTACGTAGCGTAGTGAGCAAAGTTTCGGGCTCCATATGTTGGGTAGAGTCGGTACTTTGGCGCAGGTATCTCTTTCTCCCTTCCTCCACTCTGTTTGCGTCTGCCCTGCCTGTTTTTTGCACGCCCGGCTGGCCGCGAATTCGATTTTTTTTCTAACCCCACCCCCTGGCAGCCTCGAACTCTGGTACCCCTACCCCCCTGGGCACCGGGCAGACTTGGCATTTCGTTGGCGGACGCGGGTACATTACAAAGTCTTGGTCTGGCCCATTCCCGTCGTCTCTGACTGGAAGAAATACCCACTTGTTTTTTGCTCCAACTCGATCTCGATACAAATTCCTCGAACCGACCTTCGCACGTATAAACCTCATACCCGCACCACCAAACCGACCTACAAGCACCAGCATCAAACGCCAACACCAACATCAACAGTCGAGAACAAACCAACAACAAACTCGGCAGCATCCTTCAACCCAGCACTGGTACTAATAGCCTGCCCTGCGCACTTCCACCACACAACACACATCACAATGTCCGCCCGACCACAAGTTCAATACCTTACCTCCACATCTTCGGCTTCGTCATACTCGTCCTCCGACTCCGACCTGTCTTCGACGTCATCAGTCAGGCACAGCATGGACTCGACACAACCCATCGTCTCGGTTGAGGTGCTCCGGTGCCTAAGGTGCGCCCGCGCCGAAGAGATCACCTCGACAGACGACCCCAGCTCCATGGGAATGGTCCAGATTGGCACCAACATCTACTACTGTAACCGCTGCGCCAAGATGACCGGCTACAAGTGAAATCAACAAAAGCGGCCTGCCTTCTCGCAATCTACTACCATGGTTGGAATTATGTGGGAGCTGGCCACTTGGGATTTACGCATCACCTTCGCACATGCGAAACACCCACAGCCTTCAGCATCGCAGCGACAACGCTCGACCTGTTTAGCTGCTTCTTGGATATCAACTCGACATTCCACGTTGCCTCGAGGTCGAATAGAGGCGGATTTTGAGAGTCTGGACCAGAGTGTCCTGATCGATCGACGCAAGTTCCGGCGATCACTGTGGCAATTTCCTCTTCGGCGGATGTTTCCCTCCTGCAACACAGCCCACGACCTCTTTGCTACAGGCACTTGAAACACCGCCATCCTCGCGGCGGCAACAAGTCTTAACCATTGATCGGTCTATTCTGCGGACAAGGATGTCGACATGCTAAAATCCATTCACAACCGCGACGCATCCAGCCGGGCCGCCACAAACAAAGGCGCCCAGTGCAAACATATGTCTGCTGCGGTCTTGCTTTCAACGACGATGTTTTCAAGCTACTTTTACACTTGACTACCTCGGCTCGACAACTATTGTCTTCACACCGAGTGAAGTGCGAGTCAAGAGTAAAGATTGAGGTCTTTGGAATTCTCTCCGAGTTCCCGAGTCACCGAGTTGACTATCACGAAATGATGAGCCTTGCTGTGACGTTTGAATGCGACGGTCGCGGCTCATCACAGTCCAGGGATCGAATTTGCTATCTTTCCCATTCTCGGATTCTCGTCATTGCGCGTCAAAGGCACATGCTACGAGATCTTGGGAACGTCACTGGGCTACCAACAACAACCGACTTTGGACTTGGTGCTGCCTATCACAGGCGGCGGCCGACCAATGGCGGTCGAGGTCGCTAGACTACCCCTCATTTTTCTGATTTTGTGCTGCCCCCTCCGCACATCCCCTGCCCAGTGCCAAGCCACTGACGTAGACTTGCTTGGGTCCTGCTCTCGTCTTGAAGTGGGGATCCCATTAATCGGCAAAGGAGATCCAGGGGCATCGGGGGATTACCAGCAGCGAGGAAGGGCTGTTTTTTTTTTCTTGTTGTGCAATTCGACTGTTTTTGTACATTTTGTATTTTGATATCAACATTTTGTCATTTGAGCGAGGCGCTGGGATTTGCTTTTCATGCATTACACACTTTACACTGGACGGAGTGGAAAGGAAAGGACGGTAACAAAATAGCGGAAGGGGGATGGATTGGATACCTGGTGGCTTTTTAGTGTACACACGGGATTTTGGATACGGGAAACATCAATACAACTTTGGAGCCTGATGGCTTTCTGATTCTTCAGCAAACAAATTCTTGATACTTTCCCTTTGCAAATTTGTGATTTTTTTATTTTATTTTTCAATGAGCAGACATCATTATCCTCTTGACCATCTCTCCCCCTCCGCCTCTTCCATTGATATGTGTGCAGCATCTCGCAGCGAGTGAACCCCAAAGTGAGCTTTACACTACACCTGTCGTAGCTAGACAGCATGCAGGCCAGGCAGGTTTTCTGCTCGTCTCCTGGGTTTGCTGCAGACAATAGTGCCATTTGACACATCAACAGCTGCTAAATTTGTACCACAACGGTTCCCCGCGTCAGCAGAAGCCTCCATTCGCAAATTCGGGGCTATTGGGCTGTTCTCATCAATCTACATATCAATCAACTCGTGTTCTTTTCTGCGGGCGATATCTCCTTTTCCATCCTCGCGATCCCCCATCTCGCTTTGTGAACCTGCATTTCCTGCAGAGCTATCGAAGCCATTCCCGTCGTGCCATCCAAACGGATGTGGAGAAGCTACCGCAAAGCTACAGCTCCAATTGTTCGTTGTTCTCCAATCGCACACCTCCAAGCTCCATTCAAGCTCCTTATAGCTCCTCTCCGGCCCCCCTTCCCGTTGCAGTTGCTTCAACGTACATCAACGCCAACGCAGTCAATTGACTCGACAAGTCAGTCAGTCACTTAGTTGCTACCTACCTACATACATCATCGCTTGACATATGCGCTTCGCTTGGTGCGTATTGCGTGGCGGCGGCTGTGAAAGACCTCGACAGACTTCTTGGAAGAATCGGAATCATGCCACGCGGCATTGCCCTCGGCTAGCTGCAAGACTCCGTAGGAGGAAAGAAGGAAGATGACCGCAGCAAACGCGCATATTCTGCATTCATCATCCATCTTTGTCAAGAAGCATTTTCTCACCCAAGTCACCACTATCGCTATTTTTGGGCTCTTTGGCGGTTTCCTTACCGGATTACTCCCGCAATGAGTCTCTGGTCCGACAAACACAAAGGCGGGTTTCGCAGCGCAGTTGTCGCTGGCTTTCAGAGCTTCTCAACTTGGATTTCTGCCCCTGTTCGCCGATGCAGCTGCGGCCTGTCAATAGTCGGATGATGGTGTCATGTGGGTCAAAAGATGGCCCTATGTACATACAGAAAAGATGGGTCCATGAGCCGGTTAAAATCTTCTGTCACTAGAATTTCCTTCCTTCTGTCGGTTACGCTTTTTGACACTTGGTGGTTTTACGGATTGTGTCATACTGTATGTACTTCGCGCTTCCCAATGACAGCCCGAGGGCCGGCAAAGGCGGTGGACGCTTCAGCCCCCCCGCATTGCACTATACCAGAAATTGTTCATGATTGACTTTTTTTTTAGCGCAACCAGCCTCACTTTTGTCTTACAATATGGGTGTACCCGTGTATCACAATCCCACACCGGATTTGGTCGGTGGAAAACATGGATTTAACAACTCTCAGTCTAGGTAGGTATAGGACACAAACAGCAGCTTCCAAAAACCTACCAGCAGCAGCTACTATATGTAGCACCTTACTGTGAACCCTATATACCTAGCTAGCTGGTAAGCACTATCACCATGGGCCACGTTAGTTCTGAAACATACATATAGCTGGATCAGTTATTCAATAGTCCATCAGATAGTCTTGCAGATCTAAGGGTTTCTGGGGTCCTCGTCAGTACTACACCAAGACATCATCAACTTTGGTTTTATGGTGTAGGCTGATTAACGTTGGACAAGCATATGATGCAGTGTACCTAGTTCAAAAGCCGAAAGCTCCAGTTATCTCCACTATCTTTATACATATCACATAAGATTGATGATGAACGCTGATCAGTGTGTGGATAGGGCACGATGGGTGTATGCAAAGTTAAGATGGAACACTCAAGTGATTACAAATATACGGTCATAGGGTGATAAGTACCTGAAACTGCTGAAAGAAATAATGTATTGTAAATCCTGAAGACAACCTAAGAGACCCTTCATGCTTAAACGTACAGATCTGAGGCATGCCTTATGTCTTTGACGGTCTGATTTGAAGCATCGAAAAGCCTTACTGCGACAACATCAGAAACATCAGAGACCAAGCCCTGTTGATGCTTCACTACCATCATCTGGATTGGATGTCATGGCTCGCTTGTCAGCCTAGATAGCAGGGCTAACCAAGATCACAGAGCGCCATGATGAACCATGGGAAAGGCTGTCAACAAACATAACCTGCCCTCACACGACACGTGTTGGGATCCATGCTTTGGGAAGTGATAATCTTGGGTACAAGATACGATCGGCTGTCAAATTGATGTGTATCAGGGTTAGGGGTGCGGTATCGTACTTATCGTCTTTTCCCTGTTTATCGGCGATGGTCGCTGCAGTTCATCATGATTGGATGCTACGGAACCTGTTCCTGTTCATCTTTATTCATATCGGGTTACCAGAGCAACTTCAAACTTGGGGACAAGGCTGTTGAGATTGACACATATCGAGAGGCTGTTAACAGTTCAAAGACCGAACAACGACAACGATAACATGGAAAACTCGCTGCAAGTTCTCTACAAACAAAAATAGGACAGGAGACTGAAATGTAGGGACTTCACGGCCCGCTCCACGGTCCACCTTCATACATAGAATTGTCCTTGGCACTTCAAGTTTGCACTCGGCGACGATGACCGCCGCCCCACGACAATTTCGGGCTCGGGGATATGGAGGTGAAACTCGGCGAGTTGACACAAGGCCTTGCGCACACACCCTCTCCCGCTTGGGTCTCCACCGTATCTCCGTGATCTTCGTAGTTACGGTCACCTTTGGTATTGAGGACAATGATGACGCCAAGTAGGTATTGAACGACGGTACATAGGACGCCTCTCTACCAGTGACAGCGGATAGCCGAGAATCCCTTTCAAACCCTAGCCCAGCCAGCCGTGCAGCCGTACCTGACATGAGGCACTTTGGGCTCTGCTTCTTCTGGCAGTATGTATCACTCACGTAGTGTAGTATCTGGGGCTTCCGGGGTAGGAGTCGGCGTAAAAACAGGGCTTGATTCGCTTTTACCAGGCATCCACTGACACCGGCGGCGGCGGCGGCAAGGTTGACGAGTCGCGCGTCGAGAAGATTTTGACATAGGATGCCGTCAGGGACACAGGTCTAACGGCGGGCAAAACAGGACCCCTTTCTTCCCTGTCTCTCTCTCGTGCGTCCTGTAGGGTCCTCCTGTAGAGGACTCGCTATACGGTCATTGGTTATAATCGGGCGAAAAGACTCCATTTGCTGTCCAAGGTTTGGAGTGTGGAAGCTATTCGGAGCTAGATGAAGAAGAAATGTGGTTGTACTTGGCGAGTTTTTCGGTTGCGGTGCGAGGGCCTTCCGAAAAAGGAATCACTCGTCTCCGCTTGGTGACGACATTGTGCATTTCCCGCACCCGAATAGCCGCTAAATATATCTAAATGTCTCCTGGTATTTGATTAGGCTATGAGATTATAGGTTGTGAGGCCGAAAAGGGGGTTCGTGAGAGGGTCGTTGAACGACGTCGAGAGGGTCGGACGGGGTTGGCCCCATCACGACCCTCCGACTCCCCGGGTCCCGAACCCCCGCTTGCTCGTCTTTTTCTTTCCCCGAGTGGCCGCTGAATTCGCTAAATGACCGAGTTGCTTGGGTTGAGGTTGTTCAAATCCTTCGAAAACATATCCACTGCAATGCTGGTTTCATCTCTTATTGATGTCCAGTTACACACACGAGAAGGGTCCCGCATCTGCGCTAAGCTTCTTCCTGTGCGCGATCGCGAGGAACGATCTACTCAAGCATCAAATGCATCGCAACCCTGATTTTCGACAAAGTAATTCGCAACATGCCACAGCCTAACCCGCGAGTCAACATCGCCAAAACGCCCTCGGAGACTCTACCGGCGTTACACTTGTTGGCTGGTCATGCTTACCTCTACATACATCTCAGTTATTACCATCCTTCATGTTGTTCTCCACCCTTGTCCATGAACCCCAGTACAGCGTAATTCCCTTTGCTTGCAGATTTCTGCAACTAGAGATACCTCATGCACATATCAGTGTATCACGCTCACCTCTACAAGAGCATTTGTCAGCTTGGCGTTTTGTGGCCTCGTATCGACCTTAGTTCTTACACAACCACACCCTCACACATATCACAACAACTGTCACGATAGCTGCAACGAACATACAAATGGCAACAGATATCCTGTCATGTGATGATGTCCAGCCGACATATATGTTCGTGGGGGGAGGATTTTTACCCACTATCCTCCGATATATGCCGCCTACTGATGTAGGGTCTTGAGCTCTCACAGAGTTAGCACCAATCAACCAAAGCAACAAGAGGAAGGTAAGCGGCATCGTAGGGTACAGTATTACATCACTTTCTCGATCTCGATCACACCCTTACATTGTGCCCCAACGTAGGCATCGCGTCACGGCTTCGGCCCCTTGGCTCTTGGAAGCGAGCAAAGGATAAATTTTGGTGACCAGGCGGGGGTATCAAGGACGTTCTCTCGGAGTGGTTCGGCAAGGAGGGGGTTTTTCGTGACAGTGCAAAGTGAAAGGGCCGGAGTGCAGTGCGGGCCTGGACATGATCGGGAATCGATGTCATGTTCCCGAACGTGTCGATAATTGCGCAATCTTGGACTACACACGATTGGTTCAGTTTCCATCATCGAATTATGTGTCGGCTTCTGTGCGACACAGTACCGAAACTCGACGAGAAAACGCCGAAATTGCCTCACCAGGGAGACCAGGGTAACTTGGGGCCAGAAGCTTCTTGCCGCCGGCCATTCACCTTCCTCTCCAGGGACATGGTGATCGAGGGCACTAGACTGGTTGGCCTAGGGCGGCATCCCGAAGGGGGCCGGAGCTAAGCAGGCCCTGGGAAAGCTATGATGCATGGTCTAGATTCGAGTCCGTCCGGGGACAGGGTTGGCTTGCTCCAAAACCTTAAGTCGAGATCGCGCAAGTGGCCAAACGACGTTGGGAATAACTTCATATTTCCTGCAATGTCAGGCATTGTGGCAGATCATAACGGGTGGAGAGGCGGAGAATAAGCTCCGGTATTCGCAGGGCTGCCTGGTTCGCCTGTTCGGGCGGGGTGATATACTCGAGGACGATGCAGCGAAGAGATGGTCGAGAGGGACAAATGAGGGGATTCACACCTTCAGAAGTTGGCCTCGCAAGACAAGCCGTTGACGATGGGGCTTTCCGCATGCGGCCCGACAAGCCAAGCTTGCTAGGGCTTAACCATTTCGTCGATGCGCTAAACAAATAGTCCAACAGAGACTGGCTTTCGGGTAAAGCCGAGAAGAGCGAGGCTATTTGGAGGAGGTCACCGAAACGAAAATGGAGCAGTTGTTGTTGACCTTGAAGCCCACGATAAACTTGGATACCACGCGGTTCAGCTTGTCAGGGCCCGGATGAGCTAAGTACCTACCCGTGTCAGTTCCTGGCAGAAACCGGGCTGGGCTGCATCATCAAACAGGGTCCAGGGCCTCTACGACTCAAGCTCAAATCGCTCCAATAGGGTGGACGAGTTGGAAAAGAGGGCCGTAACGACACCTTCGCCAGTACCTGTGGTTTGTGAATAACCTCATTTTCTGGCCCGTGCTTGATCCCGATATCTGCATGCCTGGCTCACCCGCCTAAGTCGGTACCTCAGGCTCATGTACCCTCACCCTGACCGATGACCTGACCGCCGCCATCATCACCCCCTTACCCGCCGTTCCAGGTCGTTGAATAGACGTAATTGGAGGCATCCGGACTTAGTGGATGACACAATGGGGAGCTAAGGTCGATTGTTGGAGGGACCATGGAATTTTTCGAAGGGAAAGAAAACTTTGTCAGGGTCGGTTTGCGAAACCCTTTTGCGTGCTCAATATCGATTCACATGCGCCGGGCCCCGTGCGTAATCTTCTCATATGTCATCACTTGGCTGTCCCGATATCGTCAGTCGCATCCCAAGCAACACCGAGATGACCATTGACGTCCCAGTCAAAGCCCTGTCAACCGTCCATGTCACCTCCCCTGTTCACCTCTCAGCCTTGCCGTCATCCACATCCTTCCGTATCCTCCTCAGCACGGAAACAGCCAACCACCTTTTCCGACCCGTAATATCCAGATCCTCTGCCCCACGATCCCACGCCCACTCCCGGTCATTCCCGTCGCAGTCCCTTTCCCACAGCCTCTCCACCTCGAGCCCGACCTCCCTCAGCTTCTCCGCGTCAAAGAACCCCCGCATCTTCTCCCGGCCGGTGTGATAGCCGCCCACGACCCACGCTCGCGCGCCCGGGTCTTCTTCGCTCAGGAACCACGCGATCGACCGCCGCAGGTTCTCGTGCTGCCACGGCATCCACAGGCAGTCGGCGCACAAGACGCGGTCGAACGCGCCCTTGTTCTCCAGCGCCAGCGGCGTTTCCAAGTCGCCCCACCCGTGTCCCTCGACCGCGACCTCGACGCCCCTTGCGCCTTTCTGATCCTTCAGGTTCAGCTCAACATTCTTCCTCAAATTCTCAATCACCACCGGCGCCGGGTAGTCCGTCACCAGCACCCTCTTCGCTCCCAGCAGCGCAGCCATGAGGCTCGGCAACCCTGTTCCAGCTCCCATCTCGATCGTCGATCGGCCGCGAATGTCAAAGTCCGCCAGCGGCGGCACCGCCACCCTTTTCCCTACATCAACCGTCCCCGCGCCTGCGCCGGTCGTGTCCTCTCCCGCCTTCAAACCCAGCGTGCCGGCCTCGATCAGCTCCGCCAGCAGCAGAGAGGCGTTCCAGAGGAAGTGGCTAAACAGCGAGCGGTCTTCGGCGATTTTGGGGTCGGATAACTCGATCCGCAGCGGCTTGGACAGGTGCGGGGACGTGTAATGGAGGGCGGTGGAGGCGTCGCCGTGCTGATTGGTCACGTCGTCGGTGAAGATGACGCCGAGGGAGCCGGCAAAGAGGTCTTCCGGGTCATCTGAGGACTCGTCCTGGGTGGTGTTTATAAAGGAGAGGCGGGCTGTTAGAGCCATTTTCTCTTCTTTTTCGTTTGGATTTGGACAGTGTGGGTTGGGTTGGATTTTTAGTTTTGATTTGGATCGGCAAGTGTCGACACGTTGAGAAGGCAAGTACCTAAGCAGGTGAATTTTGTTGATGGTGAAGGTAAGTTTGGTGCGGTGTGATTTGAATGTGTTGATGAGAAGAGGTTGAAGGTTGGGGGTGAACTGAGTGATTGTGGTTCCGATGCGATGTGACGATCAGACGTCTGTCCCTTTGCAGAAGAATTGTTCTGAGGCTCTGATAGCAGCAGGGGGGGAGTGAAGATCCTCTGATCCTCAAAGGTACCGGTAGGTTGGCTCGTTGGCAAGCTGCGTGAAGATCTAACCGGAGGAAGCCGTTTGTGTAGTCGGAAAATTTTTGATTCGTTTGTACGATACTGCAGCTCGTCATTTGTCGCTGTTAAGCCTCTAAGAATGACGAGATGCTGAACTCCCGCTGATATATCACCTCGAACCGACAAGTGAAGCGATCACAGTGGGGGTGTTTCTTGCGACTTTTGGCGGGGCTGCCCTCGAAACAAACTTTGGTGGGCCTAGACTGAGGTAGGGCCATGAGTTTAGGGTACTGCTTGACTATCCTTTGATGCCGGGGTTTTTGATGTTCCCCACAATTCAGTTGTTGACAACATCCTTTTGAGTAAACACTGAAGGATGACCTTCCTAGTATAAAAGGAACCTTTAAGAAATCGGGCTGAGGTAGACATTGACTAGCACAATGTCTATAAAATACCTACCTTCATCGAGTCTGGATATTACTGGCCACATTTCTCACGGCCCATTTCTTCCTGGTTCCGTCCAGGAAAGATATAAGAGTTTGAAGGATCCAGGGTAGGTCGTGGGTAACAAACAGACACCCGATTAAAGTTGTTCATAGTGATTGAGATTGGAAGACGAGTAAGAGTAAACTCAAAACTAAACTCAAAACTATATTCAACTAAGCAGTATTGAAGCAGGAATCAGGGCGTCATCCAACAAGCAGACTAGACTACATCAACCCCCTCTGAACCCAACCCTTCTTTCAACTCTCCTCCTTCATCTTCTCTTTTCTTCATTTTTGCTTTATTAACTTTCGTCCTCCAAAACCGCCGGCTAGTCGTAGAACTACCTCACAAATTCAGACCCAGAATCATTCAAACATTTCCACCAGCACCACCAGCAAAAGCACCCTTTAAGCCACCCCCAACCCACCCAGCAGCCTTCACCACCATCGTTACCGGCATGAACGTCCACCCAAACATACTCCTCATGCTTCCGACACCCCAGACAGCGCCAATGACACCCAGCACAAAGACAAACTTCCACATGAACCTCACAGGCCCGATAGCCAACAGCGACAGTTCTTTGCTCTTCTCCTTCAACTTTTCTTTGCCACGCTTCAGCTTCTCCTCAGCGTGGTCCATCTTGACTTTTAGCTTGTCTTGACCGTGGGCTAGCTTGTTCTTCATCTTGGCTTTGAGACTTAGTGCCGATGAAGAAGTAGAAGTAGAGGCAGCTTCGGTGACGGTCTCGGTGACTACCACTTCGTTGCTGGCACCACCACCACCAGCACCAGTGCCTTCAATTTTTTTCTCAACTTTGGTAATATGAGAAGAGAACCACGACTTGATATTGTGTCGTGAGGACGAAGATGAGGAAGATCTTTTCAAGGACGGCCTGTTATCACCACCACCAGTATCTTCCGCTGTCGATATGCCAGTTCCAGATTTGGCTCTGTAGGACTCTTCACCACTAGCAGCAGCAGCGAGCTGTCGATCATCACTGCTGCTGTTGCTTTCTTCCCTTTCCATCATCGCAGTGTCCGTAATTGTGACAGATATGGTTCCATGTTGTCCAAAGTTACGGTCCGCCGCTGCTACCTCCGTCCTTTGCTGCTGCTTTTGCAATTGCTTCATCTGCTTGTCAGAATCAGAAGAGTCATCAGCATCAGATCCGTCGACGCCAGCGATGTGGATGGGTACAGTGGGAAGAGAAGGTGCATCCCCACCAGTAGCTGAGTTATTGTCCGACGTTGGCGACACCTTTTCGGCGGATGATTTTGGTCGATGTTCTGCCTCCTCTTCCAGTTCTCGGCAACCCTCAGAGTCCTTTGGCTCAGCAGTTCTTTTGCTACTGCCAACCGCGGATGGTTTCTTGAACCTGACGGTTTTGCCTCGGATGAGGAGGGAAGCCGTTTCTGACGACGATGATGGCTGAGCACCGGCTAGTGTTCCTTGCGCATCCATGCTGCTGTTGAGCGGTTCGCCCAGGCTTCCGGGACCCGAGGGGGATGACAACTCCGATGTGCAATGGGTGTTGATCAACTTGATCTCAGGGTTCTGTGGCAAGGTTTGGCTTTCTGAGTTCTCATCGATTGAGGTGGATTCAGAATGGTTATGGGAGCTGAGGTGGGTAGTCCGGAGACCGCGTTCTCTCGAGACAGCAATGCTGTCACGTAGTCGACCGCCTTGTTCCATGGGCCGGAGCAAAGAAGCGACCAAGTATGGAGATGGCGCGTCTGATCTATCGCCGCGTTCGTCAAATGGCTCATCGATAGAGACATACCGCGAACGACGATGGTTTCTCATGCCGGGAACCGTTCGGACCCCCCGTTCCTTTGAGAGGACAATACTGTCGCGAACCCGACCGCCGAATTCCGCTGGTTTGAGAAACGAAGGTCCAGGCGAGGGTGAGGGTGAAGGTGTATCAGCATCAGCATCGGCTCTCGTCACGTTAACATCCAAGACGCTGACATCTTTGGTGCCCTCCAAGAAGACATGATCCAGCTGGGAGACAAGCGCAAGCATATGTTCGAAAACATAAACAGATTCGTGAACAATCCTTGCCCGCTCCGAAGTCGTGAGAAGATCCTCCGCCTCCACCAGGCGTCTCTTAAACTCGCGCTTCAGGTCTTCTCCATCCTGATTGGTATTGAAGTGGAAGAACCGGAGACGCTGACTCATTGGCGCCGTCGCATGGGACTTGTCCGGATATGCGCATGCTTTACCAGAAGGCATGATGGGGTCACACCTGGTCTTCCAGAACTCCGGGCCCGCCTTTTCCAACGAGCTTCTGAGGATTCGGCCTCCGGAGAAGAGCGCCATGTAAAGGACCCATGCATAGGCGAGTAAAACAGGTGGACTCTCGCCCACAGATTGTTTTATATGGGTGACGAACTTTTTCAGATTTCCATTTCGAGCCGCAACCTCAATTTGCTCGTCCACCATTTCCTTGGACCAGCCTGTCAGGCAGCCTATATCGGCCCGTAGGCAGTCGACTCGCATGAGACCTGGAATACGAAGGCTTTCGAGGATGGAAAATATGCGCTCAGAGGTGCCGGGGCGTTGCGATAGGCCCGCATCGTCACCATCGTGGAATGGGACGCGGTGTGAGGTCTTTGGGTCGAGGAGAAACCGGTCTTTCTCCTGCGGTGGCTGAGGAGAAGATGGTCTGTTTTGGTATGGGGACGGGTTCCTGAATTCTTTCGTCTGCTCCTTGTGGGAAAGAAGGATCATGTACCATAGCGTCTCGAAGGTGATGTATACCGGAGCTACGTGGAGCAGACCAGATACGTAGGTCGAGGGTGTATTTGCAGCCGGAGGTAAAGCCAGAGGGAGACGGCGGATGATCTGACTGTTAAGCTGGGTATGCACCAATCTCGTAGCCGCGTTGATCTGGTCTCCGAGGTGGGAATAATGGGTTTCCATGATCGTATTTGGGGTTGGACACTCGCGTGTTTGATATCTCGGGTGACAATCTGATAAAGAGGTTCGGTTCCGTTGTGGATAATAAACAGGGCGCAATGTTGGAGTGGCGGTCGTGAGGGAATTACTGAGGGGGTGCGGGCATGCTATTAGAAGAACAGGGGAAACGATACACAACAGACTGAGACCGTCGACTGGGAGTGGGACAGAGAGGTCCTCCGATCGAATGAGTAAGGATACTGTAAGGACGCGTAGATGTTGCAGTTCCGTGAGTTAAATAGGTACCAAGAGAAGGTGAGGAATGACTTTTGATTACTACTGATCATGTCGTAGTGTTTTTCTCTAGATGTATAACAGGTGACACTGAGGCGATAGAACTGCAATACGTCCTCCTGAGGGAAGGGGTCAGGTATTCGGCAGGAAAGCGCAATGACGATCACATCTTGACCCGGTCCAGCTTCTGGCTGTAATGACCTGGGGTAATGACTCCTGTGAGCTGCCAGTTCAAACTATGAAAATGTCAATAGCTCTCGGGCCATAATGGCAAAAGAGAAAGGGAAGGAAGGATGGGTTCATGCTAGTATCCATGAACTACGCTTCAAGACTAGCAAGAATCTGAGATCTTGATCTGACACAGATGAAGATGATCTTGGCTGAATGAAAGCATAAGCAAACAAAAGGCTCAAGAGAATCAGGAGCCGTTGAGTTATGGTACTTCCCATGTATGTTCTTACCTTTGTGCTGTTCCTTCGTTCCTGGCAAAGGAACGATGCGCTTCGTTGTACGCCACCTCAACATCCGCAGCCCCAGTGGTTCGTCGTCATCGACTTTCTCGTAGTGCTGTGAGGTTGCTTAAAGAATGGCCCCTCATTTGGTATACCTTTTTGGAGGCTTTTCGGTTTGACAGATGGGCGATATATACTCGCCTGGAGATCCACGGTCAACTTGTGCAAAGTGTTCTCGCCTCAGGTGACCACCCAATGCGATACGCCTCGCCGATGGGACAAGAACCAGGCATGTGCCATCTCTATCATTATGTCGAGGCTTGTGGGTACAGGCAATTGAACATGTATACGACACTGTCAGGTTGTGTCCCGCTCTCTCCAGAGCTTGTAAAATGGAAGGAGAAATAGCCAAGATGCCATGCACACAAAAAAAAAAAAAATAAAATAAAAAAAAAATAAGAACGCCCGCATCATTATATGCAATATCCAAAAGATGCCACGCTCTGCACAAGAAGTCATCCGCGAAATCTCCCGACATATTAGACAGCGATAGCTGCGTCGGAAGTGCTCGACCCTCCCACAACGTTCCTCACCTCAGCTGTTGTCTGTTGCTCCTTATCGTTCGCTTTGCATTCTCCATTACCATTGCCTTCCTCGTGGCTCTCGTTGTTCACAAACACAAAGGAGAAGACCACGATACCAGCTCCGACCCAATAAATCCAGCTGGAGTATTGGTGGTATTGAATCATCTCGCCAATAAGCGACAGTGGTATCGTAAGAGATAGGCCGACGGTAACGACAAGTGGTGTGGTAAGAAGCATGGCGTATGCCCAAATGATATCGCTGAAGAACGAAGAGATGGTATTGATCTGTTTTGTTTTTGATTAGTGAACTCTCCACATAAACAGTCATCGAACTGTACTCCAGCTTACCCAGATGATGGCCCAAGTCGTGCCGTTTGGCGGTAGTTCGAACTAGGACAAGCACATATTAGAAAGGTATGTCCACACTACGCACAGCTCGATAACCCTCCTAAAACATCCAAGACCACACGCTAGGGAAAACTTACAGTTTCGATTCCTGTGACATGCAGGATGATGAATAGTGGCCAAAGAAATACCAGATTAAGTACCCCTACGATCCCAAAGAACAGCGTCATGTTCATACGATCCTCATCAACGGCCCTCTTCTTCATCACCGTCACATAAACGCCATACACAATGGCACTGAAAAAGGCCATGGCATCGCCAATCGCAATCTCCGTCCTCGACTTCTCCGGGAAGTCTCCTCGCATCTCGTCACTCGCGCCGCTCATGTCCAACGACGAGATGAGCACCACGCCGGCCAGCGACGCCAGCACTCCCAAAAGTTTCCGCACCGTGAAACCCTCCACGCCGGCCAGCGCGCAGAAGATCAAAGTCCAGATACTGCTCGTTGATGACAAGATCGTCACGCTGCCGACACTGGTGTACTCGAGACATGCCGACGCAAAGTAGTTGGCCGCAAACCAGAGCATGCTGAACTCGAGGCTGAGCCAGAAGGTCTCGGCCAAACTGAGCTGCTCACATTTGTTGGATTTGAGGCTGCCGGTGTCGTCGATCAAAAGGCTCTCGCCTGCCCTCGCGTCTTCGTCGTCGACCATGGCGACCTTTTGGTATGACCTGCCCTGTCGTATTTCGTACCAAGCCTCTACCAGCTGTCGTTTTGATGCCGGCCACCCATACTGCATAACATGTCGAATCCCCATAGGTATAAGGGCGAGGGCGAACATGGAGATGTTGACGTAGAGGAGGAAGAAAGGCTTGTTGTAGGAGCCATCGGCGAACATGACCTGCGAATCATAGACCAGCAATCGACGATCAGCGTGTGCTCGCACAAGAACAAAAGGGTAGAGGTACGGATAGGGGCTTGCGCAACTCACGCTGGCGAGGAAGTTGGATACCGTCCATAGGAATACCACAACCAGGAGCAGTACGATTCCCAGCGTCCGTCGTCCCATGTTTGTCACCCATGAGGGCATCTTGGAACGAAAGCTCCCCTTACTCGCGGTTGTCGATGTGGATAGAGAGCGGGACGATCGCCCTCGCGCAACGAGTTCGACACTTGCTGTTGACGGACTGTGTGAGCTACGGTCTACAGCATTGTACGAATCGGCATCGTCGTCGTCTTCGGGTTCGTAGCTGCGGCGGTGGTGGTAGTTTCCGTTTGAGGGCGGCACTAATTCGGCAGCCGCCGGCGACACTGACCGGGCAGCAGAGACCATTTTCTGGGAGTCGCGAAACGGCCCAAATACGCTGGAAACACAGCAGGAGTCTCCTTGACAGCCCTCGAGAGTTTAGACAAGCTCAAACCAGAAAACAGAACGCTGCGCGAGAGGCTATAAGAGGATTGACAGGGTCCCAAAGCAAAGAGTGAGAAGAGTCGGGAGTTGCGAAGCGGACGCAGGGGACCTTATCGGTATCATTGAGTCAAGGTTGGCTGGCTACTGCCGTCAGTGGGAAATAGGGAGCTGAGGAATTACAGCCAAGACCAAATGTTACTGGGGCTGTTAAAGACAGCCTACCAGTCTTATTGAAAATCGCTAACAGAGAGGCTAGATCAGCTGCTTCAGAGATCAGAGCGCAGAAACGACGAGACGCGCGTCATCCCGAGATACTGAGAAACAGGATGAAAAGGAGCAAGAGGGGCATGTTTACATTTCGTTCCCCTTTGGAGCCCTTCTCCCCTGGTGGCCACGACGCTCCAACCCGACACCGCTTATGATTATGCTGATCCACGAGCGGTAGGGGGCCCGGGAGGTGGGTTTGTCGTTGTTTGTCACTCCGGGGAAGTGGAATCGCAAAATCTCAAAGTCGAGTAGAGTTGCGGAGGCGCCATGGGAGTCCCTGTGATACCATCCAGCCCCTGACGCGAATACTTGATGGGTCCAATCTGTTTGTTATTCTCAGTCAACAAAAAAGTCCGTAGGCCGTTGAGGTAGGTACGTGGTCCGTCGCTTTGTTTTACCACTCATGTTCAACCACTGAAACATCACGCCAATGCGCTACTGTCGCCAGTGGTTTTGTCATCGGCTCATCGAGGAAAATCTCCATCCTGGAGATGTGAAGAGGTGAAGTTGAAAAGGCAAGCGTTAGTTGCAGTTGAAAATGTGAAGACAAAAAGGTTATGCATCTGCAGGTGATTATGTAGGCATGTACGTAGGTACCTCTCGTCCAAACATTAGCGGCGGAGACGCATTTCGTACATAGGTCGCTTATCTGAAAGGAGCTGCCGGGTATCTGCTATCGCTGGTAGTAGGGTAGGCAGGCAGCAATCTTTTCGGTGTTGTCCCAGGTTAGCATGCCATAATACAACAGCTCTGGGTTGTCGTTGACTTGCAACCACTTCTTACACAATGTGATGACATGGTGAAGAGCACAATGGATACAGTCAGAAAGACCACTGCACAGGTCCTAGACTAATTACCAGATACTCAGCTATGGAAACTCGAGAAGGAAAGACAGTCGAGATAAAAACCTCCCGTACCAAGACTATGATTATTCCATACTCCCATCTACACCAGTGCATATCTATCATTGCTCGTCACCGTTCACGTTCACTCTTGCGCACCCCATTGACTCCCCCCGTTCCAAACTCACTGGTCATTAAGCACCGTCTCTTCAGGCCAAGATCAAAACCGCATTCCTGTCATACCCAGCGTGATATCATACAAATGAAGACATGAAAAACCAAACTCCCTCATAAACCCAAAAGGAGGACTAGAAGCTTGATGGAGCTCCTTCGCCCTTAGCACGCGCATCCATCCCGGTCGTTCTCGATGTGAATGTTGATGGGATCCTGGAAATCTCCGCTGAACTCCTCCGACTCTTCCTGCATGAGCGCGTTTCTGGCGATAACCTCAAAGGCCTGCTCGACGTTGATGGCCTCCTTTGCACTGGTCTCGAAGTACGGAATGTTGCCCTTGGATTGACAAAAGGTCATGGCCCTCTTGGTCGAAATCTGCGCCACAAGGTCAGTAAATGATGAGCTCCAACATCGACAAGGCCCACACAACAGAAAACATACCACCCTCTTGCTCTCTTCCATATCGATCTTGTTACCCAGCACGACGAACGGGAAGTTATCCGGGTCTCGCGGAGATGCTTGGATAAGGAACTCGTCTCTCCAGCTGTCGAGCGCATCGAAGCTCTTGGAGTTGTTGACATCGTATACTAAAACACAGCAGTCGGCACCGCGGTAGAAGGCAACGCCCAGCGACTGGAACCTCTCTTGTCCGGCCGTGTCCCACAGCTGTCCGTCGAGCACCATATGTATCAGCACGTCGTCCAACCAGCTCAAGGTAGGGTATTTGGCGCACGCACCTGCATGGTTACTTGGCGGTCGTCCACCAGAACCTCCCGGGTCAAGAAATCGGCTCCGATAGTGGCCTTGTAGCTAGCACTGAACTTCTTGTTGACCTGTTTTGCGCCAAAAGAGCGGGGGTCAGATGACGTCCTCTTTGTATCATAATGCATGGTGACAACGGGCTCGACGCTGGCGTACATATTGGTTCATCAAACTGGTCTTTCCGACACCGCTGTCGCCCAAGATGATAACCTGCCATTGGGAGTCATTGTTAGCTGTTGCTGTCTAGATGGTCCGATTTGGCGGCCGACTCGCACCTTGAGAAGAACCTTCTTCCTCGAAGACATGGCGGGCGGTATGGAATTCGATAAGTTGTTTGATAAGACGTAGGAACAGGACGAGGTGGAGCTGCTCGTGCTGGTGTGCTTCCGGGCAATCGTCAAGAACAACAGTCCACCAGTGATTGTAATCGAGAAAGATGGGAGTCGTAAGAGGGTGAGGAGGACGGCGGGCGCAACAAATGTTGGGTTTAGTGTAGGTCGTAGCAGGCTGCTAGATTCGGCACTCAGTCTAAACAAGGCCAAGCGGTAGGTTGGTTTTCGATAAGTGACCTAACCGACCGACGTGACCGACCTGGACGTTGGGGCGGGAACTTGTTGAACTGGGGCTGGCCACCTACTGAATGCTGCGCTGTTGGAGGAGCGACGGCTCTGCGACACAACCACCAGTGACGGAGGTGGTCGCAGCGCTAACACGCCCTCGACGCCTTTGGCGCGCCGTCAGGCAGGCACGCACCACTGGTCCAGTCTCGCCAGTGCATCCCTGGAGCCAATGAAGTCACCCGCCAGCGCCCAAAGGTCGGCCTGGTCCGAGCTGAAACACCCGACATGTACGACAGGTGGCCCGCAAAGAGGAACCTGTGGCCCACTCACCATGCCCAACGCCAAGGATTATCATTCATTCATTCATTCATTCAGTTCTTCATCAGCCATGTCATCCATCCTCCCATTCCTCAGCGGAACAGTCCCAGGGGCAGAAAGGATCGACGGATTGCGACCGACTCACATTTCTTCCATTCAGTTTTGTCACTCCTTTGATGTACTCGTACGCTTCACAGGAAATAACTATATCTACAATTTACAGACAAAAACTAACAACACCCTGCCGATTGGGCGACTGTGGAAACTGACGGACCATCTCGAGATTTCCATCCACCAAGGATGGCCCAGTCCCGGTGACAAGAAACAGCGCCGGCGTGAAGGACCGCAATATCGGCATCCAGTTCTTCTTGCTCTTACACTACCTAAGAGACTCATCTAATCCCGCCCATGAATATGATCCTCATGCTTCGGCATAACAACGGCACTGGAAATGGAGGATGATAACAAGGAACGACAACAAGCCGAACTCCTGGACAAAGTACACAGCCTGAGCGACCTCGAGCTCGCCGTCCTTCTCTCCCTCATCGCACGGGAACACTGCCTGATCAGCACCGAACCCGACTTTGTCGAGGACCTATCGGAAGAGCTATGTCTGACCGCCGTCAAAACCTTTGGTCTCACGCCCGTCATCGTCCCATGTCACCCGCAGATGACACTCGATGAATTCGCAGCAGCACTCTTAGTCCCCGTCACTCCACCAAGCTCACCACTGCCCAACAACAGCAACAACCCCCAACACCACCACTCCCACCGCTCTGTACCTTCCGGCTCTGGGTCATACTTTTCCTCGAAACAAAATGTTCCCGGCTCATCTTCTTCCGCCCACCCGCCACCACCATCACAGCAGCAACAACACCCACCGGCAACGCAAATAGCCAACGTTGTCCTCGCCCAAAACCTCGACCATGCCCCGCGCGCCGTGCAAATCCAAGCCCTCGAACTCCTGCGCGCGCGCCGCCTTTTCACTCGAACGAGCGTCCAGACCGCTCCGAAGCAGTTCCTCTTCGTGGCCGTAGTCGGCGCAGAAAGCGGCGGACAGGCGCGAGTCACTCACCACCTGAACGACTTACTCTACCTTGCGCACTGGCACGATCCGGAAGATGGTTTCGCCTACCTCGAGGAACAAGCGGAAGAAGGATGGGCCGGTACAGGTGGTTTTGGCGGGCATCTGGGAAAATTGGGTGTTGCGAACAACAACAACAACAACAACAACGACGACGACGACGACGACGACGATGGCGACGACAGCCCTTATGCCAAGGCCGATGATGACCAAGTCTCGACCGACTCGGGAAGCAGCGTTGTCAAGAGGGGCGTGGGAAGCATGGCAAACAGTGGTTTAATCAACGAATCCTATCACTCTGCCCTTAGCGGACCTGGTCTCGGTCCAGGTCGCTTGGGAGCTGGAGTGTCCCTCTCCCCCCAACTCACCTTCCACAGCAACGATCCCACAGCCGTCGGTCCAACCGAAGGTCTCGAACCGCCACTTCTCTCCGATTCCGAAATCGCCCACCTCGCCCAACTCTCACTCAATGTATGCGTGGACATCGACGTCCGCCGCTACCAAATGAACATTGTCGCCTTTTTGCGCATGCACCGGGCTGTTAGCGGTGGCATCACGCCCCAGGCGACCAAGCATTTCGAACAGCTTATGAGGAGCTTGGCGCCGCTGCACGGGTTGGATTTCGTCACGCCGGCGCTGGTTGGGTTGGCGGCTAAGAAGGTCTACCTGCACCGCATCGAGATAGTGGCATCCCCCGAGCGGGAGAGGAGCATGCAATGGGGCAGCGAGCCGGCGGCTGTTGAAGCCATGTTAGAAGGGGTCGGGCCGGAGGAGGTGATTGAGGATGTACTGGGGATGGTTGCTGTTCCCCAGTAGGGAGGATTTGGTGGTGGTGGTGGGCGAGGGGGTGAATGATGGAGGTGGGTTATGAGAAGGAAGAGGCGGGAGGGATGAATGTTTAATCGTACTGGAAGGGGGCATTGGGACAAGGGGCCAAAACAGAACAGATCTTGAATGGGTGGGAGCAATAGGCGGTGCAGACAAAAAATTACATCTTAATTAGGACAAAGCTACAAGCTACCTTGATCACTCATCATCCCATGAGGTGGTTGATAGCCCTTATATCTATGATTTTTATCCCAAGTGTCATCCCGTCCCAACTCGCATTGTGCTGGTTTAGTTGGTACTTTTCTTTCATCAGTTAGCGTTGGCGTTTCCCATTTTCTGTCATCCGATCTCTGCGTTGTATAAACCCATGATTGATCGTTCGTCGATTACCCCTCTCCCCATGTTTGTATTGAAGTGATGAAGCACGTATTATCATCTGCCCAGTCGATGGAGCAGCATGGTGATGGAGAGCGTCCACCAACACTTTCGTGACGTCTCTTGAAGTTATAGAAGAAAATACATGTTCATCGTCAGGTCGGTCAGAAGCTTCCAGCTAATCAGAGGCAATTTAGTGGATCTCCTTGATCTTGCACTTCCAGCCGGAGGACTGAGAAAGCAATGGCAAGCTGGAGCAAGGAAAAAAAATACCATGTTAGCATCTCTATGACCTAGGAAGGAACAGCACCTAAAATGCATTAACTTACCTAGCACCAAGGCACCAGCCAAGCTCGTTATCCTTGATCTTCTTCGCAATCCTGACCTCGCGATCAATCGGCATCTCGTAACCCGTGTGCGTAAGCGCAAGCATAAAGTTGAGATCCATGCAGTGCTCGGGCCTATCGCTGAGCTCCTCCAGCGCACCAGGCACGCTGGTGAATACATCCCAGCTCTGCTCGCCGCCGCACACCTGGGCGGCCAGGTCGTGCATCTCGCGGAGGGTGAACGACTCGGGCATGCCGAGCGGCTGGGTACGGTCAGTGAAATAGGACAGCAAGAAAATGTCCTCGCGGGCGAACGTCTTGGCGATCTGCGGCTGGTGGACGCCGTTGAAGGAGCACGGGGCAAGCTTGCACTCGGCATCCTTCTTAAGGATGCGCTCGGCCAAGCTGCGGCACAGGGCGGGGGCCGGGGTCGAGGGGCCCGTCATGTTGAGCTCAACCTTGGGGCCGAGCGGGTGGCTGTCGCCGAGGGGCACCTTGACGGTCTTGGTCATGCCGGTCGAGAAGCAAGGGTTGATGACGGGCTTCTGCATCCACGACTTGTCCTGCTTGTTAAGCTCGAAGAGGTCGTTGACGAGAGTGGCGAAGATGGCGTCGCGGGCCGACATGAGACCGTAACCCAGATGCGAGTGCTGGTACAGGTCGAACTTGCGGCCGCCAAAGTTGAGCTCGTACTTGTGGTCGCCGTCGGCCAGCTTCTGGGGCATGCCGCCGCTGGCAAGGCCCTCAAAGGTAGGCTCGAACACGATCTGGGTGGAACCGCCGCCGAGATCGAAGACGGCTGCGGTGGGGCTGTGGTCGGGACCGCCGATCTTGCCGAGGAGGTAGTTGACCGTGATCCAAGCGTAGACACCCTCGTCGGCACCGTCCATCATGGCAACGCCATGCTCCTCCTTGGAGACCACGGGGAAGGGGTAGTCGTTCTCAAGGTGCTCGCGGACTGCATCCAGGATCTTCTGGCTCTTCTCGGGACCAATCAGGCGCAAACCGGCGGTAGCCTTGACGGCGACGGGACTGCAGGCCTTGAGCTTGTCGGGAATGACTTCGAGGGCAGCCTGCATCAGGGGGTCCAGACTCTTAGCAGCGGCCAAAGGATCGTCCTTATACGCGCTCAGTCCGCTGCTCTGGCCCTCGATCTTGGCAGTCATCTTGAATAGAACCTCTCCCTCCAGCTCGGGGGCGGGGCCGCAGTTGTTGAACTTGTAGACGTGGATACGGGAACCAGTACTGCCGGCGTCGATCATGGAAACATACTGCACGATGGGTTTCTCCTTGGAGAAGGATCTTGTGCATCGGTCGGTGCCATAGGACGCGTCGGAGGGTACTTGGCCCTGGTTGCCTTGAGAAGGGCCTGGTGAAGTCAGGTTGTAAGTATTTGGACTTGTGTAAACCAATTTCGTAGTAAGATGCTTGCTTACCTCCATCGGCACCAGAGATTTCAACGCCTGATGGGGAAAAGAGGTAGAAGAGGAAGAGAACGGCAAAGACGATTGCGCCCGTCTTCAGGTAGCGCGCCTTTTGCGACTGCGACATCCAAGCGTTCTGCATCCTGATGAAGACGCTTGCCGGTTCCTGATTGTGCTGGTCACGGCGGTAGCGGTCGGGCTTCTCGTGGGGATCGTGAGCTACGTGCTTGGTCGGCAGGGAGACCGACGTGCGCCTCATAGGGAAAGGGACCGAGCCACTTATGAATATGAAGATGGGGGGGTGGAGGGACAAGAGTTGGTCGATGCGTTCAACCTAGCGAGGAACGCGGAGATTCGAGGAGGTGAGGACCTAGCGGGATCTCCAACTGGGTGGGTGGGCCTGGTCGAGACTCCGATAAGTAGCGATAAACCAGGTTGTTTTTTAAGCCGTTGCACATGCCAGACAAGAAATAGGTACAAGAGGTCAACGACAGACTAGAATGGGCCAAAGGCAAGAGTGGGAATTGAACTAGAAACTGTGATAGTTTACAGCGCTTTGTGGTTGTTGTTCGTCGACATTCAAGACTCAGGTCCAGATGGGATCTGATTTCTTTTGAATAGGGGTTGAGGATTCAGCAGTGGGTTTGGGTCTGAAAGCTTTCAGCACATCTTCTAGGTTGACGCTGCAGGTGGGAGATTTGGCTTGTTGGATCTTTCCGCTTTCTGGCAGAATGTTACACAAAAAAGTACAATTCAGTGGCAGGCCGCCCCTGGGACGAATCGTGAATCTTTCCTCCCGCTCTCCGGTAACGGTGCCTGAGTCTTTCTCATACAGTGGTGGTTCTGCGGATGCCAGGTGCCCCCTGGACAGCGCGGGTCTGGATGTGGCGTCGCGCCAGCCGGTTCGGGCTGTAGCGCGGGACCTGGCGGGACGAACCCCTGCTTGACAGCCAATAAGGTTCTCAGGTCCCCAGACTTCCTTGTAGTGTACTGCGAATAGGGGCCAGCAATGGAATTTGTTAGTGATGGAATACCTACAACACCTACTGCGTAGAGGTTCCGAGGAGACTCTGCAACTTGTTGCAGCCATGCCGGATCATCATGATGGGTGTGACTGTATATACAATCACAGATTCTTCAAGGCGCTTAACTCTTTGGTGCCGCCTCTTGAGTAAGGACTGCTGATACAGGAGACACATGTTGTGGTGATGATGATGCTGACTACAGTACCTACATAGGTGCTGTTTGTCTTTGACGTGGCCCAGGCAACTCCAGCAATGCGTCCTCGCCCCACGGCATAGAATAGTGTAGGTAAGCAAGTACCAGGTACCTTGCCGCTTCTTTCGTCTTCCAGAAGGATGATTCCACGACTTCGTGACCACTGTTGCCTCTTTTGAGAACTACCGAGATATAAACACTTAAATACCTATTACTCCCCTTCTTCTCCTCTTTCTCATCCCGATACAATATTCAACGCCACTTTTTATCACTCACGTCGAGTCTTTTGTCGTTCGTTTCCTCGACATACACCACCAATAATACCACGTCCCGTTCGAGTACCGGTACAAACACCAAACTAATTTGCAACATGGATGTCCACCTGCTTGTTTATGACCTCTCACGAGGTTTGGCGAAACAAATGTCCGTCGGTCTTCTCGGTTTCCAGTTAGACGCTGTTTACCATACCTCAATTCAATTGAACGGAAGGGAATATGTGTACGATGGCAACATCGTCTCCATCATCCCGGGATCTTCGCACCTCGGGCGGCCTTTGGAGGAGATGTATCTGGGAAAGACTGAGTGTAAGCATTTAGTCTCGGGACTCGGACTACTCAATAGTTCAATGTGCTGACGGTATTGTTCCAAGTGCCAATGGAAGTGATCGAGGAGTATTTAGACTCACTGAGGGAAATTTACACAGTCGAGGTAAGTGAGGATGGGATCCTACTTGCTTAAAGTGAGAACAGCCATTGACCGCCTCCTCGACAACAACAGACGTATGATCTTTGGACACATAACTGCAACAACTTTTCTAATGACCTAGCGACGTTTCTTCTTGGAAAGGGCATTCCCGACTACATCGTCAACATGCCCCAGACGGTGCTCAGCTCGCCCATGGGACAGATGCTGATGCCTATGCTCAACCAGCAAATTCACGCCAACAAGCGTGGCGGTGGTATTTTGGGTATTCAGCAAAACACCCCTGGGAGCACGTCTAAACCAAAAGCACAGCTTCACCACCACGAGGGCAAGGTTCACAATGTCACCAGCCTGAATGAGCTCCAATCTCTTTTGGAGAAGTTCCAGAACTCATGCGCTGTGGTCTTCTTCACTTCAGCAACCTGTCCACCATGCAAGGTGCTTTACCCTCTCTACGATGAGCTAGCAGCTGAGGTAGGAGACAAGGGTGTTTTGATCAAGGTTGACGTCTCGGCCGCCTTTGACGTGGGAAGCGCGTACTCAGTCAGCGCAACACCTACGTTTGTCACCTTTTTGAAGGGCAAGCAAGAAAACCGATGGAGCGGTGCAGACCGAGGAGCGCTGCAGGGAAACGTGCGTCTTCTGGTTCAGATGGCGTGGCCAGCTCATGCGCACCAGTCTTTGAGCCTCCCAACGTTCTCGAATCCTGGAACGAAACCGGTCCTCTACACTAAAGTTCCGCCGCTGGAGAAACTGCTTGCGAAAATGGGCTCAGACGCCGAGAACCCAGCAGTCCAGGGTGTGAAACACTTTATCGAGGCTCGATCGCAAGACGGGCCTGCAGAGGCGACACTGCCCGATATGGCCGCCTTCACAACCTTTGTGCGCCAGTCAATCAAGAACGTACCTACGGATACCCTCTTTACGGTCGTCGATTTGATGAGGATCGGTCTTGTCGATCCTCGCTTCAGCGGATATCTGGCCGAGGAGGTGGTACACGGGACCGTTACAGCGCTGCTCGAGCACGTCAACGACCTGAAAGAGTGCCCATACGCTCTTCGCTTAGTTACCCTACAGATGGCTTGCAACCTCTTTTCCAGCCAATTGTACGCCGATGAGGTTCTCAGCAACGACAAGCTACGAACTTGCCTCACGCAGCTCGTTTCAGCCAGCTTCCTCGACGACAACCATAACAACGTGCGGGTAGCAGCGGCATCTCTGCTTTTCAACATCGCGCTGGCGAACAGTCGCAAGAGACAGGATGGGCCGGGCGACGTGCTTCCGCAAGACGACCAGATCGAGCTGGCAGCCTCCATTCTGGAGGCCATCGCCCAGGAAGAATCTTCGGGTGAAGCGCTTGAAGGTATGCTGTTGGCTTTGGGATACCTTGCCTATCGGATGCCACTTGACGGCGAGCTCTCGGATCTGTTGAGAACTATGGATGCTGGGAACAGCATACTGGAAAAGAAAAAGGCTTTCCCTGATATGAAGTTGATTGATGAGGTTGGGAGCGAGTTGTTGGGGAAGGGATTGAATAAGTCCTAGACTAGAGAGGTGTGCATGGCGTTTGGTGATCGTGTCACGGAGGTGTTACCTGCAGTTACAGGAGTTTGCGTGTTGTCTAGCGTTTAGGCGTTTTTGCGAGGTGATGTGTGGTTCTGGCACACGGTTGTTCTCTTGGTTGTTGGTTGCTGGGTTGTGTTGGGAATTATCGTTTTCAGAAACATGTCGCTCGGATGGCGGCGTCTTGGCCGCCGAATGTTGCATAGAAATATCGAACAAGAAGACGTCCACTCATGCGCGGTATGTACTCTGTTGTTTGTCTTCTTCGGCGTCCATGAGTTTCGAGATACTGCTTACTTTGTCACCAGCTTCGAGCTTTTGAGTGAACTCTGCTTGAAATCAAAGGGAAAAACCTACTGCCGAAACCTGATCTGGACTTCCCCAACCCCAATGACGTACCACAGAGAAAGCGCGATCCAGTCTTGTTGATTTGGTGATTAAGTAACGGGAGCTGCCGTGGCAGGAAGAAAGACTCCGCCTGCCAAATGCACGTCAACAAACGGCCCACTAAACCCCTTGCAGAGCCCAGCCCATCTTGGCATCGAGGTCCTGTGGTACACGATCTCTGGTAGGGCAGGTCCAAACGTACCTGCATCCCGAGCTACTTGCATCATCGAAATTCTGCTCCTAGCTCGCAGAATCTGGGGGAATAAGCATTGAAACCTTTGAGGAGCAGGTTTGTGAACTTTCCTGCTTTTTCTCTCCATCACTGCCCACTGAAGTCGCAATTTTGCTCCCCAAGCACCTTCAGCACGTATCGCGCTACCGGTTGTTTCTACCTGACAGCACGAGCGCGAGTCTCCCCCGGATTCAGCGCTACTGCAGGACACCAACACCATCCTTGGTTCGCCCTGGCAACTGCAACCCAGACGCCCCCCCCATTGCAGTGTAAATATTGACCCGATCCCTGCTCCCTTGTCACCAAAAGCATATGAATGTGGAAGTTGTGCCGTGCCGTAGGGCGCAACGAGCCTTCCCTTACACACGGCAGGTAGGTAGGTAGTCACACAGCTTCCACTTACAGCTACCTCTACATACATCTACCACAGCAGCAGCAGCAGCAGCAGCAGAGTCACTACACCTAGGTGCCTTGACCTCACCTGCCTTTGTCAGTGTGGGTGGGCATCCAGGTTGGTGGTCTTCAATAAGTGGAAGCAGCAGCACCCCTCCCCAGCTCCCGCCCGACTACCTTACTTACGACTCGATCATTCAAGGATAGCATCCATCTTACATGTTCAACCTTCTTCGGCTGCGCTTTCGCAACACCATTGTTGATATCGAAGATACTTTATACGACATATCTTTGGAGCCGCGCCTCATGCCGAACTCCCTCGACGTCCACCAGCGGCAGACCCGCTCCAATGTCTCGACTCCGACTTTGCGTCCTCGAGATGACACGGCTTTATCTTTCGTTCCCAAGGACCCCGGGGCAAATGTACGGGTGGTGGTGAGAGTAAGAGCATTTTTGCCTCGCGGTAAGTTGGAAATCCATGTGTTCATTTTATCACCAGACACTGCTCACTCCTATGCTAACACGTATGCTTATCATAGAACTCGAGCGCAATGCTAAATGCATTGTTGAGATGGACCCGGCAACAGAACGAACATCCCTTCTGGTTCCCCAGGAGACAGACTTCGCTAATGCTCGAGGTGCCCGGTCTCGCAGGGTACTGGAGGAGAAGTCGTTTACCTTTGACAAAAGCTTCTGGAGTCATAATACAGAAGACGAGCACTACGCGACACAGGAGCATGTCTACGACAGCTTGGGCGAGGAATTCCTCGATCACAACTTCGAAGGATACCACACCTGTATCTTTGCCTACGGTCAGACTGGCTCGGGAAAGTCTTATACCATGATGGGAACGCCCGATCAACCCGGACTTATCCCCAGAACTTGCGAAGATTTGTTCCAGCGCATTGCTTCCGCCCAGGACGAGACGCCTAATATCAGCTACAATGTCAAAGTCAGCTATTTCGAAGTTTACAATGAACATGTGCGAGACCTTCTCGCTCCCGTCGTGCCCAACAAGCCGCCATACTACCTCAAAGTCCGCGAATCTCCTACCGAGGGCCCATATGTCAAAGACCTGACCGAGGTTCCCGTGCGAGGTCTCGAAGAGATCATTAGGTGGATGCGTATTGGCGATAGAAGTCGCACAGTAGCCAGCACCAAGATGAACGACACCAGTAGCCGCAGCCACGCCGTCTTTACTATTATGCTCAAGCAGATCCACCACGACCTGGAGACAGATGATACCACAGAGCGCAGCAGTCGTATCCGCCTTGTCGACTTAGCTGGCAGCGAACGAGCAAAGTCCACCGAGGCCACTGGCCAACGCCTCCGTGAGGGGAGCAATATCAACAAGTCCCTGACCACTCTGGGGCGTGTCATCGCCGCACTTGCCGATCCAAAGTCAAGCGCAAGCCGCCCTTCTTCTCCTGTAAAATCCGGAAGAGGACGAACACCAGGGCCAGCCAACTCAGTGGTCCCCTACCGTGACAGCATTCTCACCTGGCTCCTCAAAGATTCCCTTGGCGGCAACTCCAAAACCGCCATGATAGCCTGCATCTCCCCCACCGACTATGACGAGACGCTCTCGACACTCCGCTACGCCGACCAAGCCAAGCGCATTCGCACCCGTGCCGTGGTCAACCAAGTCGATGGCGTCAGCGCCGCCGAGCGCGACGCCCAGATTGCCGCCATGGCCGCCGAGATCCGCCAGTTACAGTTGGTTGTGAGCGACAGCCAAACCCGTGAGAAGAGCGCTCTCAACGCCGAACAGCAGCTCGAGGAATACCAAGCGCGTGTCCGAGGCCTGCAGCAGCTGATGGAGGAGAAGAGCCTGGTGGCCGAGGGCAAAATCCGGTCTCTACAAACGGAAAATGAAGCGTTGCGGTTGCATCTCAAGTTGGCCTTGGAGAGTCTTCGCAACCCTATCAAGGTGTCTTCGTTCCCCACTACCTCGCTGGCCATGTCCGCGGGGGACGCGACCGTGCCGCTGATGGCCATGGGTGAGGTTAGTACCGCCCACGGCCGAAAAACGGAAAATAAGTTGGTGGACGACCCCTTCGTTGACAGCGGCAGTGGCGTCACCAGTGATGATGATCAAGGCCTCATTTATGAACATGACGATGATTATGACACTTACGAAGAAGAAGACGACGACGACGAAGATACAATTGATCTCAGCGAAAAGGCTCATGACATGAACGAGTATATGAGTGGTTTGCTCAAGGATTTGAGCATGTTTAGACGCAAGATTGGGGATGATAAGACGAGGTTTCTGGATGAGTTGGGCGTCAGGAAACCGCTGGGAGTGAGGACTAACATCATATGATGACGAAGTTGGTCTGGATTCGACATGGTTTTGGTGAACGGATTGATGGGATAACGCAAGCAAGCCAGGAAGGAGTTTACGGACGGCGTTTTACAAAGGTTGAATGTATGGTTCAACGAGTTTGGTTTTGGTGGCGTGGATCTGTGGCTTGAGGAAAATGAGAAGGCCTTCATAAGGAAGAAGGAAAGCGAGGAAAGGAAAGAAAAGGAAAGCAGGTAAAAGCCATGGCGATGAGTGGAATTTGGCCTGGACAAGGCGCGGCGGTACGGCATTTGCTTTCAACTTCACATTTTCTTTCTCTCATCGTTGTCTTCATTATACACCGAAGTTATGTACAACTTCTGACTTGGCGTGGTTCCGGTTTTTCTTTGGCGATATCTGTACTTCTTGAACTTCTATTCCCCGGGTATATCGTTTTTCTGCGGTCAATATGGGGCATAACAAGCATTATGCTCCATCAAGGACTTTTTAGGTCTCAATCCGTCAATGGAACTTGATTGACACCCGAAACAAAAGAAGAGTATTCCCAGAACGACGTGATGTGCATCCTCATTCATCTCTCTCTCTATTCACGACAATGCCGAACTGAATAGATGAGTATGCGCCAGGACGGGCTGGTGACCGAAGCCAGGAAACTGGCATTATTGTAAAACAAAAACTCAATACGCCGCCTCCTTCCCGTCATTTTCCTTACCCATTTTCCATCATCCTTATCTCCTAGAACAAGTGAAAGTACTCCAAACTAACGCCAAACTAATGCCATCCATTCCTACATCCTGCGGTTCGTCCATCTTTGTTGTCCTGGGGAGCATCTGGAATCATGAATGAATATTTGGATCCCACTGCACAGAACGGCAAACGCTTTTCTTGGTTCCCCCGGTGCCTCTGCAATGCTGCTCGTGACCGGCCGATATCATCGCCGCCGCTATTTCCGATTTGCCCCCAGTTGTTGCAATCCCCCACTACAGTTTCGCTTGCGGTGCGCACATGGCGTTGTGCTAAACAAGAGGAACAAGCGATGCCTGTGTACTGACAGGTTGCTTCAGAAGGTTCAACGAGCACGCCGAGGCATCGTGGCGGTGTGTCGAAAAACTGCACCTCGATCTTGAAGAGGAGGAGAGAGGCCTCTATTTTTTTATTTTTTTTTTTGGCTCTAGTTACGCTTCTGGTAACTCTTCCTGGTGTCCTACTTCTCCTCATTGATCCGCCTGTTGATCTGCCTGGTTATTTACCCAGTCCTGGACATTCTTTTGCGACTCTTTAGCACCGACGCGGGTGCGAGGAATTAGCATCGTCCTGCGAGGGGCCCCGGGAATCTCGGTGTAATCCCCTGTCATAGATGGCTGGTCATCCACCCAGTCCTGGACATCTTGACCTTGCACAGGAGGGGAGGGACTGCATTCTTTGGTGGCGATTTTCTTCTTTGGGGATGATACTTCCCGCGAGAAGGAGCCTGAGCTTTCTGTGCTGTCCGCAGATGCTTGTGTGTCCAAAGAGCCCTCCTTAGCATTTTTCCTTTCCAGGATTGGAATCTTGATAATACGTGTCTCTCCTTCAGAGCTGCTGCTACTGCTGCTACCACTGGAGTTGGAGGAGGAGGAGGAAGACGGCGCTCGGCGCTTTCGGTTGTTGTTGGTTGTGTGCCTGACTTTAACCGGCTCTGAGATGAATGGCTCAGCATCGCTGTCGCCATCCGTACCATTCCCGGCCAAAGGTTGCCCGTTGGGCATCACAATCTCCTTTTTTGGTTCCTCCGACTCCAGCACGCCCGAGTAGAGATTCATCTCGATGACCTGCGTGTCGACCTCCTCGTCATCATCAATCTCAATTCGAGCAGCCTTGGGGTCGGCTGCCATCAACTCTTGCGTCTCGCGATTCGCACGGGCCATCTCCTCTAGAAAGCCGGGGAGCTTGCTGGCAAGCTCGGAGTTTCCAAGCGTGGAAAAATCAACCCGCATATCAGGCTTGCGGGCAGGGTCAGCCTGTTGGGCGGTGTGAGGGCGAAGGTCAACGACTTCGTCCATGGCGTCGTTCATCTTGGGCCGAAATGCCATGATGGTCATTTCTCAAGAGCTTGGGGACCAGGGCAATGTCGTATGCTGAAGTGAGGATTGGTGTGAGTGAACTGAGAACTTAAGGGGGTGAAAACGAAAGTTTCTGGAACGTATCGGCAAGAAATGTCAGTGGAAATTGTGGTGAAGTGGACGAAACTCAACGTACAGGGTTAGGGAAGCCCAAGTTGCATGACGTCGAACAATTGCTGTTCGAGACGTTACTTGTCTTCAAAAGTGTTGACGTGTCAGTTCTCGCAGCCGCCACGCTCGATTACAAGCCGGGGGAGTGTGTTAGTCAATGAACAGCTCGTGGGTGTCATGATGAGAGTGAAGGTGATCTGAACTTGGGCCTCGGCCTGGGATGACAGACGGGAAATTCAAGTGGATCCATACAACCACAAATCCTGGCGTCGCCCCGGTCTGCAGGTGCCGAATTCCTAGGTATGCTTCAGCGGGGTGCTCTGTTCGTTCCCAGCACCGTTAGCGGAGAGGAATTCCACTAACAGATATGAATGAGAAAGCCCGGTGTAGCCTGTTATAATACTAGGTATTAGGAAGCATCTCCAAACTTCATTTACACCGAGGGAGATGGTAAAGCCGCACTCATACCCGACATAACTGTCTACATCGCCCTTCTAGCGTTCACTAGGTATGTGTTGAGTTCGGTGCTATCACATCTATGTACAGGCTATTATGATCACGCGTTGATACAACATACCCTCTGTTGTTGTTATCAGGTCCGCTTTGGTATAGTGAGAGTTCCGCGTAGCCAAACACCGACTTCCAATTACCATGATACTACACCTACAGAATAGCAACAGCGTTCCAGATATACTGCCGGCATTTAGGGAGTTCAAGTACAGCAACTTTTACGACGTCTTCTTATCCAGACCAATGCTTTACATTAGGTAACTATCCCACATACGTACCCACAGATAGCTTTCCTTATAGATGGGAATGCCGCAATCTTTTCCATATCGTGGGATTTGGCACAACGGCCTCGCTCCTCCGCACCCTCCACACAACTGATACAAATCTCGAAAGGACCCGCCGTTCGTCTGAGACCGTTGAAACGATGTCGAGCATGTGTGAGTGAGTCTGGCTTGAGAGCCGGTGATGTGACGTCTGCCAGGGCGGCTGTTGGTGGTTGAAACCTGGGGAACCTGATCCCCTGTCGCCTCTCTGACACCCCTCGTCAGCTGAAAGGCAGTGATAGTGTTTCACCTCGTCGGTCCGGAACGACACAGCATCCAACTGATGGAACGCGCAGAGGTACGGTAGCGATAGCCGCCGGCTCATTTGTTTTATCGTCACCTCAAACTTCTCCAATTCTGTCTCTTCATCTGTTCGTCCGATGTTCCCATTGACCACAGGGCCTTATTACATCTAAAGTCTTGAATCAACTCATCATTTGTTAACGGTGACAGCCCAATAAAGAAGCCAACCAGCGTTGGCCATCACATTCGACACTCACAAGATCACAGCAGCAAGCTGTCGCAGATTCCTACTATAGGCTCATAGCCCCTCCCCCTCACTTATTGCTTATGTACCTCTAGGGGTAAGGTAGCCACCCTCCTGAACCTACCCTCAGCAACACCACTCTCTCGACCCTTCCCTTTTATTCTCAAGAAATATATATTTATCCCTCCTCTCACTTAAAGTCGGTTGGAATCTGTGGTACCGTGGGTCATCATCAACCTCTGGCATCACCCAACTGTATAGAAAGACACCCCACTCGGCATCACTCACCTCCTCTCGAAATAATGTCATCAAGACCAGGTCTCTTCACGCGCGGCCTCTCCGGCCTGTCGCAAAGTAACGATGTCAGCGTGAGCTCGCCAGCTGCGGAGCGGGATGACGCGAAGCGCAACTTCCTCAAGACGATGCGTCCTTTGCCGACGCAGCATTACTGGAACATTTGGTTCGATAGGTATGTATTGAAAGTCTGTATGCATGTGCAATGTACAGTAGCTTCTAACATATCGCATCTGTACAGACCTGATAAGGACCAGCAGGGCAAGTCCGCCGATGGTAGCTACCACTCGAACTTGGAGAAGCTCGGGTCCACGATCGAAAGCGTCCAGGATTTCTGGCGCTACAACAATAACATGCCCATCGAGAACATCAAAATGCGCGAGTCCATCTATCTGTTCAAGGCCGGATTCAAGCCTGTCTGGGAAGACCGCCGCAACATTCTCGGCGGTAGCTGGACCTTCCGCGTCCCCAAGGCCAACGGGGCTGATTTCTGGACTCGCGTACAGCTACTTGCTATTGGAGAGGAGTTGCAGGATGTGCTCGAAGAGGGTAAGCTTCATATTCTTCCCTAGTTTCTACCTTGATTTCGAGAGTGACCTCAGTTTTGACAAAAAAAACTAATGAAAAAAAAACAAAAAAGGTGACCAAATCTGCGGCGTAGGCCTCTCGGTCCGCTTCAACGCTCACCTGATCTCCATCTGGCACCGTGACGCATCCAAGCAAAAGTCCGTTGACGCCATTCTCCAATTGGTTCTCACCAAGGCCATCCCGGACGATTTTCCCCCACTCAAGCCGGATAACTACTTCTACAAGAAGCACTCGGACCATGCGGGCTTCAACCCTTCGCCGGAGATGCAGGCCGTTCTGGACTCGCAAAAGGCGAGGGAGCAGCATGCTGCCGCTGTTGCGAAGGCCCAGGCACAGGCGGCCCAGCAGACGACGGCCCATCAAGGGAGTCAGAGCCAGCCGGAACCACCCCAGATTGTTGAGGTGCCGCCTTCGGGCGAGGCATAAGCTTGGATAATAGAACATGACCGTCGTTGTCAAAGGCGACGGCTTTATCAATAGTAAGGCTGTTGCTTTGGGGGGTTTCATGGACAAGGAAAGCGGAGACAAATGCAAGGATGCATCCGAACAGGAAGAAAGAAAGAAGAAAGAACAACAACAGAGACGACGTAAACTGAATCCTGCGGGGGAAACAGTTACTAAGCAACAAAACCGAAATGTCCAACTACAAGATTCAAATTTGTCTGATTATACGGGAGGGTAAAGTTGGTTAAGATCTGCATTGTCTTGGGCGTTGGATCAGTTACTAGTGTATTAGTATGGGGGCACGCTTCTTGAATACTGTTTCCAGAAATCTCTCAAGATAAAGTCAGTCACCTGTGTCTTGGGTTTTATTTCTCTTACATGTCATTGCATGAAGCCTCTTTGAATGTCGAGGGTGAAAAAGTTGTAAAGTTTTGAGAAGCATTACTGACTTGGCCCTACCAGCAACGAGGTTTTTCTTTTGTCAGCAAAGCATCAATGAATTCGCCTGGTATATCCTCTCCGGCTAACATGGGCACCCATGAATTCAACCTCCTCCACCCGTCACAGCGCCTTTTTCCTTTCCTCCACCTCCCTCCTAGCAACCCTCTGCTCCTCCCACTTCTCCCACCCAGCCTGCGGCAGATCCTCCTCAACAACCAGGTCCCTGACCCGAAACCACCTAACAACGGGGAAATCCAAGATCTGCCCCAGCAAGCCCGACTGCCGCACCACGTGCGTGACGACAAACCATGCAACCGCACATAGCGTTCCCGCCCCGCAGCCCACCAGCACCTGCTTCTCCGTGTGATACCCCAGGTAGGTGCGGCTCCACGCCACAGCGCCCGCGAGCACCAGCGCCCCCAGGCTGGCGACGAAGCGGTGGGCGAAGGACCAGGGCTCGTGGGCATAGCGCTCGAGGTCGGTGGCGCTGTCGGTTAGGGTCTTGAACAGCGACCCGTTCCCGCTTCCATTTTTTGTAGTCTTCACGTTCGTAACCTGCTTCTTCTTTTCCCTCTGCTTCTGTTTCTGTTGTTGTTGCTGCTCCCTCGGTGTATGCCTCGCCAACAAAAACAGTCCCAACGCCACTGCCCAAAACGACACAAACTGCGCATGGCTGCTGGGCATCCCGTAACCCTTTCCTCCCGTCGAATGTATCCTGGCCGGTCGTTCCTCTTTGATCAGGCGCTTGAGCGCAAAGTTGGCGGCCTCGCAGGCGAGCTGGCCGGCGAACATGAGTATCACTTCGGCTTCGCGGGTGGACCAGATCAAGGTCGCGTAGACGACACAGAGCGCTTGCGGGACGAGGGCGAGCCAGGCGCAGAGGAGGGAGATGGGGTCGTCTGGGTTCTATAAGTTTGGACAGAGAGGGGTTAGTAAACCGTAGTGTAGGGGGAACTGGGCGCGATAGAGGTGAGAAAACTTGAAACGTACGTAGTATACATGGGTCAGGGACAGTGAGGCGAGAGGTGTCACGTTGTCGGCCATGACTGCGATCTAGGAGGGTACCGTAGGTTACGCACAGAGAGTGCGTCTTGGGTGGTCAAGTAGGTGAGTTATAGGGAGGTTAAAAATTGCATTTGAGTAAGGGAGTAAAACCTTGCGGTATCTCAACTTGGATATAGGACCAAAGTATATACAAGTGACAGCCGAGGCCGAAAAGGTGGTGACGGCTTCAATTCTGGAAGATCCATCGATGTGTTGTTGTTGTCCGAAAGCTGGCGGAAGATGCAATACCACTACGTAGAGGAGTAACACCTGCCCGGCCAATCGGGGGCTTTCGAAGCGGAGCCAGCCCGTTGGAGATGGCGTTGTTCTGGGCTATTGCGGCAGCAAATGGCAGTTAAGACACGACCCTGTCGACCTACCATTTTAGGCCTGTGCGCTATCAGGTAGCGCTGTCCGTTGATTTGTCAAGACAACACGGCATCGGCAGGCGAGTCATCTTCGGGGACGGGGACCCGATGGCGGCGAATCTCCGTCACTCGACAGTCAACGACCATCAACCTCAAAATTGCTCTCGCATTCGCGGGGCACCGACAGTGGAAAATAAGATATCAACACTACGGATTCGCCTCCCTTGGCTCAAAATCTCAACCGTACCTACGGAACATCCACGTGGACACTGGTGTACGATTATCGAACATGAAGGGCTTTCCCACCTGCTTCTGACAAATCTACATTTTCCCTTCTCGTCTCTTTTTAGCTCTTTCTCTTGGCATTCCATCTCACCAAAATCCGGACTTGGACTCTCTCACTCCAACTATCTAAAGAGACCTTGAACTCCTACAACCTCATCCATAATTCACCAATCATCATTAAGAGCAAACTTTACTGCATGGCTTTTCCGCTCCGTTCCGCATACCGAACCTCTCTTTTCTCTCAGATCTGCTACAAGTCGTCCAGGTAGCAGCACGGGTGGGCCACATCAACCAACCAAAACACCAAAAGATCTATCCCCAAGTCTTGGCACCACATCGCGTATCGATCGATGGCCTCTTTCAACTACGATGACTCCGACAGCCCCCGCGATACTGAGCTCAGCTCCCTTATAGCGATTTACCCTGAGATCCAGCATCCTCGATCAGACGACCCTTACGCCATCGCCATCGATATCCCCGTCAACCCCTCCAAGCCAGTTCTCGTCTACTTTCCCGCTGCTGCGGATTCAAACCCGGACCCGAGGGCTCAAGGAACCCTTCAGCAGAACGGAGCCAGCCACATCAATGGATCTGCGAGCGGAGGTCCTTCGAATGGTACGGATCGTGTGGGGGGAGCAGGCTCGGCTGAAGGCGCCGGCGCTGGAGCTGGGGCTCTTGATCGTCACGAGGTAGCACACTTGCCTCCTGTTCATCTGGAAATCATCTTCGGGCCCGACTACCCTGCCGAGAAACCGCCGGTCATTACCATCTCTGCGGATCCCCCATGGCTTTCGAAGGATACCATCAAGCGACTCGAGGATGATGGACCGCGGCTGTGGGAAGAAATGGGTCGTGATATGGTTGGGTTCACGTACATCGACCATATCCAGCAGGCAGCCGAGAACGTCTTTGAGCTTGTGGACGAGAAGGGAACCCTGGAGGTTGACCCACAGCATAGGATAGCTATTATGGATTATGATATCCGGGCGCGTCGGGCGGCGTTTGAGAAGGAAACGTTCAACTGCATGGTGTGCTTAGGTATGTGCAAATCTGCCACCTTGAGTCAACAAAAAGTTTACTAACACGCAATACAGATCCCAAGAAAGGCTCTGTCTGTCACAAGATGATCGATTGTGGGCATGTTTTCTGCGTAGAGTGTCTGCAAGACTACTACAACAACGCCATCAAAGAAGGCGATCTCGCCTCTGTCCGCTGTCTAGCCCCCAACTGCACCAAGGAGCGCGAACAAGCAGCCGCCTCGTCTTCAGGGAACAAGAAGCGGAAGAAGCCCAAGACGTACATCAGCCCGAGCGAACTTCTACAAATCCCGCTTGACCCCGAGACCGTGAAGCGTTACGTCACTCTCAAGTACAAAACCGAGCTTGAGTCCGACAAAAACACGATCTACTGTCCGCGCCAATGGTGTAACGGAGCCGCCCGGTCCAAGAAGCACAAGAAGCCGCAAGGACTAGAGCTGAACGAACACGATGAGGACGAGGAAGAAGAGGAGGAAACCAACGGTGTTTCTAAGCCCTACAACGCGACCGACCTCCTGGCCATCTGCGAAGACTGCAACTTTGCCTTCTGCTCCCGCTGCCATCAGTCCTGGCATGGCGAGTTTGTCCGGTGCCAGGCACCCCGAAAGAACGAAGAGCTCACAGCCGAGGAAATCGCTTCACTCGAATACATGAAGTTGCACACCACCCCCTGCCCGACATGTGCGGCACCTGCCCAGAAGACGCACGGCTGCAACCACATGATCTGCTACCGGTGCCAGACGCACTTCTGCTACCTCTGCTCGGCATGGCTAGATCCAGGTAATCCCTATCAACACTTCAACGAGATGCCCGGCGGCAGGATTACCGGGTGTTACCAGCGCTTGTGGGAGTTGGAACAAGGTGATGGCGATGATGTCGGCTTAGGATTCGAAGGCGGTGCCGGTGCTGCTCCCCCAGGTGCTGGCCGTGCTGGTCCCGCAGCAGCAGCAGCAGCAGCCGACGCACCCGAAGCGCCTCCAGGGTTTGAGGGCCTACCGGAGCAACGGCTTGTGGAGCTGCTGATGGCGGACATGGAGGAGAGCGACGATGAGGAGGACGATCTTGGGGGCCCGCCTCCCTTTGGTGATAGAGAGCTTGATAGGCAACTTGCCCAACGTATCGAAGCGGAAGCGCAGAACGGTGCAGGAAGAGGTGTCGGTGAAGTCGCGATTGCGCGCGAAGGACCGCTCGTCCTAAGGATAGACGGAGGCAGGGGAGGTGGAGGTCGCAATCAGCCGGCAGCAGGTCGTGGCCGTGGAGGTGGTGCTGCTGCCGCCCCCAATGGTCCTGCCGCAGGTGGTGGACGTGGAGGACGAGGTCGGGGAGACAATGCCCGAGGAGGACAAGGGGCAGGGGGAGCAAATATTCGGGGACAACATCAGAATCGAGGAGGTGCCCCGAACAACCGGCACAATAACCGTAACAACCACCCGAACCACAACGGTGTCGGTGCCGGTGCGGCCAGAGGAGGACGAAATGGTGGTGGTGGTGTAGGAGGTGCGGTCAGGGGTAATGTGGGAGGTAGGGCGAGGCCCAATCCTAACGGTCCAAGAATGGACTTTGATAATCCCGATAATGTACAGGTCAACGTGCCTGACGGCATACGACTCGATCCGCAGCAGGAGGCGTGGATTAGGCAGTTTGTGCACCTGGCGCTGGAAGATCAGGAGGACCTGCTTTTCGATGATGATGACTGGTAGGTAGTCAGTCACCGTCACTCGGCGGCCGAAAGGAAACATTTGTACGAGGTTCATGATAAGCATCAACTACAGTTTGTACAGCGGAGTTGAACACAGTGGTGTTTCGTTGGCTTTCATCAGCGGCATATGGGTACAACGGAAAATGATAGAAGATGGATTAGCTACCCATTCTTTGTATATACCCTGACCCCAACAGAAGTTTATGAGAAATTAAAATGAAAAGCGCACATATGTAGTAGTATTACCAAATTCATCGTCACCATCCGATGTATGCGCTTTTTTACTTGGACTTCGTTTCAATACTTGTGTGATCGAAACTCATCAGCCGTATGTATACAACCCTTTCGAGAAGAGAGACGCTTCCCTCTTCAATATCCCCAATTCTATTTGCGTACACCTACCATTCTGACGCTTTCTCATCTTTCCGTTGTTGCTCCACAAAACCTCACTCGCTGTATATTTCCCGAACCGAAGCTGGAAAAAGTCGGGTCGTGTTACATGACTATTTACATCTCATGGCCTTGTGTCCTTACATACCCTTCTATTTTTTTTTCCCACCAATTTCATCTCTCAGTACCGACCTTATGGGTGTGAGGAATCTACACTTCTACGTTTAATGTACCCATAGCGACTGTTGGTCTTATTTTAGGAGCTGGTCTTCATGATCCTCGTGGTAGTTGTTGCAGTCAGCTTTTGTCAGTAGGTACCTCTAGGAACATCAGCGTGCCGCTACTATTCGACTTGGGCGGAGAGGATAACCGCCTGCCACACAAGGCAGTCCAAGCCTGAAGACAGAGATTGGATGATAGTCCAAACTGTGAAAGCGATCTACCAGCTCAAGTGAGCGATTCGTCATGCTTGCTGTCATACCTGTGTTCCCTCCTCTCTTTCTTTTTTCCGGTAATGGAAGTGGCAGACGTCATCACTCCCTTTTTCATCCAGAATAATACATGTATCTGAACTCCAGCTGTTGTTAGACTTGCAGCATTGGTGATTTTGACCGCGGATACCTCAATAATGAGTGTTCCTATTTTCCTGGTACTATCGTCTTTCGTCCATATAAAAACCTTTTTGATGGACGACCATGAACGTGCCAATCTATCTTTATTGGCTCTCCAACACAACAACGCAGAACATGTCAGTCACTGGTGGAATAAAGAAGCAGGTCAAAAAAAAAAAAAAAAAAAAAAAAAAAAAAAAAAAAAGAAAAGAAAAGAAAACCATTAAAGTCCACTACCAACATCAACATTCCACACGAGCGCGAGCGCGACCAACGCCAACGCGACGCTGTGGTTCTAAGTTTGATTTGAATGGCTTCCCAGCCGCCAGCCTTTTCTGCACGATAGTTTGGTTCAAAAGAGATGGCTAAACATCGGGTTCTATACATAGCACATCTGTGTGTCGTCTAACTTGTGTCGGCCTGTATAACTGACTAATCTGCTTTTTGCTGTCTATCTTGAATGGGAGTTACATACCATGTCTGCCGTTAGTATCAATCTTCCCCGTCTCTTCCATGCATCTACATATGAGTATATGAACTTTCACCTCCCTCCCCCCGAGTCGCAGGCTAAGGGATAAAAAAGCAGTGTGATAGACGTACATAAAGAAGCACACATGATATCAATGGCATACATGAACTGACATGACATTAACATTACACATGCCATCACGCAGGAGAAGTCCGGAAGCGAGGCGCGAGGCGAGGCGAGGCGAGGCGAGGCATACCAAACGAAAGGGTAAGTGGAAGAGAAGGGAAGTTACGCTTGCTTTTTCAATTTCGGGATTTGATGGTGGGTAAGTACGAATAAGCAAATGGCCTTGCGAGGAAGGCGGGGGATGAAGAGGAAGCAGAGGTAAGCGCGGCGTGGGTAGATATTGGTTGTGATTTTTTACATGGAGTGTTACCAGATGTACAGATAGCTCCAGAACTTACATACTTGAAGAAAGTGTATGATATTTCCTTCTAGTCACTTCTTTCTTTTTTTTTTTTTTTTTTGCTTGATCATTCATGTACGTACGTTGAAACCGTTTCTGCAATCATCTTGGTGGTTGTAGTTGTCGTGGCCGCCTACCTGGTGGTATCACCTACCTACCGGCTTACCTCTCTGAGTCTGGACGGACTTTCTTGCTCCCGGTCTTCTTAATGTACACCAGCAACTAAATAGAATATGAACTAGGTAGTAGTCACCTAGCCGAGACCCTCGCCAAGAGAGGAGATACTTCTAAGAAAGGCAGGAGCTTATAACTACCGCGATGAACGCCTGCTGTGACCTCTATCGGCAACTTACTTCCACTTTCGTGTTCAACAATCCGCGTTGGTAGTAGTAGTAATAGTTGTTAATCCCATATCATTTCCGAGGAGGGACAACCACTTGAGTCGAGGCCTTGGGTAGGTAGAGGTAGTCAAACGTGCCCCGTTCACGTTGTAACTCAACTGACTGACAGTCGCTTTGTCTTGCAAGAACGACACAACTGTTGCCGTGACAGTGCCGTAGAGACGGATCATGACATGACACACGTATGTACATACCGTCTCATCCCGTCCGAATTGCACGTTGTTGCACCCAGCCAGTGTATGATTGCGGGTGCGGATGGATAACCTGCCAATTCGCAACGCTGCGGCTTGCGGGCTGTTCCCATCCATCGTAACGAAGAGAGAACAGGAGCAACCCTAGCAATGCTTGCTGCCATGTTTTGCTCTGCCATTAGTCCCCTAGCTAAGCTTCGTTCCATGGTTGAACGGGCTGGTTGACTGGCTGACTGTCGTAACTGTGACAGAAGTCGAGGGGATGGTAGAGGCGAGGAAGAGCGAGGAGACGCGGAGTGTCCTGATTGTGCGTGTGACATCCCCATATCCACTCACGAGTCATACTCCTTCTCAGACTCGCCTCGCAGCCAGAAACGATGGGTGATGTTTGGTGTATTGCAACCACCCTCCTTCTCCTCTCAGCCTCCCCCCCTTTCGCCATGTCTCCATCCATCCATCCATCCACCCAAAGTCCCCATACAACCATCCATCACCACCCACCATCCGATCCGACCCCTCTCCCACCCAAAGCCGTCGCCCATCCTTGCCTTTCCTGTCATGCCGCCTGCAGTCGTAGAGGTTCCCCGAGTCCTTGTTGGAGTCCGTGTGCGTACATACTACCCTCTCTTGTTCTGTTTTTGGTCCCTGTAACCATCCTCATGCATTTTCCTCCGGTACATAGCAAGGGACGCTTGTGCGGTACAAGCGAGCTGGTCCCTTGGGTCTCGATCATCACTAGCCAGGTTAAAAAGTAACCTTGAGAGAGAGAAAGGGGAAATGATCATGCCGATACAAGCCAGACCAGAAGCAGGAACGGTGACGCCCTCCCCCCACACAAAACCCAGTTTCTACCTAGTTTCCCTGTCTGTCTGTCTTTCTTTTTTTGGAGTTCCCACCGTGACATCCAGGTTGCTCGGACGATTCACGCTTCAACCCCCCACTGAGCTAGCATCTCGTCACAAAGGCTTGATGCGACAAGAAGGGGGCTTGTCACCGGCAGAACAACCCCTGACAAGACCGGTTCCGTTTGATTCTCGGCGATGGTGGTTACATCGATAGTGTGTACCCCATCAAGCTTCTGGAGATGAGCAGTGTCAAGGGCAGTTATGTCGACAGACCGCCCGAAAGAACTGGGGCCGGTGTGCTTGTGTGTGTGTTCTCGGTCTCTGAACACGCCAGGATGGCGAACAAGACCATATTCTTGCCCTGCTGCGCATAAGGATATCTCACCGCACACCGTTGTTGTGAGGCCATTCCATTTCGGCTTTCCGAGAGCTTTGTCCAAAGGAGAAAGGGAAGGGGGGGGGGGGGGGGGGGTGTCCGCCCCGTCGAGGGTGTCATTCCGTTTCAAGCAAAAGGGAAAATCAGAATGGAGAGAATGGTAGGGTGGTATCCAAATGGATACTATGGTTTGAAAGGTCAGCCAGAAGGGATGACCGTGCTTGGCTCTTCAACGCTGACAGACGCCAGGGGCTGTTACTGTGTAGAGTCGTCGCATTTCGGTAGCTGCTTTCCGCAAGCGCAATTCGAGAACCCAGAGGATGGCCCCGGAACCCTGCTGCTAGCGGGGATGGGACGATCGGAAAACGGTCGCAACTTCACCGCTAACGCTAGTGTGTCTCCGTACCCATCACGCTATAGCCCAGTATAAGCCCCTAAAACCCCTTCATACTCGGCAGCTGAAGACTTTTGCCGAGAATGGAAAAAGACCAAAGACAACGAACAAAGTACACAGAACTCTCTAGAACTCGGCTGAGAAGCGGCAAGCAGTTAAACGTTAGCCATGCTGGGCTCAGGAATGAAACATGATCAAAGGGACTGAAGCTAAGCCGGGTGGTCATGGAGCTGCTAGTCGCTCCCTATCATGAAGTTGACCAAAGCTTTTGGTCCGAGATCCGAGAGTTGAAACTTCGCGGAAACGGTGAAACAGCTTGGCTAGACATCACAGAACTATTGGGTCGACGGACGGAGTTGGACCGTACGCACGGTGATTGATATGCACGTGAAATGACTACTATCCACCCAAAGCCAGTCAGGCGATGACCAGAGAAAGAGTACACACAGGCTATGTTTTTGGGAAACTCCTGCCGATGTCGTGACAGGAACACCAGCATGCCGACAGCCCGCAGAACACAGTATGTAAATTTTGCAGCAACCTGTCACAGCAAGGACAAGGGCTCGACTATGGTCGTAGTAAAGGCCTTGGCTGCTGGTTTGGGGGAGCTGGGGAAAGGGAAATGAGAAGCGGAGAGGTTAGGATATTGGACCGGAGAGCCAGCCACAAAGCCACTTGCCAGTGTAGAGAAAGCAGAGGGCGGACGTTGGTTGGAAGCCAGGAGGCAGCGTTGCACTTGCACCCGTCCTTGACAATTGAGAATGTCAAGATCGATGATCCCACGTTGTTGTAGATCTGAAAGGTAGTAGTTATCCCCGGCACTGGCCAGTACGACATGGAAGTGTAGCAACTGCAAGAGCCCAACGCCGGCGATGGGACAGAAAGGTCGAGCGAATCCTTATCCTCACTTTGACACCCTATAAACTCGAACCTGTTGAATGTCAGACCGGAGTAGAGCCATTGAAGAAGCGAATGAATGCTTGAAGAATCAGGAAGTGGGTACGGTTGACACGAGCCATTGCCTATGCGTCGAAGCTCCGTCGTTGTCGTTTGTCAATGATTTCGGGTCCCATGTCGTTACACTTTCAGATGACGTTTCCGAATTCCCAGGCAGTACAATGTTGGGCTCGAGGAAACACTCAAGGCAGCAGGGGCAGTTCGTCTGTCCTCAGCTCACTTCTGAGTGGGTCAATGACCCATCCGAAAGGGCCAGGCGCCGGAACAACGGCAACAGAGACGACAACGACACATCATGCACTTGTATCCTACTTTGCAGTATTTGCTGCTATCTCAACCCTTGAAGCTCACTTGATCTAGGGAGGGAGCTTACTTTTCGAAAGGAGCCATTGGCTGAGTGAGGCTCAGATCTGGTTTTCTCCATACTTGGCCTCTGCTGATGGCCGAATGCCATGGAGTGTCCTCATGGACCGAAAACCTGAAGAACGAAATCAGTCAAAAGCGGAAGGTGAGTCGAGATTCGAGGGCGCCACACCTTGTTCTGTTCGCTTCGCACTTTCATTGGCTGGTAAAAGTATCGCGTCGCTGAATCGGCCCTTCCAGGCTAAAGTCGGGTGGCTTTGGAGTCAACTCCATGTAATTTCGGGACCCATCTTATACGGGCTGCGGGCGCCGGAGAGGCCCCAGATTCGCTGGGATGAGGTGACGTCCCGCAATGGAAGAGAGCACCAACATTGTAGTCGTAGGTCTACACTGTTCAATGTTCTTGAGTGACAGGAAGCTCACCTAGCCATGCTCGATTTGCTGAGCTAGCTCTATTGAAAGCTGTCGTTGTAATTGTCCAATTCGACAGAAACAGCTAAGCACGTGGAAGCCTGACGGATTTCAGACAATGTTCCAGCAAGCGAGCGCAGCGCCGCCGAAAATCGGTTCGTCTTCCAATCAGTCGTCTTGCTTGAGCGTCAAGTGTTTTGATGCAGAAAGTTGTTTTGGGGGGCCAAGAGCGAAAAACAAGAAGCTTGCGTGGGCCGTGATGTGCAGTACATGGGGAGTATGTACTCGAAGCTGGCTGATGTCGAGGTGGCCGTTGCACTGCCAAACAGCGATTTCGAATCAGCCCAGCAGGGCACTACAGTATACAGTGACAGCTTGGAATGTTCTTTCCGCTTTCCAGAACTCTTTCCCTTGTGCCAAGGAGAAACATCACTGCATGGTTTTGAAACCGAGGGCTACAAAGTCGATATGATCCAACGCCTTTCAACCCACAACCTGGCAATGTCATGTCCGGCCGCGGACATGCATCTTTTTCATGTGAGTAATCATGTGTGTTACAACACCAATAATGTCTGTGTGGGCGCCTGCAATGCTGAATTTGGGAAAAGGTCGTTGTATTACCCGTGATTGCCGTGGTAAAATGTTGTGGAGGGGCGGGAGAGCACAACTCTAGAGCACGTCTAGCTTGCTGGCTCACCAGGGCGGCAGATGGCTCACTGGCTCATAGATTTACAGATGTGGTTATCGTCGCCTAGCGTTCCAGTCTCCCTTGGAATTTCTCCGGACCTTGCCTGTCTGAGCCCATCGTGGGTGCCCTAAAGCAGGTATGTAGTCGTAGGATAAGATATGTGGTGTGTAGGAACATAACCTCTACAAAAACACCTCAGTCTGCTACTTCCGAGGTTGGGCCTTGGGGGGTAGATGTACCAACATATGCCCACTGATATCATAAGCCCAGTTTTGTTTGTTTTGGTGATTTGCAAACCTCCTGCGAGGGCCACCGGTATGAATTGTTGTGCAAGACTTGCGAATAAGTAGCCCAACACTGCCTGTACTGAAGTCGGGAATTGTACTTCTTTCTCGAGCCAAAGGTTACTACACTAATGGGACCTTCCGTTGAAGAAGCCCAGAGCTAGATCTGACGAATCACAATTTGAACAGTAGTATGCAGGTGGGCGAAGAAGTCCAAATACATAGGGGGATAAAATACCGCGGTACAAGAAATCTTGGGACCCCTCTCAGGGTCACGCCGTCAGATTATCGTGCTGCATCGCGGTTTGAATGATCCAGCAAAGATGAAGAGGGTCGTTGCGCTTTGGCCCATTCCTCCCCCCCCCCACCCCTCCCGGCGATGAACGACGAGGTAGCGGAAAATAGCGGCAGGAAAGACTTTTCGATTGAGCCGTGGTTCCACGGTGGGTACAGCGATCTTCATCTGAATGGAGCCTTCTGCTCGGAGAGGGCTGCTGAAATGGGTCTAGGCCAATTGATCCTTGCCGAGAGGTTTGCAGTAAACCATCTCCCAACCGCAGGATGATGGCAGTGACTGGCATTTGATGGGTTTTGCGACGTGATGTTTTCTTAGAATATCCCTCGACCCAACAGAAATAGGCAGCCTACAAGGGGTCCATGTTCTATATGGCTTGTTTTAAGGTATCTGTGTTTGTTAGACCGAGTAATGTTCGCGGCTCAAGTTGGATCAACTCAAATTTGAGGTAAGCGATGGGACGCATACATAGGACAAGATAAGGTGTCTATGTATCGTCTCAATCTCGCACTTGGTGGTGATGTACGGTAAGCATACTGTATACAGCAAGACGGAAGAAAAAGCGTGGCTCCTCGTTGGTTTCCTGAAAGTGGATCCCGGGGAGCTTCTGGCTGGGAAGAGGATTTTCGTTTGCCCTCCTTGGACCGTTTAACTGTCTCCATCTTCCGGAGCCCTTCGTCCATCCAGCAGGCAGCAAAGGGTATCAATGCAAGAACATCGACTTTTTGGTGGGCCAATGTTTCGGCACCCCACACGGAGCCAAGAGAGGGGGTCCGGTGTCAGTGTTATACATAGTAAACCACTGATGATGCGAGAACGCAATACCTCGACAAGTTACACCGAGCAAGTCTACTATGGTATGAGCAGGGCGTGGCATCCTATGGTGTACATACATAGATATCTCCGTAGGTCTCCTCCACAGCGTGGCCTTGGAGTAACAGTAGCACGATCTTTGCCGAGGAATGTATCCCATGGACGCGGTTTGTGATATCGCTGTCGGGTGAGCATTGCAATTTGGGTGGTGACACCAAACGATACTCTCACACTCTGTGGCTGCTGCAGTGCGTACGGCGTGCATCGCGCGGAGAACGTGTGAGAGCGAACTTGGAACGCACAGGGGTTGTCGTTTGGTTCTGACTATATTATGGCACATATAGGCATTATACCGGTTGGGTTAAGATAAAGAGCAATGGCGATAATCTCGGTTTGCAGCTTGCGTAGAATGTTGATGCGCAATCCCAGTTGCGCCTTTTCGTATTGTAGTACGAAGGTGAAATCACTTTTCCTCCGAGTTGACTAGTTTGGGTGGAGGGTTGTTCGACTTTGACCTCTATTCACCGGCAAAGTAGTTCAGATGAACAGATAATCTGTCAAACGATCAAAAAAAAAAAAAAAGGTTTAGAACAGCATATTAGCGGCATGTCGAAAGCGTAAGTGAGTTTGCCATGCTTATGCCAATTAGCACCGCGTAATTTGGTCAGATAGATAGATGTATGTGGGTGATGTAGTGGTGGTGGCTTGCCTCTGGGTGCCGTTGCTGCGAACGCTGGCCCGATTCAAGTTTCGTCCGGAGTTAAAGTGTGTAGAGCATTTCCCAAGAAAAGAGACACCTACAGTACATATGGCATGTAATGGACTCATGCTGAAAAAGCAAGCGAGGCCATTGGCTCGAGTTCATCTGGTTCGATAATATCAAGGCCGGGCTGGGTAGCGTAGTGTACACTAAGAAGACATTGAAGAGTCATCAGTCAACATTCACTCTCTCAATGTTCAAGCCGAAAACCCTGTCTGTCAATTGTAATTCGATGGCGTATGGCGATTCGGATCAGTTAGCTTTGTGTTTACTAGGAATTTTGCAGACACATTGATGGCTGCCGAACTAGCTCAAGCCTCGAGTTTGCCAGGCTGACATCCCGCAAGGACACCCCGTCGAGGAACCAGAGCTGGCAAGCACGGCATCGCAGCTTTGTCGCATTGACCATCTGCCCTGCCCGTTCTGGACATCGAAAGCTGGGGCATCAAGAGGATTTCAACTGGTGGCTTTTTGTTCAGAACACAGTGGATTTGGCGGTTCTGGCCGTGTACATGCGTAGCTATGGTATCTTCTGATGGGCCGGGCCGTATGTGGGACGCTCAGAAACAAGTGCCATGCTCTTCGATACGTACTCCATCCTCCATGGTAGGTAGGTGGTGTGCGGCGCTACAGTGTTGGCTTACGTCCAGTCCAAAGGGTCGAACGACGTTGTGATGCGGATAGGTAGGTAGCATCCGTCCCCGGGCAGATCTTGCAAGCCCTGACTTTGCCCAAAGCGTAATCGTGACTGTAACGTTCACCAATGCACGGCAGCGCAGTTGCAGACCACAGTGGTAGCGGAGCGGGCAGCCACCGGCCAGTGCCAAACTGCCAGTGGGGTGTGGAAGTGGTGTACATACACGTACATACCGTGAAAGTAGCTCTGGTACCTACATACCTCTACATACCTAGCCAGCCAGCTAGGCTCCGTTCGTTCCCTTGGTGGTTCTCGTAGTGGGGGTTTTTCTTGGCTGGTGCTGGTCTTGCTAAGCAGTACTCAGCGAGCCCAGATGGTCTGTCATGTCCTCAACTGGAATGGCGGAGTGGTACCTGCCAATGATGCTATGTGCCGTAGCAGCGTAGTATATGTACCCGGGTTCCTCTGTCGGGCTCTCGAGATTTGTTTTGGTGTTGAGGTTGTCTCGCCCGAGGCCATGGTGCTTCCATGTATCTAATCAGGTGGATATTCAATTAGGTTGCTTTCAATTTTGCCCGCTCAACCATTGTCACCTCCCCAGACAGTGAAAAATGTCCGCGGAGTTATTGGGTGACAGGCGGCTTTACACTGGCTCTGGGGCTCTGGCCCTGCCAGGTGCGGATACCTATCTGTGCACTAGTGCGAGGAACACCTGAGGAAAAGTGACCTCGAACTAGGTATGAAGAATTGTGATCAAGACAAGAGGTCGGGGTTTTTGGGGGGGAGGGGGGGTCTGCAACTCGAAAAAGCAAAGGCTGGCTTTTGATTGTTGATCGCGTTGTTGGTTGAGTGCTTGGCCGGTCTGCTGGTCTCCGGGTCTAACCCTAACCTGCCGGTGTGCCTGGATGGGACGCTACCTCCTCTGTGTACACGGCGGAAGCCACTGCAACCGACGACTAAACCCAGGGTGCGGCATCTGAATGATACGCTGGACGTTGGTTGCTGGAGAAAATGATTTGAGATCACCATCCTTCCTAATTCCACAAGGTCTTGGCTCTGTGTGACGGGCGATGCTTACCTCTAGACTTATTCACTGGGCTCGTAGCTGGCCTGAAAAATAGGTAGAATGAGGACTTGGAGTCTGAGATGACTCGCAATTCAACCAAGCGCTTGCGATCATGAAAATTGAACGATTCCCCCCCCGCCCTGCCTTGTGAGCTGCCAAAATGGCATGGGACGGGTTTGTGAGCATGGATCCCTTCGGCGACTTTCCATTGTCGGGGGTCAAATTAAAGGGGAGCACGGGCCTTTGCGGGAACCTTGATCGCGCTTGCTGCGCTTCTTGCGAAACGGCACCACCAAAAGCCGTGAAGCCTCCGCAGCTACATCTTTCCTTCCGAGCACCGGTGGGCCTTGCGGCGAAGGCAAGAGAAGGAATGCATGAGACCTCTACTTTATTGAACTCCCGCCACGGCCAGTAGGTTTTGCGGCCATCACGGTCCCAAGTTCTGTTCTGTCAAATGTGTGGAGAAAATCCGGGTGGAACGACTGACCTTGTCCGGGACTTCAAGAAGATGTACATGTTCCCCACTGTCATGTCCAATTTGCACCGGGTGACTAATAGTTAAATCAAGGGTTGAGGGGTTGTTGTCCACAAAGCCCATTCGCTCAGGACATCGGCCCTTCCATCACTGTACGATCGTGATGAAGCGGTTGTGATATCGAGACATCTTGATATTGAGGTGATGGCGTGTCGGGAATCGCGCCAGCTCGTTTCTTTTTCTGGGGAGCAATATCGCAAAGCGGACACACATCGGGGCATTGCTTATATCATCAGCCATGGACAGCTCGTAGGAGCCTCTCCAATCCCGGATACCTGACCCTCACAAGGCAGGTCCTAAGCCCAGGCAGTTTGATGAAATCGTACACTACTATAGACCATCTAGAGCCACGTCTTGTAGCACTTGACGAACTTGGAGATCGGTTATTAGTGATGGTCAGTATGAAAGGGGGGTGTAATATCAGATGTCATTACTTACCGCATGTAGAGGGATTGCGAATTGGGGAGCCGGAGTGGGATTCTCTCGGTGCGGAGGTGACGTATCGGCGTGCACGTCGGATGATCTCAAGCTCCTCGGATGGCCCGTCGCGGCCGGTATCAGACCCTATCCTCACTCTTGAGCCACGGATTACAATCGATTTACATGTGCTTAATCTTCCTCTTCCACCAGTCTTGTCATCTTCGATTGCCCGTGGGTGGATGAGAGTTGCGCAAGCGCACGCCTTCCCGCCTTCCGCAATGGCCTTGGCGCAAGAGCATGAAATTAACTGGGGGAGCCGGGAACAGTTCTTGCCCACATTGCAGTAGCGCAAAATCTGTTTACCCCTCCTTCCGTCCCTTCTTCCAACGCAGGCCCGCACGGTTCCGATCCGCCGCAGCTCCCAGAATACACGACGGAGATGCTGAGCACTTGTTGCTACTACATCCTCATTGTAGGTATCGGTACCTGTGTACCTATTTTGGTTCGATACTCCAGCAAAGCATGAAAACGATAAAAAAAAGGCGATGGAGACTTGAAAACCTCCAGCTTCCACTTGGGCAGAGAAACTGGAGAGCAGATGGGGCCAGTTGGGCTAGCGTGGGGATCGCCATGACAAACCGAAATACATCTCATGATTCCGATTGTTGAAATGCCTTGTGCGTTCCTTCCAGTTTGTTGAACACTGAACACCAGGGTTGTGGTACGTACCTTCCTCCAGCTTTCTATCGGGCCTGACGTGTGTGCATCTGCCCTCTTCTGAGCTTTGTTCCTTTCTTACCAACTGGGAAATTTTTTGGCGATTGCTAGGTATGGATCGTTGCTGTTCACTTGACGGATGATGCCCGCTGTGTGCCCACCAGAAATTTCTTCAGTTGTTCCGTCTTCAGTTAAGTTGTTAACTGTCTTGTCATCGCCTCCAACTTTAACCAATGAATTTCTCAAACGTTCAAGCTGCCAAACTACAACCAGCTTTCGAACTCGCAATCTTATTCAGCTGCTGTGTGCGGGTAGCAGCTTGATCCTCCTGCGCGTGGCGTGAGTCAAGATGCCGACCTCGTCAATGATTTTCAATCCTTGGCGGGAGATATCACGAATATCGGCACCTCTACGAGCGAGCGACGGCGCTTCGTTCCCCAACTGGGCAAGCGGCCTAATGAGCCGGGGTGCCTCATCGGGCACTTTTGAGGTCAGTCTTGCATGATGTTGTGCCTACCTGACAGTGCCCTTTGTCCTCTTTCAGATCTCGTCAAATTGTCGATTTTCCCCCTCCAGCCGTCTCAACCTCTCTCGCCTTGAGGACGGCGTCATGACCCGACGGGATCTTTGGGCTCATCAGCCTGAACGCCTGGAATCTCGTCCCAACGCTGCCGCCAAGGAGTCCCGAGGGCATGACTGCGTCTGATTCGGACCTCAGATGGCGGGCAGCTATCTCGACTTTGAGATATGGTTGTACATACACATAAGCCGATGACGGCGACGACCGGACAGCCAGATATCATCAACACAAAACCACCTAACTGGTCGAATGTCTGCCATTCCCAACCCAACTCAGAACCCAATGCCCTTGACCTGTAGGAATGCAAGCTCAACACACGCTCCGGAAAGCCAGTACTATACTACGTGCATATTTACACACAGGCCAGCCGAAGAGATGCCAAGATGCGCAGATTGTATTGCGTACGTGCTCCCGTCGTGTCACCAACGCCAGATGCGAGACTATCTAAGCTACACCTCAACGTACGGCTCCTCGTCCACCATTTACACTCCTTTTCGTCAGCCCAGTAGCCAGTCGCAGTCGAGTACATAAAGAAAGATGTAGTGAACAGGAAGGGTGCCAATGCTGTCTGGCTGCGTCACGGCGGCAGTGGACGCTGGTTGATGGTCATGGCGCCCAAACAGGGGTCGAGGCCTGGTGTGTCGATGGCTGCTGCGAGGCACACAAGTCGAAAAGCAAAAAAAAGAAATGGACACTTTTGATGGCCCGTCTCGTCCCGTCAACGCCGTCCTTGCGTTGGATGGTTACTTTCGCAGTACCTGCCGACAACAAGCCACCTGCCTCCATCACGGACCCCCTCTTCGGCCCCTCTCCCCCCTGGTTCCAGGCACAACCCTACCAGGCCCCCATCATCTCTTGAGCCCTTGAAGCTTGAGTACCCCTACCCCCTACCCCCTTTCGGGAATGTCGTCAAGTGGTGCCGTTTTTCCTACCTCCGCATTTCACTTCCCTGCGAACCGAACCGCAAGCCAAAATCGCACTATGCTGGATGTAGTGTACACTGACAGTACACAGCACCTTTCTTCCCCAGTCCTTGCTAGATCGGCCCACCCGTCATAGGAAGGCCGCGACCGTTCAAGTGCCTTGTCAGGTTGCTCTGCCGAGATTCGGAACACATCGGGGTAATTTACCCGTACACTACTCATGGGCCACCCATCGCACAACAAGGGAATCAAGGCAGCAGGACTGTGGACCAAAAAGAACAAGCTCGCTCGGCCGCCAGCCAGTTGCCATTCAATCGAACTAATGTGCTGATGTCGCAAACCTTCTTCACGACAAACCATGGTCTATCAAAGCTGTCAATACAAGAGAACGACGAATCATACCAGTGATGCTCGTTATCGCGCAGGGCGACCAAAGCCCAACACATCCGGCCGGTCATGTTCGAGGTCATTCAACCGTGCTTTCATGGTCTGATTCATCCCCCATGTCCTGGTGCTTCTTTTTCCTTCTTCACGTCGATAGTGTCAAACGAAGCACATATGTACAGGGCCTTTGTGTTTCCTCCCCCTTTGAGATACATACGGAGTGGCCCGTAGACCCGCTGGGAAGGTTGTGCAAGACAGAAAGGGTGTTTCGGCTGCCGCGGTCCTGCCTCACGTTGTGATAGCACGGCCGGCCCCCATATCCTCATCTGGTCTCGGCTCCGTCAACAGCTTGTCAGGAGCAGGAGCATGTCCCCAACCCGCTTTACGCTAGTATAGTTTACAAATTTGGGTTCGTCTGGAACCACCAGTCCACTTACGAGGGTGAGATGATGCATCCACAGTTTTGGTCAGAGCTCCCTATATAACGACCGTTGATATTGCTTTTCTTTATACCTCCTTTGGGATCGCGGCCGTGCGGTTGTTCGGTGTTCAACCCGGCCAGGTTGGCTAACGAGGTTCTGCGATAGGAACAGGTCGGTCTTCCAGTCGACTGGAAGCAGGGGTTCCATAAATTTTCTGTCCTCGTTCGCCAGCCGAGTGTGCTGGGCCAAAGATGCTGGGGGCCTGGGTTGCTGGGGGAGACTGGGAGAGGGGCCGTATTGGCCCCTCCAAACACTCCGCCGTGGACCCTGGTCAAAAGGTAATCTCATGAACCAAATTTTTTCTGCCTCTTGAGCCCTTCCCCCCGTGCCCCCTCAGTCAGTCATTCAACTCAAATCCGCTCTGCTTGGAAACCACAGAAAGTGAGGATCCTCTAGCAGCATGCGCGTTTCTTGCCCAACGGTCTTCTAGAAATTGCGGGCCTCTGAAATTCACCTCTGCCCAAAGATGTCTAAAGGGTTATGCATTGCTAAAATCATTCGCCCTGGTCCATCACTTACACAATGTTTTGACTGGGCCATTGTTACTAGCTTGACCCTGGATTGGCCAGAGGAACTCTGCGTGAAGCCAGTGGAGACGGGCCGAGAGGCGGCGACGAGGGTTGGCGGCTCCTCTAGGTGACGAGCCGGAGACGGGCAAAAGTGCACTCACACCTGTTCATCCTCTTCTCTGATCGCCTGGGTTATTTGGCCAGATGTTCCTTCAGCGTCTCTATTTACACCCCCATGCCGTTGTCGCTACGAAGCCGGTTCCTCTTTGAGCTAGTCCATGTCCCAGAGGTCCCCTCCACCGTTGTCAGAGCAGCCAAAGCTCGAAACTAGCGTACCACTGTTTTTCTTTTCCTTCTTCCTCGTCCGGCAGAGCGGAGGGGTAGAAGGGTATGAAGGGGGACAGGAATTGCAGTTGCCCGAGTGGTGTATCTCGGTACAGTAGCTTGAACTCACTACCTGACAAATTCTTTGCGTCAGGAGGATCAAAGCCATCATCACACTTCATGACACCAAGGGTCAGACTGCCTCGTCTCCTTCAATTACCTCCCCCTATGTCGGATGCGATGCCGAGGTCATTCATGGACTCTGCCTTGAGAAACAGTGTGTGTCCGGCATGAAGAGAGCTTTGGTGCTCATTTCCCAGTGGATTGGGACCCAGAGCATAACACTGTCTGCTATGAAAAATCAGAGGGCAGTGCTGGATTCTGAACTCGATCTCTTTTCCTCTTTTCTGTGGGCTAAATGGGCCGTTAGCTCTTGATATCATACCCCATCTTGACTAGCAAGGGTCGCGGCCCTGCTTGCCAGATCGTCTCGTTTTCCCTCAACCTCCTTCCCTGTACGGTTGGATCGTTTCTGCAAGTGCGAGAGTGTTAGAAACAATCCCCTACCATCCCACCCTCGTGAAAGCCGCTAACTTCGACTTGGTTTTGTTCCGTACCCCCTGTAGCTCCCGGGACAGTGCCGAAGTTAACCCTCCTCTCACAACCGTCCTCTTGACCATTGGTGGCACTATTGGCTTGATACAAGTACATACATATGTACACCACCGCGCTCTTCTACGACTACACTCTTTCGTTATCCGATCCTCTTGTCGTTCCTTCTTATTCCTAGATCAACCAAGACGGCGTCTCTTTCGATCTCTCCTCCAAACATCTTCTTTGGTGCTCTTCTCTTTCGCCCCACAACGCACGAGGAGGAGTAAAGACTACTAGGCAAAACTATCCTCCAACCTAAGCAACTCGAAGGGGTTTTTCTGTGAAGGAAACCTTCGAGCAATCTTTGGAGGAGTGACAGCTGCCCATGTCAGCGACAGCAACATACACGGTCAGTATGGCAGAGTTGAGAGCTGAGACTCAGCACGGAGGCATCTGGCCCAACTACGGGAATCCGGTGCAGATGAATACTGGTCGGTACAACACTCAAGAGTCTTCGGTACCAGTAGGATCGGCGGCTTCTTCACATCTTGTACGCCCTCGCAGTCGTCAGCACACGATGGACTATCACAACGCACCATACCATCATGGACGGCCTGCCCAGGAGGATGGCGATGGCTACGAGAGATATCCACACCCTTCGTTGATGAACATCCCCAGCATCACCACCGGCATGAAGCGCAGCTACTCCCAGGTCGACCAGACTCCCTATACGGAAATGGTCCAAGATCTCCGCGATGACTACAAGCCGGCCATGAATCACGACCAGAAGCTACTCTCATTCAAGAAGGTTGGCGACAAACATACCATCGTCGACCACAAAGGGCGGATTCACGAAATCGAAATCGAAGCTCAACTTCACGGCATGTTCTTTCTGTCGGAGTTTCCCTCGCCTGGCGACGGCAATGTCTTGAACGCCGAGTTGACCTGCTACCGCCGCAACCTGTTTCAAATCAGCGGCAATATCTGCTTTCCTCAAATACCGTTGTCTGTCATGCTAGAAACGGGCGAGACCAGCCAGATCAAGAACATGGAAGTCACTATCTCGGCAATCGAATCTGTCGACGGCCACCCTGTGCGCCTAATCGTCATTCCCTGGAAGACGCCCCCACCCAACTCACCAGAAGTCAACCAAGCTCCCGATCAAGAACCTCCATCACTTCCTCTGATTCCCTGGTCCGAAGAGGAGGAAGACAATGGCGGAGATCACTACGCTATCTATCCTATCGGGTGGCGTCGACTCCAATTTAGGATGTAAGTACCACTTCAGAACCACCACTCACTCCAGATTTCGTTATGTTCAATAAGCTGATGTGTTCCTATCTAGCGCAACGGCCAACAACGGTAGACGGAAGGAACTACAGCAACACTTCGTCCTACACTTGAAGCTCCATGGAACCCTGGCGAATGGTACGAAACTTGTGCTTTCGGAGCTTACCACTGCGCCGATTGTTGTCCGAGGAAGAAGCCCGCGGAATTTCCAAGCGAGAAAGGAGATCCCGCTGTTGGGATCTAGCGCTGGTTCAAGAGGACAGACACTTGTGGAAACCGGTCACTCAATTGTTGCGCAAGCTGTCGCGCTTAACAAGCCTCCTTATGATTCGAGACCCCGTGTCTCGAGCATGGATTTGCCCAGAACAGCGTTCACGTTCACGTCTGCGAAGCAGATGCCCCAGAGTCCTATGCAAATGCGTTCGAAGTAAGTCAACAAAATCTCAAGATACGGAGGTGTGGCATATTCAAGGCAGTGATGCTAGCTTCACTAGGGTCCTGACTTGATAGAGGAAAACGATACGTGATGCTAACATAGGTCAGCAGTTCTTACCCTACAAGTTGGAACCCATCTAGTCAGGTGTCGATGCCACACAACCCAGCATCGACCTCTTACCCGA